AACCCATTTATTAAAAGATGATGTTAGTAGAGTCACTAAGAGATGGCCAGGGCAAGTTTTCAATGCATCGTTCACCTCTCGAGCCAGGGGAGTCATGATTCTTATACACAAATCCATTCCATTTCAGTTAAAACAGCAATATATAGATCCGTTAGGGAGATACATAATTCTTAATGGTACAATTTTGACATCACATATTAATTTAATAAGCATTTACGCTCCTAATGTGGATGATCCTTCGTTTTTTCAGAATTTCTTTTTCACTATCTCAGCCTATGCCGGAAATTATGTAATAGGGGGAGATTTTAATTGTGTACTAAACCCCATAAATGATCGCTCTTCAGGAGTAGATACCCATCAACAGTCTAAAAAAACTATCTTGAAGTATATGACTGACTTAAATTTAGTTGAGATATGGAGGTATCTCAATCCAAACAAGAAAGAATATTCATGCTTTTCGAATACATATAAAACATTTTCAAGAATAGATTATTTTTTAATTTCCAATGGTTTAGTGACGAAGGTAGGTAAAAGTTGGTATGATAGTATTTTACTTTCCGACCATGCCCCTGTTTTGTTTACAATCCAATTTGACAATCTTGTACTCCCACCTCCCAGATTTCGATTTCAAGCAAGTTGGCTTCTTGATCATGATTTTGTGAAATTCTTGGATAATAAAATTGATCTATATTTTTTAGTTAATACAAATCAGACAAGCGCCTCGGTTAAATGGGAGGCCTTCAAGGCATATATTAGAGGGGAGATATTAAGTTATACAAGATACAGATCCAAAATTTATCAGGCACAATTAGAAGACCTGGGGAAACAAATTAAAGTAATAGAACGGCATCTCTTCAGTAATTTTGACCCTTCAAAGCAGAAAGAACTTCTTGTACTGAAAGCCAAATATAATGAAATAACGAGTAGTAAAATATCTAAGAATTTAATGTGGCTAAAGCAGTCCTATTATGATCAGGGGGAAAAATCAGGAAAACTTCTAGCATGGAGAATCAAGAAAATACAAACAGATAGAGCCATCAATTCGATTTTCTTAGAGAATGGGGAGAAAACGGTAGACCCATTGGAAATAAATAATATTTTTAAACTGTACTATGAAAATTTGTATAAATCGGAAATTGCCAATAATTTAGAGGGGCAAAATAATTTTCTTGATAAAATTACATTTCCAAAATTATCAGAAGAGACGAGAAGTAATTTAGAAAAGAATTTAAGTATAGAAGAGCTCTCAGAGGCTCTACAGGACATGTGCAACGGCAAGGCTCCTGGACCGGATGGCCTCCCGATGGAAATCTACAAAACATTTGCAGGAAAAATTTTACCACACTTACTTGAAATGTTCAATGAATCTTTGGGAAAAGGAATATTACCCCCCTCCCTGAGATCAGCTCTAATTACTCTTATATTAAAGCCAGGTAAACCTCCCAATGAAAAATCCTCCTATAGGCCCATATCGTTAATGTCTTGCGATACTAAGATTCTCTGTAAGGCTCTATCTAAAAGAATTGAAAAGTTCATACCAAACCTTATCATGAATGATCAAAATGGGTTTGTGCTGGGAAGGCAAGCCTTTCATAACATACGAAGGGTCTTAAATATAGTTTTTAAAAAACAAAAGGCCAAGGACCATGCAATTCTGTCGTTGGACGCAGAAAAAGCCTTCGACAGGATTGAATGGAGGTATCTTTTCGAAGTGCTTGAGAGATTTGGGTTGGGTGATGGGTATATTAGATGGATCAAATTACTTTACAATGATCCACAAGCAGAAATAATAACAAATAATCAAATATCAAAGCCATTTAACTTAAGTAGGGGAACCCGTCAAGGGTGCCCACTATCCCCTTTGTTGTTTTTATTCGCAATAGAACCTCTTGCAATGGCAATTCGCAGTAGTCCTGAAATCAAAGGCATAATAATAGGTGAGAGAGAACACCGTTTATCTCTGTTTGCAGATGATATTGTTGTTTTTCTTAGTAGTCTGGAACTTTCAATTCAAGCTCTTAACGCTTTATTAAAAGTATTCGGAGAGTTTTCAGGTTATAAAGTTAACAATAATAAAAGTGCCTTGCTATTACTAAACAAGGATGAACAGAGAAACTATACAAACAATAGGCAATTTTTCAATTCACAAGAAGAGCTTACGTATTTAGGAATTAAGATAGTCACAAATATAAAAGAGATTATTTCAATTAATTATGACCCATTGTTAAAAAAAGTCATGGACTCGCTCGAGAGATGGAATGCAATGCCAATCTCAATGATTGGACGTATAAATATTATAAAGATGTCAATTCTACCTAAATTCTTGTATCTCTTTCAGTCAATTCCTCTTCCACTTCCAGCTACATTCTTTGTAACACTCAAGAAAATGTTTACAAGGTTTATATGGAACAACAAGCGTCCTCGGTTACGTTTGTCCCTACTTTATTTACCATATGAGCGGGGAGGGCTTAAACTACCTAATATAAAACTCTATTATTGGGCAGCTCAATTATGTTCCGCTATGTATTACTTCATAGAAACAGACCCTCCAGCATGGATAGATATAGAAAAAAATGAAATAACAACTCCATTACAGATGTATCTTTATTCTTCTCCAGTTAAAGTACTAAAAAAATATACAAATAATCCTTTCCTTAGAAATTCTATTTGTGTATGGTATGAAGCTCATGACTTTTTAGGTGAAACAATTAAACTCTCAAGTCTGTCGCCAATTTGGGGTAATGCAATGTTTGTGCCTGGGAGAAATGATGGGGGATTTAAAAATTGGATGTATAAGGGTGCAAAACAAGTAAAAGATTTATATAAGGATGGTACAATGATGTCGTTCCAACAACTGATGAAAGAATATGATATTCCTCAGAAGCACTTCTTCAAATATCTACAGATAAGAAGTTTTATACACTCTGAAATTAAAACTTATGTAGAGCCCTCTTTGTCAACTATAGAAGAACATACTGTGAAACATTTAAGGGATAAAGGCAATCTGTCTTTTTTTTATAATACACTTTTAGAGGGTTCAAAAGAAAGTTCAATGTCCTATTTAACCGCATGGAGAAATGACCTTCAGGAAGATATTTCTAAAGATGAATGGATGGATTCTTGTTTGTTTGCGCAAACATATAGTGTAAATACTAGATGCAGATTGCTTCAATATAAATGGCTCATGCGGACATACATTACCCCGGTTAAATTACATAAGTTCAACCCAAATATTCCTGACAGCTGTTTAAAATGTAAACAAGATATTGGAACCCTTTATCATTGTATGTGGGAGTGTACTGAGATTCAAACATTTTGGAAGAGTATTCTGGTTATGATTGGTAAACTGACTGAAGAAAATGTACCTTGTGATCCCAAACTCTGTCTATTTCATATATATCCAGTAAATTTTGTGGTGAGCGCCAGTAAACGCAAACTAATTGACTTTAGTTTGCTTCAGGCCAAACGGGCTATTGCTTTAAAATGGAAGGAGATGCAAGGTCCTTCCTCAATACTCTGGATTAAAGAAATGACTAACAACCTCGCCATGGAAAAACTGACTTATGCAGTTAAAGGGAAACTTAAAGACTTTTACAATATTTGGACTCCATTTTTATGCTATTGTAACCAAGAGGACTTGACAGGGATGGACGACTAATACTCAACATTCACTTCTTCTTCGTATTGTGTATCTCCATTACATAATGTGATCTCCTAAAATTACTAAATACGCAGTGAAGGTAAAAGGTTAAACTGTAAATTGGATGGCTGTGAATGCTGGTGTACGGAAACTAGCGAGAGTTTTTTTTTTTTTTTTTAATTTGTTTTTTTATTCATTTATTATTATTTTTTTAATTATTATTTATTTATTATTATTATTTTGGGGGGGGGGTTAAAGTTCTGCAAGGTTCTCTTATGTGTGTTTTTTCTCTTTTATTTAAATGTATTATGTGTTCAAAACAAATGCAAATAAATATATTTTGAAAAAAAAAAAAAAAAAATCTATAAAAAATCTGAATGCTAGTGGGCATTCGCGCCAATCAGAAGCTTGCTCTTGTAGGGGTGTGGTTATGACATAGCACCTGTTGTTGGTGTCCCGAGGCGAAATCCTCCTGCTGACACCGAGCAACACCTCATCAAACTGGGCTCGGCTCAGTCTGAAGCACCACTGAAAGCTTTCATCATCCAGGTATAGTTTCTGGAGGAGTTGATAAACACAGAGCTGGGTGCACCTCTGACAGGATCTAGTGGACTCAGACACGACGCCGAATGAATCTAGACTGTTTTTTAGCCTTCCTAAAGCACATAAACACAGCTACTCTCTTAATAAAATCCATGTTAGTCATTTAGCAACGAAGCTAGAGTCACCGGGCAGACAGAAACCCCACCCATGACCTAAATCCATGACTATTATGAAGTGAATTTGACGCGCAAATGAAGCGAAATTGATGCACACATGAAGTTAATTTGACGTGTGAATTAAGCGAATTTGACACGCGAATAAAGCGAGTTTGACGCTCATATGAAGTTAATTTGCTGCACAAACGAATCGACTTTGACGCACGAATGAGGTGAATTTCACACACGAATTAAACGAATTTGACATACGAATAAAGCAAATTTGACACGCGAATGAAGTAAATTTGACGCGCGAATGAAGTGAATTTGACGCGCGAATGAAGTGAATTTGACGCACAAATGAAGTGAAATAGACGTGCGAATGAAGCAGATTTGCAAGATTTAAACTCCAAATGTTCATGTGTCTATTTATGAGCGATAGCATGATAATATTCGCGCAAGCCACTTCTGGTGTGAACACAACATAAGAAAAAATTCACCAATTGCAAGAAACCCTATACATGCAAATGGAGGAAATAAATTCACTTAGAAAATAAATCTGAGCTGTGAGAAATTAACTCAAAACTATTTGTTTCCAATGCACAGATTGCTGAAACACACAGAAACACGTCAGGTTTATAAAGACAACTGAAATGCAGACATTAGATTTACAGTTTTGTCTGATCTTTTATTTAAAGCATTCAAGTTTCAGTGGCTGTTAAAACACACAGACATTAACATTATTATTTCCTTCTCTTTAGAAAATCCAACAAATAGAGGCTGCGCAATACATGAGACACAAATCAAACTTCAGCAAATCAATTGCCAAACATGCACAGGACAGAGAAATTACAGCACTTTTCCAGGAGTTTGTGTTTCATCAATAACAAAAAACACTAGGAATGGCACTTAATGGAGAAATGCACAGGAGTGGATGAACACCGGTGTTGGAGACATCCGTTTACATCATGTCCAGCTAAAAAACAAACAAACCAAAACTAAACGTTAGAGTAATATTATTATTATTATTAACATTCCTTTATTTAGCCAGCAGATTACATTAAGAATAGTGTTTTGACTGATATATCAGCCGATATTTGCCTTTTTTTTTTAAATATCGGCATCGACCCATACACTTTTTAGTTACCTTTTTCAGATTTTTTCTGAGGGGGACTTTTATTTTAATGGCATGGCAGACTTTTTTTTGATGGCTTTAGCAGACTATGCTTTCATTCTTCCATTTCCTCACTTTTGTTATTGAGTTTGGTTTAATAAGGACTGAAGTCTATCTAATAGTCGGAAAAACTGTTTAAAAGTAATTCAAATGTATACAAAAAGTATACCGATGATTGTTTTAATTATATTTATTAATTACAATTAAATATATCGGCTAAATATCGGCCACCCTGCTTTAATAAAAAAAGTTTAAACTAATGATTAGACTTGTATTTTTATCATTATTATTCCTTTACTTAGCCAGCAGACCTCAACAAGAATAGTGTTTGACCTATATATCGGCTGATATTTGGCATTTTTAAATATCGGCATTGACCGATATTTTTTCCGGTTTAGCCGATATTTTCGATGGATTTAGCAAACTCTGCATTCATTAGTCCCTTCTCTTGCTTTTTTTCTTTCAGTTTGGTCTAAGAAGGATTGAAGTCTATCCAATTTTCACAAAAAACTGTTTAAACAAAGTAATAAAAATGTATGCTGTTTTAATTATAGTAATAATAATTCATTCATACATCAGTTGATAACAACTGTTTAAAGTACAAGTATGATAATTTTTAAGTCTATTTTCAAATTATTTTCAACTTAATAAAATAAATTTAAAATGTAATTATTAACTAAAATTAAATCAATAACAATAGTCAAACTAAATGTTAGATTTGTATTATTATTATTATTATTATTATTATTATTATCATTATGTTTATTACCATTCCTTTATTTTAGCCAGCAAATTACATCAAAAATAATGGTCGACCGATATACCTATATATTTTTCAAATATCAGCATCAACTGATAAATGTTACTGAGATGTTTTTATTCTGACAGCATTCTATTTTTAAAAAATTATTATTGCAACTTAATTCAAATATAATTAATAATTAAAATTAAATAAACTATATTGGCTACCCTGCTTTTCAAGATATCGGTATCTGCCCTAAAAAAAAAAAATCACTATTGGTCAACAACTAATTGGGATATTACCATCTCTTTATCCAATGTAGTTATTTTGGCGGCCTATTTTAATTTAGTCTTTTTAACATTTCATTTTGTTTAACATTTCGCTCCATCGACATAGTTTTTATTTTATAAATCACATTTAGTCAACTATGTTGCATTATAAATTGAATTACAGTCATCATCACATGACCAGCATTTACCTTGCATCTCACTTTTGTCATGTGATAAATGCTCATTGACAACGATACTTAGTCAAAATCTTCATCTTGTATATAGTTTTAGACCATAATCTCACTATATAAATAATAAAAGATCAATGAAATGCTCACCAGATCATCCACATCTCCAGTGTCGTCCTGCGCTGGAGCTACTTCAACTTCCTGCTTCTGCTCAAATGACAGGAACTAAACCAGCAAACACAGAGTTAACAACAAATGCTACAACTAAACAGGTCATTCAGTATTATATCTAAAGTATAAAAAACATAAGTCTTCCAAGCCCCAATTGAGGGACTTTTCAAGCACTGTAAAAAGCTATTAGTTGACTTTACTTACAAAAATTGAGTAAACCCACTGCCTTAACTTGGCAATTATATATTTTTTAAATGATGCACAAAACATTTTTTTTAGATAATGACAGTCATATATGTCTCCCATGATACTAAAAACATTATTAGGGCACATATATTTCACTAAAAGTGAAAATTCAGCAAATTCGTTCTTCCGGTTTCAAAACTAATTTTGAAGCAACGTCACACAGGTGAGATCCAAATTCCAGCATGGAGACTGGATGTACAATTTGACGTCTTTGAGTTTTCAGCATTTATTCATGAGAAAGACTTGGTTTAAACCAGGGGTTTTCAAAGTGTGAGGCGCGCCTCCCCTGGGGGGCGCCAGATCATGTCAGGGGAGGCGCGGGAAAAATATAAAATGAAAATATAATTATTAAGTTTAATTATTATATGTATTTTTTATTATTTTTAAACGTTTTAATTAAACAAAGCTAAGAAAAATAATACGTCAAAAATAAGAAAACCTTTTTTACCCAGAAGGCCATAGCTGTGAATTCGCTTCTGTTTGGCAAGCCTGCCAATACAGGGGGGGGTCTGTCGCGCGCGTTCTGATCAGCTGTGTTGTCGCACGCGTGCTCAAGAGCGGTGTTGTCGCGCGCGTGCTCAAGAGCGGTGTTGTCGCGCGCGTGCTCAAGAGCGGTGTTGTCGCGCGCGTGCTCAAGAGCGGTGTTGTCGCGCGCGTGCTCAAGAGCGGTGTTGTCGCGCGCGTGCTCAAGAGCGGTGTTGTCGCGCGCGTGCTCAAGAGCGGTGTTGTCGCGCGCGTGCTCAAGAGCGGTGTTGTCGCGCGCGTGCTCAAGAGCGGGACCGAGGGTGTGCCGCGGCGTGGGGGCACTTTTGATCATTTTGGAAGGGCACTTTCTATCCAGGACTAAAAAGGGCATATGCACTGCACAGGTTGAGCCCTATGTGTGCACTTGCCTGCAATGGATCGGTTTCTGAGTTAAGGATTTACGTGGACAGGACCAGCTGATGAACCACGACCTTTAAGTGTGGTTTGTCAAGATATTTTGGCTAATGACAGCATGAGACCCGCTAAACTTTGACTGTTTTGACCTGGATTAACAGTTCTTGGATCTGTTCTATTCATATTAACCATCATCCTAGTTTTAAAAACGTTATATTAAAATACTTGTTATTACTCTGTAAATAATTGCACTTTCATGCAAATGATGATAAAAGTGAGTTAACAGTCTTACATATGTCTGTGTCTTAATATATATATATTTATATATGTATGTGTGTGTGTGTGCGTGTTTGGGAGGAGGGGGGCGCCAATGTCAAAAGGGAGGCCCACTGTCTTAGACTTTGAAAACCCCTGGTTTAAACCAATCAGCGCGCTCTATTGTAAATGAGGTGCAATTTCATTAATATGCATGATAGCTTCGTTTTTACCTGTTAGTGTTCGAATGGCAAGAGACGCCACATTGTGTTACCAACCGTAATTAAAACAAGTGAATGAAGAATTGTTTGGAGACATGGGTCATCAGTGTTGCCTTTATAAATGTGCCGCAACAACGGTTTTGTTTCCATTTCCCCACTGAGAGCGCAGCTGGACTCACGTGTGGATTACAGTGGCCTGCTAACATGCGACAACAATATGTTTGTAAGGAAAATTTTTTACCTTACCTTACAGATTTGGTAAGTGAGCGATCAATGTCAAGTTAGTTTGTATCATCAGCAGTACTCTTTCAGTGTTTAAAGACAGACCTTAGCCAAAATGATTGAGTCAATAAGTTTACAGTACGTTAATATCAAACGTTAATATGTTTGTTTGTTGGGTTTTGTGATTTGCAGAGCCTGCATGATTGCAGATTGGTGGGCGGGTTATCTCACCTAAGACCCACTATGTGGTGCCTATAAAGAATTAAAAAAAAAGGTCATGATTCGCACTCAATTGCTTCGTATTGTTTTTATTTTTCTTACATTTTACGGGTGATTAAAAGACAGACGTTTCGGCACAAAGCCTTCCTCAGTGTGTGACACAATTCTTCAACTCCACCCCTTTATCTCACAGTCAATCACAATGTGCAATTAATTAGACCATCACTCTCATTTCATTATCCATTAATCACACAATAGCTTATAATCTTCACAGCAATAACAATAAACAATCTTCACATTTCCGACCTCAATCTTCAGAGATAAAGTGCATCAACTATTATCATTAATTAGGTGTACATCATTACAATTAAAATCCGACAGCTAACATAAAAAAAAAAAAAAAAAAAGTTTACATTTGACAATTACTCAAGGATTAAAAATAAATAAATAAATAAATAAATAAAAACAGTACAAAGCAATTGAGTGTGAATCATTACCTTTTTTTGAATAATAGCATTGATAAGATTGACGCATCAAACCAAAGAAGTAACTAAAAAAACTGCAAGCGCGCAGGGCAAACTTCAGTGCCTGTAAAGAATTCAACATTCTTTGAGAGAAGAGCTCGATTAGCCGGACCTCTGCCTAGCGTTTTTGTAGTTTGTTTTGGATCATGAGCTCAGTTCACTACCATACTACTGACTTGCATTTATACTGACTTTGATTGCTTTAAATATTTTCGTTAGTTATGCTTTTGTTAATAAATCACTTCTCTTTTTTTTTAAACATGTAAACACCTTAAACTATTAACGTCGTATAGGATTTTTGCCGCATTTTGTGACAGGATAGTCTATACACAGTGGTTCTCAAACTTTTTTCACCAAGTACCACCTCAGAAAAAAATTGTCCCTCCAAGTACCACCATAATGACCAGTATTGAAATACAGTAGCGTAGTAGGCCCAGTAAGGCAGCTACAACTCTGCAGTTCAAAATCATGACAGATTAACTACTATTATTAAGAATTTTAATTATTATCAGCCACTTTAAACATTGTAAATAGTTTAAACATTAACACTGTACTGTGCTTATATGTAAAAAAAAAATAAAATAAAAACCTGGAAATGTTGCTTGGACCTCATAAATATAGGTTATATGTCATCATATTCATATATGAACCATTTTTGATCGATTTTGAAATGTATGTTGCATGTACATATGACATTGATATTGGATTACTCTGTGTACCACTAGAAGGAAGCCTGCGTACCACTAGTGGTACACGTACCACAGTTTGAGAACCACTGGTCTATACAACCACAGCTGTTTGACTGTATTCTCTGCATCTACCAAGTCTCTGCATCAGTTACAGAGAAATGCAGTGGTTTTTTTCTCCCATGCAGCATGCGGTCTCAAAAATTCCATTAAAACTACACTGTTCCAGCCGTTCCTGGCATACAAAAGCTTGTTTGTAACGGAGGCATGCATGAAATGTTCCTGAATGGAAGTGAAAGTGCCAAACTGCAGTTAACAAATTAACAAAAAAGTCGACAAATTAAGAATGAAACACCCGAAATTACATGAAACTCCGGAGGAAATGTGCATAGCGTGGTGACGCGTTGACGTTAAATGATCTGTGTAAGTGTATGTAAAACGGGATCATGAAAGGAACATTCAAAAAGCAACTCACGTAAACACCCTTATCATATCATCGTCTTATTCAGATTAAGGCAATTAATGACATTACTGATGTCCATGTAAACGTAGTCACTGCCTATCTCACTGTCTATCTGTGTTTGTGTTGCTGCTGTGAAAATCAGTGTGTGCACATAATGAAACTCCTCTTTTCATGCAAAGCTTTCCCTCATCGTCCCTTGACACTTGACATCAACTTCTTGCTTTTAAGGCAATGGGTTTACTTTTACAGTGCTGTTACAACACTTCAGGACATTAACATTCAGGACATTAACAGTTAAATAACTACATATGATGTTGCATATAACTATTACAACATTTATATTTATTATATATATTATATTTATATTATATTATATTTATTTATTAATGTTTATATGTTATATAATTTATTTTGAATAATAAAAGGATGCATGGTGACAACCCTAATGATGCCACTCTTATCTGGATAGTTTTCTTAGCAGCAGGTACCTGATTTGCTTCTTGTTTGGAGATGGTGCTTGCCTCCACTTCATCTTTGCTAATCAGCGTTAGAGCATCTGAAATCAATAGAAAATGCTGAAGACACGATCAACACCAGGCACTACTGTTCAAAACGCTTGATCAGGATCATTTGGATTTGGATGTTTTGCTATCCAGGACCTTACTTTTGTGCTTATTTCTCCAAATCAAAATCCTGATGTTGATACACATCTGTTCTCCTTTATGCTCTAAATGGGAACACATCCTGATGTTTACCTTGAGCGAGCAGGTTCCAGAAGTCCTGAAGGCTGCGGTCAGCAATGCTCCTCTTCAGAGACTGCAGGTAACTGTTGAACAGCTCTGCGTTTCCGCTCTGATGAAGAATATAATTAGAAGACGGTGGTCAAGAGTCCGCATGATCATGAAGATCACACTATTCTAGCTGAAATAAAACAAATAAGACTTTCTACAGGAGAAAAAATATTATCAGACATACTGTGAACATTTCCTGAATCTGTCAAATCACACAGGAGGTGTGAGAATAATTTTAACGTCAACTAAATGTGTGTACAGGTGACGTGGTGGCACAATGAGTAGCACGATCGCCTCAAAGCAAGAAGGTCGTGGGTTCCTCCGGATGCTTCCGTTTCCCCCACAGTCCAAACACATGTGGTATAGGTGAATTGGGTAAGCTAAAAATTGTCTGTAATGTATGTGTGTGAATGAGTGTGTATGGATGTTTCCCAGTGATGGGTTGCAGCTGGAAGTGTAAAACATATGCTGGATAAGTTGGAGGTTCATTCCACTGTGGTGACCTCAGATTAATAAAGGGACTAAGCTGAAAAGAAAATGAATGAATGTGTGCATGTGTGTGTGTGCATGCGCGCAAGCATGCATACAGGCACACACACACATGCACACACCATCCTAAAACCAACAAGGCAGGTTACTTTGCTGCGGTGATACAGTATATATTTTATTTCCAGGAGTCCGGTCAGTGGCGGTTCCAGTTTAAATGGCACCCTGGGCGAACCACCCTCTGTAACCCTAACCACCCTTGTTATATTTTCAATAAATATGACAATTTCTGGGCGAGGCAGTGGCGCAGTAGGTAGTGCTGTCGCCTCACAGCAAGAAGGTCGCTGGGATGTGCCTCGGCTCAGTTGGCGTTTCTGTGTGGAGTTTGCATGTTCTCCCTGCCTTCGTGTGGGTTTTCCCCCACAGTCCAAAGACATGCGGTACAGGTGAATTGGGTAGGCTAAATTGTCTGTAGTGTATGAGTGTGTGTGTGTGTGTGTGGATGTTTCCCAGAAATGGGTTGCGGCTGGAAGGGCATCCACTGCGTAGAAACTTGCTGGATAAGTTGGCGGTTCATTCCGCTGTGGCGACCCCGGATTAATAAAGGGACTAAGCCGACAAGAAAATGAATCAATGAATAATAACAATTTCTTTATATTTATTATTAGCAATATTATTATATAATTATTATTATAAATAAATAACTGAAATCAACCCTAAATATTACTGGAAAACAATGTAACAACTGTGATATGCCAAGATCAATTAAGAAATCTTTTGCATTAATATTATGACAATTCTATAGAATAAAAAATATACAGTTGAAGTCAGAATTATTAGCCCCTCTGTTTATTTTTCCCCCGACTCTTTTAGACCCGACTCATGGCTGAGAATAATGTTATGAAGTCTTACCTCCCTGACATTTTATCCCTCCTTTCTCCTTTATAGCCATGCTTGGTGAAAGTAACATCATCATCATCATCATATGATATAAACTTTAGTTCTGTCAACATGGAAAACCACGGCGCATGAGCGGCATGTGTTTTATCGACGTGCATGCAAACAACCGAGATTCACACAGGAGCGTGTGTGAGGTGCGCGGGAATGGTTTTCTGCACGCATACTTCAGTTTGCATTCACCAGCGTTGTTTCGGTTGCACATAGAGAATAACAAACTTGCGTGTGCAAAAGTTGCCAACTGTAAATGGCCCCTAACATCTTTATTCTGAGATTGCCACTCTAAATTAATACACTTGCATAAAGTAAATTGTATTTCAATGCTTTTTTTGGTACCCAGTAAGATGTCGCCCTGAGTGACCGCACATGCCTAAATCTGCCAATGAGTCCGGTACCTCACTCAGGACATGCATTAAGGCAGGGGTGTCAAACTCAGTACCTGCAGGGCCAAAGCCATGCAGAGTTTAATGGGGTGTATCCAAATCAATTCAATTCATCTTTATTTTATTTATTTTTTGCCTTTATTGAGAGGATAGGACAGTATTTTAGACAGGAAACGAAGTGGGGGAGAGAGAGGGGATAGGGTCGGGAAATGTCCTCAAGCTGGGATTCGAACTCAGGATGCCCTGAAGTGCTAATGCATCATATGTCAGCACGCTAACCACTAGGCTATTCTATAGCGCTTTTACAATGTAGATTTCGTCAAAGCAGCTTCAAATAGAAGTTCTAGTAAATTGAAACCGTGTCAGTCCAGTTTTCAGAGTTGAAGTTCAGTTTAGTGTGGGTTAATTTTCTAATTTAATTAATCTCTACAAGTCCAAAATCAAGCAAGCAAGTGGCGACAGTAGAGAGGAACATGCATTTGCACGTTTAGCCAATGAAAAACTTCCGTTGAAAGGTTTAAGTGACTATTTTCAATTTCACAAGGTTCCTTTAATTACTTAAAATACAATCAGTTAAATAGACTTCAGCATTCATTTAGTTGTTCAAGCAAAAAAAAGAAATGAATGAACGTTTAAATGCAAGTGCCGTCAGAAACAGCAAGCTAGCTTAGAAACTCCATTAAAAATACTGTGGTAAAACAAATTTCCAAATTTTAGAGACATGGAATGGAAAAATTACTTTTAATGCCGTGCTTCTTGTTTAGTCTGAGACTCACTTTATATCGCATCTCAGTCAGGCAGTGAAAATCATTGATTTTTAAAGAAATCAGATCTTAAACGTGGCGATTTTGTAATGGAGCAACAGTTTATCAGAAGTGATTGGACTGACTGACTACAATTAAAAGTCTGTGTGGATAGAGCCCACTGACCAAATATCAATGTTGGGGAAAGAGATAAATGCACCCTACGTAGGCAGCTCACTTGGCTTTTGAAAGGAACTCTCTCTGAGCTCAACTCTTCAGGACTGAATCCCATAACCTCTGGCTGATCCTGAAGAGGTACTTGATTGGATGTGCAGGTTTAATTGAGAGCTCACCAGTACAGACTGATCCCTGAAGGCCTGGATGCAGGCGATGCTCTTGGTGTAATACTCAGTGCTCCTGTTGCCCAGCAACTGCTCAATCCTGTGGGTCAGCTGCTGGCACGCTGTCGAGGTCACAAAACAATCATGAGCACAGCGACAAAACCTGCTGCCGACATTCAGAAACTGCACTGCTCAATGACAGCGCCGACTCAATTACTGCTGAGCGACTGTTCAGAGCCTCAGAGACAATATGCAACTTTTAACAAGGCCTTACAGATGCCAGCAGCAATAATTTATGCATAACAGCTGACACTTTTGTGGACTATATCGCATATATCTGATGCAAAACTGAGTAAAAACAGAATTAAATACATTGTTACATAACAGATATATATATTTATAACTAAATACAGACACATTTATTGGTCCATAACTGATTTTTGTTAAGAAATTGGTGACTAATTGGTAAATAATATTTGTAACCTAACACCCTAATATGCATTTCCATTTCAGTATTTACTATACATTACATTCCATATTTGACTGTAACACAGGTCAATCATTGAGCAGAAGAAGAAAGTAAAGCATTCATAATCATTACATACCAGTATTGTTATTATAAATTAAAATTATTTAAAAAAATTGTTAAACAGTACATTAATAATATTAAATCAATAATAAATTGAACATTTGTTTATATATACACATACATACGCACGCACGCACGCACACACACACACACACAGCCTCCGGAAAGTATTAATAGCGCTTCACTTTTCCCACATTTGTTCGTATTACAGCCTTATTCTAAAATGGATTAAATTCATTTATTTCCTCAACACATCGTGCACTAACAAACTATATTACGTTCAAAGTCACTTAAATCCCCTTTCTTTTCCATTCTGATGCTCGGTTTGAACTGCAGCAGATCGTCCTGACCATGTCTACATGCCTAGATGCATTGAGCTGCTGCCATGTGATTGGCTGATTAGAAAATTGCGTTAACAAGCAGTTGGACAGGTGTAGCTAATAAAGTGGCCGGTGAGAGTGTGAAATAAGTAACCTGAATCAAGGCCTTCAAAGATCCCAGGATATTGGTTTTACGTTATAATATCTATAATCCGCTTGTTAAGTGTGACGTCACGCGAAGCGGCTTCCGGGTCCAAGCGCTCTATTCAACTGAATGGGGAGACTCATGAAATGGTAATAATAAACGTTTACAAAGTGATTTAATGCTTTTGAAAATCACGATCGCAGTATTTATGTCCATGCCTAATATCCGATGGCCAGAAAGTGATAAATTTTTTTAAAATAGTTAAATTTTTGGTATTTGTTATGCAGCAAGCCCAGAGATTGTTGTGTACACTATGATTTTATACAAAATTAACTTTAATGTGTGATAGGAATAAAACGCGATCATAAACGAATGATTTCTCCACTCAAATGAATGGCGGCTTGGACCCGGAAACAGTATTACATACGCCACAAACACGTCACCACTTAACAAGCGGATAGCACACACTTTCATGAAGGTTGAAAATTGTGGATGTAAGAGAGACAAAAAAAAAATCAAATCTCACCTTGATCGAAAGAAACCGTCTTCTGTCTTATCAGTGTGCAGAAATCTCTGGCTGGATTGACGCTGCCAACCTGAAAGTTTACATGTAATTATTTATACAGCATTATAGTCCAGACGAATGCACATGCATTTTACTCTCTAAAACCATTCTGTTAATTCACAAGTGGAAAAATTAATGGTTTCAATCAATTTCTGCAATACATGCTTACATAACTGTCACTCATAAATATGTCATGTTATAAACCAAATAGGCTGCGAAGAGTATTTTACATGTTTGTCTCTATACAATTAATGGTTTCTCAGTGTGTTATACAATTATAAAAAAAAAAAACATTAAAAAGAAACATTAAAATAAATATATTAATTATTCAAATGCATAATTTATTAAACTGCTATTCAAAATACTGTAGTGGGTCAGGATTCTCAGCATGTTTTAAATAAAAACCAGCATTATGGTGAAATATTTTTGCAATATAAAATAACTGTTAAGGGCGTCACTGTGGCGCAGTGGGTAGCACGATTGCCTCACAGCAAGAAGGTTGCTGGTTCAAGCCCCAGCTGGGTCAGTTGGCATTTCTGTGTGGAGTTTGCATGTTCTCTCTGTGCCGATGTAAACTGAATGAATGAAGTTTTCTATTTTAATTTTATTTACAATGAATTTATTCTTGATGCAAAGATGATATTTTTGCATCCTAAAAACGTAATGCATCCTCGCTTAAATATGGACATTTATTGTTTCTTAAAACACATAAAAAATGCATTACTTGTTTAGATTAAATCTGCTGTTTACTGTTTAAAATGAATAATTAAATATGTTTGGTCAGAATCACAATTTTAGCTAATAATAAAAATAATAATAAATATTTAACTTTTTTCCCTAAAAAAGGCAACTCATAAAATACTACTCATAAAATCCTAAATAAATTAAATATTTGTAAAAATCCTGATACGTTTAAAATTTTATAAAAAAAAAAAAAATTTGGACACGTTTTACTTGGGTACAGATTATGTAAAAAAATGACATGAAAAATTTTTTTGCTTATCTTTTTTGCCTGTTTAAGGATTAATAAAAGTGTTAAATTCTGCTGAACTGTAGTAATAATAATAATAATATATTGTTTTAAAGTAAAGTTTTACAAACTAATTTCGAGAGGAGCATGTGATATAATTGATCGTGGCTGGTCTCTCATCCGTAATTAGCAACAATCCAATCAGATTGATAAAAGCCCACTACAAATAAACTGACCCTACTGCTTATCTTTGTTTTGAAAAAATCCCCCCATCCACTCCATCTCCTCCTTTACCAGGGGAAGCTCTCGAGACCTACCTGATCTCAGACCCCCTTACATGCTCATTGACAAGGTGGGAGCCCTGGGCTCAATCATCTCCGAGCTCAGGGTTCTCTCCAGGGACAAACCTGCTAATAGCGTCAAGCAATATCTAAGTGTGAACTCTTGAACAATAATAATAATTTTGTGTCTCACCGATGTGATGTTTCCCTCTGTAATCTCAGCCAGGTTAAACTCGGTTTCTTCATTCACTTTGACTTTCTTGGCATCTGGTTCATCAGCACTGACAAAGACACACAGATCATTTAAAAACAAACATTTTCAGTCACAATTTCAGATCACAAATCATAAACATTACAGAAAAATCAACCTATTTTCATCATGTGATATTTTTGTGGCTAGTTTCACTAAATTTGCGGCATTTCTTTTCTTGTTTTGCTGTAAAAACATACACAAATTTACACACCTTAATCCGTTGACATCGAGAACCATTTATCTCTGTAATTTATATAAAAGAAACCCTGAGAGATACTCAGTTAGAAACGTATGTATGTGTATGCACACACGCTTGTGTCTGTAGCTATGTTTCCATCCAAAGATGCAAAATAAATCGATGTGCAAAACTGGAATATTGCATATAAGACATGCAAATAAAGCAGCGTTCCCATTAAATAAGTCAAAGGGAATTTTTTTTTTTAAAAATGCCACTTCTCGATAAACTGGCGCCAAATATCAACAGTAAAGATGGAATTTGCTGAAATAGGAGAAAAATTGCATGAATCATTTCTTTATTTAATAAGTGAAGTTTTACAAACTAATTTCGATCAAGAGCACTTGATAAAATTGATCGCGGTTTGTCTCTCATCATTAGTAAGCCAATTGACAATTCTTGACGTAATTAATAATGTAATAACACTAATACTGAAATGATTAAGGCGTTTTACAATGACCAAAACAACATTTCAGATGCTTTACAGCGTGCTCAGCCTGCTGGTTTATCCATTCTCACATGTTTTTATCAGTACGTGATCTTATAACACAATCACATGACTTTTTTAATGCGCATACTGGAATTTGTTCACTAAAAGTGTTTCCATTGTAGTTTATCTTTTCTTATGGAAAAAGAAGTTTATCCAAATTAGTTATGCGCATATATTTTTAATGCACATTTTCAAGATGCGCATCTTGGCGTTTCTATCAACCATTTTTTATGTGCATATCCTAAAATGTGCAAAAAAAAAGGTGGATGGAAACATAGCTTGTGTGAGTAAGTATTATAATTAATATTAGTGATACTGTCTTTTTGTTTTTGTTCCTTTTTCCCCTTTTCTGTCATTTAGACAGAATTTATTTCATATTTATTGTATTTTTTGTGACTTCAATTATGTAAATATTTTCCATTTTGTTTTCATGATTTAAATGGATGGTTTGGAAATACTATTAAAAAAAGTAAACTGCATCCATACATCTCTGCAATGACTCAAATCACTTATTAATAAAGTCATCTTAAATGGCGAAGAAAGCGTTCTTGCAGGACTCCCAGTGTTCATCTTCAATGCCTCCTCCTTTATCTTATCCCAGACATGCTCAATAATGTTCATGTCTGGTGACTGGGCTGGCCAATCCTGGAGCAGCTTGACCTTCTTTGCTTTTAGGAGCTTTGATGTGGAGGCTGAAGTATGAGAAGGAGCGCTATCCTGCTGGAGAATTTGCCCTCTCCTGTGGTTTGTAATGTAATAGGCAGCACAAATGGGTTGATAACTGAGGCTGTTGATGTTGATCCACTCTGCAGATCTCTCGCACCCCCCCATACCGAATGTAACCCCAAACCATGACTTTTCCTTCACCAAACTTGACTGATTTCTATGAGAATCTTGGGTTCATGGTGGTTCCAGTAGGTCTTCTGCAGTATTTGTGATGATTGGGATGCAGTTCAACAGATGACCAACTAGAAGTCAAGTTATTATTTGTTGCTCTTATAACTGGGATCGACTTTTGTCAGGTAGTGTATATCACAGAAACACAAAATATTTCTCAATGTCAGTTTTTGTCAATATCCTTTAGCCCTACTACAGACTGGCACATATTTCCAGCCAAACTATTACAGGATTGCTGGAAGTCGTGTAGCACTTCTCATCGATTCTCCAGTGCTGATTTGCTCATTTCTCACCTGCTGCCGAACACGTCTGCGCTCGTCTTCTGCTCTTTCTTTTTCACCACCACTTTGAGAGGGAAGCTGGTCTTGACGTCCCGCAGAGGGGCCTGGCAGCGAGCGGACACGGCCTGCGGTCTTTCCAGGACCCGCTTGAGCCACGGATCCACGGGAGGCAGAGGATCATCAGGATTCACACCGCGGTGATGCAAACACTACAGACGCAAGCCAAGAAAAGATCAATGAGAGCCACTGCAGAGAAAACCCGGACTTCATAGACAACGCCACACACCCGAGTCACTGTATTACTGAAGGACAGAGAGAGGAGAAGTCGGCGTTTACTGAAAATTGTGTTTATGTCAATAAATATGTTATTTTCATTGCGTTTTCAGTTAATAACTTAAAGGGCACATAGTTTACCCCTTTTTTATGATTTAATATTAATATTATGGTTCTTCTGAGTGTGCCAGTTTAGGCTCAGTTTACAACACAGTTCAGATGTTTTTATTATAATGTGTTCAAAAGTGTCATGTTGGGGGCGTGTACGCAGCTCGCTGTTTTAGGGGTGTGTTGCTTCACATGAAAATTAGGCTGTTTTTCAATTCCAAGAACGCAGAGAACGGACTTGCGTTCTTCTGGAGACCGGTCTTGCCAGGTGTCCTCGGAAGAACGAACTCAGGAGACCGCGAGGGCAGAGAATGCGTCCTTTGAGAAATGGGATGCTGCGTTCTTCCTGATGGTCACATGACCTTCACGCGTTTTAAATGGAAACTATTTAAAGATTACAGCACTCATACAACAATTTATTGTTTTCCCATTTTCAAAATATATACTATGCATAAAACATAAATATACGCTGCACAATATAAATAAAACAGATTTTAATACGAATTTCAGCAAACAAACAACCCTTAATGTGTTTATTCCTTTATTAAGATATTAATGCTAATGTTTACTTTCACCGTTTCATTTAGGGAAACTCCTGAGGTAAATAAGTCATATCTTTGAACTTTAATAATAAATCTAAAAAAAATGCTGCGCTTCCCACCTCCAGTCGCAATGACTTCTGGGACTTCCAGAGCGAGTTCGGTGCTCAAGTCTGCATCAGTGCGTCCTCGATATCAAGATCACATTCGGGAAGTTTCACGCGTCCTCCGTACTTGCAGTCTTGAGTATTGGAACTGAACTTAGGCAGCTGATGATGACGTTGCACGAGAACACGAGGACGCAAGACCGCTGAAGAACGCATATTGAGAAACAGCCTTAGTTTCGGCTTCCCGCTTGAATGAACAAGGGGGCGGAGCCAAGAGCTCACCCGCTCTGTGTCTTCAACAGACAGGCAGACTGTGAGAAGGAGCAGGAGTGAGAGGATAAGCATTCAGCAGTACATGTACGACTCGGACACAGACCAAGCAGAGTACAAAATCATGCGGCTAGGCTCCGCGTACAGCCGCCGGCTTCAAGTGGCGTTGTGTTTACCCTGATAGAAACCTGTTTAGAGTTCCAAATTTCTGTGTGGATGCCACGCAGAGCGGCGCTTCTGGTGCGCGACCTGCAGGCAATTTGTTTTTTTTGTCCAATGGAGAGACGCGCACATGATGCACTTTTCCAGCTGCACCTAGTTAAGATCATGGGGAGCTTCTGCGACCTCAAGAAATGCAAACGGCTGAAGTTTAAGGTAGACGCAATGAAAAGTAAACGTTTGCAAACCTACCTAAAGATACAACCAATAATTCCGATTACAGCAATCATGTGGTGAATGTTGATCTTGTGTTGAGCCCAATGAGCCTGGCATCTAAAAATAGAGCAAGGGTGTTCCTTTAGTGATATCGCTTTGACTGGCGCTGAAAATGGCGGAGGTGAAATGAAAATCAATATTGGTGCGCGAGGGACCGCACTCCTACGTCAAGTTGCTGTCGCTCTGAAAACCGTTCCAATCGGTCCAATGTTTTTATGTTGTTAAATAAAAATAAAAAAGGACTGGGTGTGTTTATATCACCCCAATATGATGATCTATACACTATATATACACATATGTCTGTCCAAATAGCTTGAAAGGTAGATTTTTCACCATAGGTGCCCTTTAAAATAACCATATGAGGCTGAGAAAAACTTTAGATGGACTTTTGCATCTGAACTCTTCAAATACTGTCAGCAGAAATCATCCAGCACTCTATATCACCATACCTGGAAGAGCCTCTGGAACTGTGGGTTTGGGATGTGGTTGACTTTGAAGATCTCCACACTTTCTCCATTCTCATCCTTCTCCATCAGCATCATGGAGTCGATCAGCGCATCTACGGCTGACAACTGAGACCCTGAGCACAAAAAAAAAAAACATTTAAAAAAAACATAAAATCCTTGGTCCATTTGGGCTATAAAGTGACAAACTACAAGCTTTACATGTTTGTATCAGTTTCATATCTTCTAAACGCAAATCGTCACTGTTTTGAAGCACACTAACTTACAGATATCTTAAAAATTAATAATACTGATAATAACATATAAAAAATGTATTTTAATTTCTATTAAAATGTTAATGTTAATGTATGAAACACAAATTCCTGACAAATGCATACAATTATTGTATGAAATGTATATTCCTTGACAAATAAACATATCAATAACATGGGTAACACTTTAGTTTAAGTAACAATCCAAACCACTACAGCTTATTACCTGTCCGATAAATTTATTTTTATTACTTGTGTATTTATTTTTGTCAGAAAAATGTTTAGACTGGCGACGCTGTGGCGGAGTGGGTAGCACATTCGCCTCACAGCAAGAAGGTCTCTGGTTCGATCCTGTATGAGTGTGTGTGTGTATGTGTGGATGTTTCCCAGAGATGGGTTGCGGCTGGAAGGGAATCCACTGTGTAAAAACTTGCTGGATAAGTTGCCGGTTCATTCCGCTGTGGCGACCTCGGATTAATAAAGGGACTAAGCCGACAAGAAAATGAATGAATGAATGTTTAGACTAACATCATATTAATGAATCTTTTTCTTTTGTATAATCTCACATGTTGACCTGACACACTTCCTTTTTTTACTGTGCTGCATACTTTTAGAGGAACTGCTGACCAAAAGAAATATATTAAAGAATAAATTTAGGGTTGTTCCAGACTGCTGTCTGGACATGTCACAAGTTGTCATGATGCTCGTAGAAGTTGTGAACTATGTTAAAGATGCACGTAATTGTTCAGTTCTGGTATGCAGAGAAGAGTTGCAGAAAGAGGAAGTATGTCTGGGGGTACAAGGCAAGGCAAGGCAAGTTTATTTATATAGCACATTTCATACACAGTGGCAATTCAAAGTGCTTTACATAAACAAGAATAAAAGAAACAAGTAAAATAAAAATAATAATAATAAAAATGCGTAAAAACACAACAAAACATAAAAACAGGTAAAATGTGATATAAAAGAATGAAGAAGAAAAGAAAAACATGATAGTGCAATTTGTCTTACGCAGCACAGTGCTCATTCAGTAAAGGCACAACTAAACAGATGTGTTTTCAGTCTTGATTTGAATGTGCCTAATGTTGGAGCACATCTGATCATTTCTGAAAGCTGATTCCAGCAGCGAGGGGCATAGTGGCTAAAAGCCGATTCACCCTGCTTTGACTGAACTCTTGGAACTTCTAGTTTATATGATCCTAAAGATCTGAGTGATCTGTTAGGTTTGTATTCAGTGAGCATATCTGTGATGTATTGAGCTTCTAGGCCATTTAGTGATTTATAGACCAGTAATAATACTTTAAAATCTATTCTGAATGTAACTGGCAGCCAGTGTAAAGACCTGAGGACAGGTGTGATGTGCTCTGATTTTCTGGTTCTTTTTTCTGGATCTTTTTTTTTTTTTTTCTGGTTAGAATTCTGGCTGCAGCGTTCTGGATGAGCTGCAACTGTCTGACTGTCTTTTTAGGAAGACCAGTGAGGAGTCCATTACAGTAATCCACCCTGCTGCTGATAAAAGCATCAATAAGTTTCTCCAAATCTTCACTGGAAACAAAGCATCTGATTCTTGCTATGTTTTTGAGATGATAGTATGCTGATTTACTGACTGCTTTGACATGACTACTGAAACTCAGATCTGACTCCAGAGTCACACCAAGATTCTTGACCTTATTTTTTGTCGTTTGACCTTTAGTGCCAAGGTACGCATTTACCTTGAGAACCTCATCTTTGTTTCCAAACACAATCATTTCAGTTTTCTCTTTGTTTAACTGAAGAAAGTTTTGGCACATCCAATTGCTCATTTCATCAATGCATTGGCAGAGGGTGTCAATGGGGCTGTAGTCATTAGGCAGTAATGAGCCAGTACAAGAGCCAAAGGACTGCAGAATGACTGATAAGTGACGTAAAACCAAAACTCCACCTGTTAAGATCAGTTGTGTATATATGCTGGAGTCAGGAAATGTATGTTAGAGCTCTGTCATCAAATTATTCATTTGTATCTAATAAATTACTAATATTTTTGGCATTAAAGAAAACACTTTCCAGGCCTTTTCTTATTGAACACGCATGGAATTGGCTTGATATTCTAACACTATTATTAAGATATTAACTGTTTGTTAGCACTTACAATGTATAATCTTATTTTACATTCCTAATCACTTTACATCCCTAATCAATAAACACACTTGCATAATTAATTAGTACTTTATTAAGCTAAAAATCTTAGTTAAGTGTCTGTAAATCCCTGACAGAAGTATAAAATTAGTTTTTCTTGAACACGGATACGCTGCGCTTACGCTAAACAATATTTTACCAGCTTTTAAAAGGACATTTGAATAAAAATCATGTAGAAAACGCAGAAACGAGTGCACTTGGTCTATACAGCTTAGATCTGGAATAACTTCAAATATATCTATTTAAAACTGCCTCCATATTTTTGTGAGTATTTTAATGCGAGTGCTGACCTGATGGCATAAACTTCTTGTTGTTTTCCAGCATGGGGAAAGTGAACTGACGGAGATCCTCCATATACGGCAGCTGAACGTACAGCAGACACTGAGAAAGAGAAATATGATGAGTCTGGATTATGATATACTGAACAGAAAGCATTCAGTGTTTGTTCTGTTTCATAAAGGGGTGTAACAATTCACAGAACTCTCGATTCGATAACTTCTTGATTTCAGTTTAATATAAACCCACATACTTCATATTTTTTCTTTATGCAGGGAAACGCGGCGCCCACTTGAGGATTGCTGCGGCGGTCGTAAGCATAACGTACAATGGCTGCCATCTTTAGACCATCAAGAGCACGAATCAGAGAGGACAGAGCAACTGCTGCATGCTGAAAACACACAAACAAAACATTAAACACACACAAACTTAAAAAACCACAACTTTAAGAGCTGGGAGAAATGCAGTTTTCTGTTGAATACTAAAACATTACACTGCTATTCAAAAGATTGGGGTCAGTAAACCGTGTCAAATAAATCAATAATCGTGTTCTGCAAGTACATTCAAGTAATCGGTAACAGTACAGACAATAACATTACGTATTTAATAATGACTATTGATCAATAGAAGATTTCCATTTTAAATTAAATGTTCTTCCTTTACACTTTCCATTCATCACATAATTTTGAAAGTGTCCACAAAAATTTAAAGCAGCACAACAATATTTCATATTGATTATAAAATATTACTTCTTACCTATAAAGCTTTAAATAATCGAGCTCCTGTTTATCTAACAAACCTTCTGTCTCGCTACAATCCAGCCTGCTCTTTTAGATCTCAAAACTCAGGGCTTCTGGTGGTACCTAGAATAGCAAAGCCTTCTAAAGGAGGCCGAGCCTTCTCATTTATGGCTCCTTAACTCTGAAATAGCCTTCCTGATAATGTCTGGGGCTCAGACCCACTCAGTCAGTTCAAAACTAAATTAAAGACCGATCTTTTTAGTAAAGCATACTCAATGTGTCACATAGCGATATGATGCATGAATGTGCTCCACGCAGGTGAGCAGGCTTGACAACCACCTGCAGGACACACTCCTCCTTAATACACCAGACACTGTGTTAGAAACTCTTATATGCTTTACATTTTTGTTTAAAATACCTGCTATTTTCATTTATAACACTCTATTTTTGCACGTCATTTAAATACACTATAAACAGCAGCTACGCTAATTAATTTTACGCTAATTGTAATTTCTTTATTCTCTATTTACACATGAGAATACTCATCCCGAGGTCCCCAGAGATTATCCAGCGCCATTGATGATCCAAGACCTGTGAAGAGATAATCTCAAGGTCTCCATAATCCTGGACCAGGCTATATCCTGAGCTGATGCTGTGAGGGTCATGGAGGAATGGAGTGAATGGAGTCCCTGCATTGATCCTGTGGGCCAGCCTGACCACCCGCCGGTGACCTACTCACGCCTGGACGGACATCCAGCTTCTCCAGCCTCCGGCGCCTAGACTGCAGCTCCACCCAGGAAGTTTGGCCAGAAGAATAAAGGTCGTGCCCAACAGAGCTTAGTCTCTCGAGGTTTTTTCCCTTCACTTAGTCAATTAGTGAAGTTTTTTTTCCTTGCCACTGTAACCACTGGCTTGCTCGAATCGAAGCTGCGCTTCCGTAGATTTGCTCTTCACTGTTTGGACCTCCAGCAGTGAAACTTAAACCACACTAAACTAAACTAAACAGAAATTCAACTCTGAAATCTGGACTTTGCTAGAACTATGTTAAGCTGCTTGACACAATCTACATTGTAAAAGCGCTATATAAATAAACATGAATCGCACTGAATATTTCTAACATTATAATAATGATAAGAAATGATTATCAAATTAGAAGATCCAGTTGTTCTTACAATGATTTCTGAAGGAAATTGTGGGTAACGCTTTACAATAAGGTTCATTAGTTAATGCATTTACTAACATGAACAACACATGTACAGCATTTATTAATCATAATTGAACATTTACTAATGCATTATTAACATCCAAGTCCATGCTTGTTAACATTAGTTAATGCACCATGAGTTAACATGAACTAACAATGAACTACTGTATTTTCATTAACTAACGTTTACTAACATGAACAAATACAGAAGTAAATGTACTGTTCATTGTTTGTTCATGTTAACATTAACTAATGAACCTTATTGTAAAGTGTGACCATATTGGGATACTAAAGACTTTAGTAATTATGCTAAAAAGTCCGCCGTACGTCACAGTTTACCTTCTTAAATATATTAAAATATAAAGTAGTTGTTTTAAATGTAAATAATATTTCACATTATTTTTGTTTCTACTGTATTTCTTTTATGAAAAATATTCCCAAAAACATCACAGAACATTAAAACAACATATTATCAATGCATAATCAATATACAGTATTCTTTTTTATAAATTATCTATAAATTGCGAAGAAGATAAAAATCTTTTTAACATTAAATAAAATATTATTTTGTTAATTATCATTTTGAAAAGAAGAATATTTGAAACACATTAATTATATGTGATACTAGGTGTTTTAAGCAAGTATTCAGATGAGAATTATTGGTGATCATTAAAATAACAGCAAAACTTTACAAATGCTTGGTAAAACTCACCTCATCATCTCTGGGTGCAAAGACTTTGACAACTTGGCTTCCCATAAACTGATGACGAGGAATCTGAATCAATTGAACACAACAAAAACAAATAAATAGTCACTATATAGAGTTAAACTCAAAATCGTTAGCCCTACTGTGTATGTTTTTCACATATTTCCCAATTTATGTTGAACAGGGCAAGGAAATTTTCACAATATTTCCTATAATATTTTTTCTTCTATAGAAAGTCTTATTTATTTTATTTTGGCTAGAATACAAGCAGTTTTTATTTTTTTTAAACCATTTTAAGGTCAATATTATTATTTTTTCCCAATATGTTTATTGATTTTTTTCCTTTTGACCCCATCAAGCCTACACAGCACATATCTACACCCTTCTTATATATATGTATATACACTTATACATACACACATATACATATTCAAATAGGTAAATATATATATATATATATATATATATATATATATATATATATATATATATATATATATATATATATATATATATATATATATATATATATATATATATATATATACACATACACACAAATACATATACATACATACATATACATACATACACACAATATTTAAATTATATATATATGTGTGACATAAACAATAACACAATAATACAAAAAAAAAGAACAAAAAGTAAAAAAAAAAGGTAATAATAAATAAAAAACATGTTTACAAACACACAATTTACATAATATTCATATATGGTTCCCAAAGATAGTCAAAGTCCTTCTGCTTGCCTTTGATGATATAAGTTAGTCTCTCCAGTCCAATACAGTTCAATATTTAGTTTTTCCACATTTCTATGGATGGAGCATCCATGTGTTTCCAGTATAATGCAATAGCCCTTCTAGCTTGAAGGAAACCAAAATCCAAAATTCTTGTATTTCCAATTGTAAGTTCCTTAGGATACAACCCAAGAATACAGAGCTTGGCATTTAAAGGAATTTTAATATTAAACATGTCTGACATACATTCAGTTATATCTTTCCAAAACTTTTGTATTTTAGGACATTGCCAGAGGCAGTGATATAGTGTACTTTTATCATCTAAACATTTAGAGCACACATCTGGAATATTAGCAGACATATGATGAAGTTTCACAGGGGTTATATACATTCTCATTAACCATTTATTTTGAAGTAGTTTAAACCTGGTATTTATTGTTTGTGTTGGAGCTTTTAAGCAAACTTAATTCCAGTCTGCCTCATCTAAGGTCAATATTATTAGCCTCCTTAAGCAACATTTGTTTTCGAATGTCTACAGAACAAACCACTGTTATACAATGACTTGCCTAATTACCCTAACCTGCCTAATGAACCTAATTAACCAAGTTAAACCTTTAAATGTTACTTTAAGCTGTATAGAAGTGTCTTGAAGAATATCTAGTCAAATATTATTTACTGTCATCATGGCAAAGATAAAATAAATCCGTTATTAGAGATGAGTGATTAAACTTTTATGTTTAAAAATGTGTTGGAAAAATCTGCTCTTCGTTAAACAGAAATTGGGGGAAAATACACAGGAGGGCTAATAATTCGGCCTTCATCTGTACATATTCATAGAGGTAACTATTTTTATTTATGGGGGATGTAATACTATATCCTATCATTATGATCACACAATTTCAAGTCAGAGATTCAGAAAAGCACCATAATGAAGACCCATTTAATAAAACCTACAGAGCAGAATTTGTAAAAATCGCTGACACTGAAGAATTTGTCCTGAACGTGGATGTGAAAATAGCACCATCTGCTGAACGATATCTTACCAGCTCCTGTTTAGTGAAGCCAAGCACAGAGAAACACTTCCCATCATGCTTATATTTCATCTGCTCCTCGTCCACCTTTGAAAACGGCACAATGTCACTTCCATAACGGTAACCTGTAAAAACAACACAAGGCATTAAAAAGCCATAATGATTTCTATACAGTACAGATGATCAGATCAGCTTTACAACAATGAATACATCGAAAGCAACTGTAAAATGTTGTCTTGTGTTGCATGAGTATTTTGTAAGAATAGCCAACAATACATTGCATCAGTCAAAATAATTTAATAATTACAATTTTGTAATTACGGTGGCTCAGAGGCTAGCACTGTCGCCTCAAAGCAAGAAGGTAGCTGGTTCAAGTCTCAGTTGGGTCAGTTGGCATATGGTGAAGTTTGTATGTTCTCCCCGTGTTGCTGTGGGTTTCCTCTGGGTGCTCCGGTTTCCCCCACAGTCCAAACACATGGGGAATTGGAAGAACTAAATTGGCCATAGTGTATGAGTGTTTGTGTGTAAATGCGAGAGTGTATGGAAGGGCATCAGCTGCGTAAAACGTATGCTAGCATAGTTCATTCTGCTGTGGCGACCCCAGATAAATAGGGGACTAAGCCGAAGTTGAATGAATGAATGAATTTTGTAATAGCTGTATCTCGGCCATATATTGTCCAAAACAAACCATACCTTCATGGAAAGCTTATTTATTTTTTAGAACTAAAATACAATTATTTAAAACTAAAATAAAATTATTTTAAATTATTAGCTCCTAATATATTTAAAAAATATATATATATAAAAATAGTATTAATATAATTAAACAGAATACAATTTAAAATAAAAAAAAAAATGTGTGAGGATGTAAGACACTTAATAAAACAATTCTAAAAGAGTTGCAGTTGACAAATTAAAATGACTCAAATTAAATTAATAAACTTACTTTTTTTCTAATATATTTTTAATATACACTACAACACCACATATATAATATACAACATGTTTGAGGTCAGTTTTTTTAAGAAAATTATTCAGTTCAAGGCGGCATTTGTTAAATGTAAAAAAAAATGTTAGATTGTTTAATATTTATTACAATTTTAAATAACTGCTCTCTTATTTTATGTAGTTTTAAATAAAACTATTATTCCAGTCATTATTGCTTTTATTACTAGTACAAATAATAGTAATAATAATAATAATAATAATAATAATAATAATAAATATTAGAGTGATTTATGATTCTAAAGCCTGGATAAATAAAGCTGAAAAATGCATCTTTACAATCACTGGAATAAATTATTAAATTAAATTATAAACTACTTTTGAACAGTTTTTTTTATAGTACAATTACGTTTCACAACTTTACAATGTGTGCTGTATTTTTGATTAAATAAATGCAGCCTTGGTGAGCAGGAGAAGCTAATTTGAACCCATTTAAAAATCCTACTGACCTCAAATGTTTGACCAGTTGTGTATATATTTTAAATTAATATTAAATAATATTATGGCTTATTTTAAAATTAAGAAAGTATGATTCAAAATAAAACAATACTAAAACAACAATGTAGTTGATCTACATTAACTGAAATTAAAATTGAAAAAAATTCTAATATATGCAAAATTATGTTAAATTCTGTGTAATTTGATAATTTGTAAAAAAAAAAAAAAAAAAGAAAGAAAAAATGTAAGAAGCAAATAAAATAACACTAATGTAATGTGTAATTATTTAGCGCATTTATCATGTATGACCATACACCCAAAACACTTCACAACCATAAGGAGTATTTGACTCTCCACACCACCACCAGTGTGCAGCATCCACTTAAATGATGCGATGACAGCCACAGGACAACGGTGCCAATACGCTCACCACACACCAGCTATTGGTGCAGTGGAGAGACAGTGATAGTTTCATTATAAAACAAATATAAAACAACTAACATGAGCTGATATTATGATGAATGAGAGCTGCAACAATAAGAGTGGATGTAATATTTGCAGTTTTTGTAATGCACCTTGTATTGTGTCGTCTTTCTGCACCTCAGTTTCATCATCATCGTTCAGACAGTAAACTGTCTCTCTCTTCACGTCATCTCTCTGGTGACTCTGAGCGTCCACAATCGTCCAAGACTTTTTCACCTTTTCCTCTGTCACCTTACGAACATCGAAAACAACATTAGTTCAGGAAAGAAATGCTGACAAAGCAGAGATGCCAAACATGAGTATAAAAAGTCACACCTATTATATTCTCATGCAAAGAGAGTTTTTTTGAAGTTCACTATGAAACTGTGGTGGGGATTGTTAGAAAATGAATTGGAAACTGTGAAAAAACAAACAAACAAACATGTATTTAAAAAGTGAGCTGTTTTAATTTGTTATTCAAAAGTATTTAAAAATTGTTTAATATATCTAGATATAAAAAAACTTTAATCAAATATAATTTGTTATTTAAAATATTATATTTAAGACAACGTAGTGGCGCAGTAGGTAGTGCTGTTGCCTCACAGCAAGAAGGTTGATGGTTTGATCCTCGGCTGGGTCAGTTGGCATTTCTGTGTGTGGAGTTTGCATGTTCTACCTGCGTTCGCGTGGGTTTCGTCCAGGTGCTCCAGTTTCCCCAACAGTTCAAATACATGCAGTACAGGTGAATTGTGTATGAGTGTGTTTCCCAGAGATGGGTTGCAGCTGGAAGAGCATCCGCTGCGTAAAAAATATGCTGGAGAAGTTGGCGGTTCATTCCACTATGGCGACCCCAGATTAATAAAGGGACTAAGCGAAAAGAAAATCAATGAATGAATATTATATTTAAATTAAAAATATTTTTTAAAAGTCTGCTAATTTACAAAAAGAGGTCTAGCAATTTTGATGAATTGGAGTGCAAAAATATTAATAGAAACTTTTTTTTTAATCAAATATCAAACAAAGATACGAAAAAAAGTGTCATTTTTACTAATCTGCAAAACAAAAATGTAATTTTAAATAAAAGTTCTGTCTGTATTTTGGGGAAAGAAAGTCTGCTAATTCACAAAAACTGGTGATAAAGTGGAGTTTAAAAATAACAAAATAGAAACTTTTTTATAAAACAACATAAAAAAAACATCAAAATCAAATGTCTGTCAGTATTTTAGGGGAAGAAAGACTTTCCTTAATTTTATTGAATTAAGGTTTAATAATTTCCATGAAGGGTAGTTAAGCCTTTAAATGTCACTTTAAGCTGTATAGAAGTGTCTTGAAGAATATATAGTCAAATATTATTTACTGTCGTCATGACAAAGATAAAAGAAATCAGTGAAAAATTCACAGGAGGGCTAAAAATTCAGGTCTAGGGTCACTTATAAAAACAAACATATCATGCATTTGATTGATCAACACAAACTCACAGCTTTATATCCAACAATGCGAATAGACAGAGAGCTGCCGATGGTGAGCTGACACGGCCATGCCATCGGCCTCCTTTCAATACGCTTGAAGATGGAGAGTTTCTCCAGAGCGTCACTGCAGAAAACAACACCACAATCACACATCTGCAACAACTGAGGAGGAGGTGAGTGCTATGCGTGCACTAGGGTTGGGCGATGTCGACCAATTTGACATTGTACGATGTCTAATGTCAAAACATCACGATGGACGATGGTGGTGAATTAATTATTTATGAGTAATTAATTCATAACTAATTAATTATTTGTAGCCTACCATTTCAACTACCTGACAAGCATGGTCTTTGTTTTACCCATAACCAAATCATAAATAAATGAAGATAATTTACACACAAATGACCACCTGTCAATCACTTTTTCCTCAGGACTCTGGCATGAATAGGCAGAGTGATCTGTGTCGTTATAATAGGTCGACAAACTTGGTTGGTAAAAAGGTGCAGAACCAACAGGAACCAACCAACAGTATCTGAGGTGTTCGCTAAAATTACACAGTACAAGTGTGAAAGTGAAAGACTGAAGCAGTGTACTGACGGTGTCATAGATATATACACTAGATATCGCATAGGGACTCTGAGCATGCGTCAATAGCGCCGCCACATTGGTACAGTGCTCCCAGGACAAATGTCATTCAACCGCACTAGCCAAGACAGTGTTATTACGTGAAGATGCGGGACTTTAGCGCTGTCTACGGGTGTAGTAGTGAGCAAACAAAAAAAACAAAGCACAAAGGCAGAACATTTCATAGGTAATATTAAGTTTTTTCTGTTTTTGTATGTTCTGAACTTTTGTGCTAATCAGGTCACGTTATTGATGATAACAGTCACTTACTGCATTCACTTTAAGTCAAAGTAGCTCCAACTCGCACTAAACACTCGGCTTATGCTAGTTTTGTTGAATAAAATCAGCAAACAATGCAAAAGAAATATGACAACGAGATGCTGCGCTGCCAGAAACTTGTATTAATGTCGGCTAGTGAAGGAGTCGTTCATAACGAAGATTCATTCACAAACGAATCGCTCCCTCCGTCAGTATGAGAGGTGAAAGCAGGAGAGGAGCTGTGTTTCAGGACATGATTAGATCAAATTTAACAGGGAGGGTGGATAGTACATTTCCATACACTCAAACACAAGCTTTTTGTCAGGAATGCCAGTGCGGTCACTGATCCATCAATGTAGAAAAGTGATGTAAAATTATAACTTTCATAATTAAAAAAAAATTGCATACTAACATCCAGGAAAACCGATCATAGATAAATGTGTATATGTGTATATCTCGGGCTTTGGATGGCCACAGTCCTCCACTGTACCTTGGTCCCGCATTCATTTAAAAAAAAGCGCTACATCTAATGTATATATCTATGTGACGGTGGTATCCATTTGCGCCACTTTGTGGACTCATGGGTGTTTCGGTCTAAATAAGACGTCACCTTAGAATTATAAGGTTCTATCTGACATCTTTGTCAAAATTGAGTTATTGATATATTCTAATTAAATGACAACCTATTTACACTATGGGATGTTTTTCAATAAGTTGTTTCTATTTTAAGACTTTTTATTTAAAAATCAAATGTCACACACATACTGTTCGCTATGGAATACAAAAACTATTGAAACTATTGAACTACTGAAACTCAATATCTCAAAATTATTTAGAACGCAGATAGAACCTTATAATTACAAGGTGACGAAGAGGCGGGTTAAGGTGCATTGTTGCTATTTTGAGAAACTAAAAGACTGTTCAATAGACCAGCTGAAAGCAGGTCCAAAGTCCAGCGCAGAGCGCGTTAGTTGTGTGTTTCGCTTACACATTGCTTAATACATATATGGGGTACAAATATAAAAGAATTAACGGATTAAAACATTAAAAAAGTTATTTTCTACATCAATATAAAAACTACTAGTTTATTCAAGACAATTTGCTTTTGTATATTGTTATTATTATTAGCAGTATTATTTATTATATGCATATTTATATTTGTTTTATTAAAAACAAGCTTAGATTTGCCCACCTGTCAGATTTTGGACCATATGGGGCAGCATGTGTATTAGGATATAACTCAGTTGTTTGACCACACTTCATTATTATTGTTCATTTATTCGTTTGCTGGAAATTAAAACTGAATTTAGTAGGGGTGTAACGATACACTCAGCTCACGATACGATGTGTATCACGATATAATGTTCACGATTCGATACGTATCACGATATTTGGAATAAAAATTGAAAATAAACTGAAATGCAAATTTTACCAAGTAAACTATTTTTTATGTATTTCTTTTGTTTCAACTTGTTAAACTGAACCTTCTTTAAGAAATTAAATTAAACAGGCCTGTCTCTGAAAAATAAAACAATTTAAAAACTTCTTTAAAAATATTATTGAAATGACAGAGACAAAATTAAGGAACAATTTAAGTAACAAAACCACATTTCCAGGTATTTAATTCATATTTAATTCAATTCATTTAGAGATATCTGTAATTACAATTGTGACTAGTCAAAACTCATTTAGAGATATCTGCAAATATTTTTCAATAGAAGTCAATGGAGGAATATGACTAGTCATAATATATTTGCAGATATCTCCAATCTGATTTCGTACTAGTACAATTGTAATTGCAGATATCTCTAATTGTCATTCTGACTAGTCGAATTATAATTATGACTAGTCAAAATATAATTAGAGATATCTCTAAATATATTTATGGTTAGTCAGAACAAAGGTTTAAATGCTAAAACGGCTTGCCATATGCGCGCGTCTATCATCCGCCCTCTGTGGTAACAGCTCACGGTCAGCTCACGTCATGTGTGAATTTGCGGCGGGAACATTATATGAAGACAGAATGATATTTTAGAGTGAATTGTACCTTATAAATACAGTATGTGACTCTTTCAACACCATAAGGAGGTATCCCTGTCACTGTGCAAAGTATGTAAATCACTGTGAAGACTTTAAAACTTAGGATGTTTGTCCCAGTATGCGTGTCAAAAAGCGGACGAGTCTAAAGCAATGACTGTACAACCGAAATGTTGCCAGACGTCTGATTTTGAGAGGATGGGCCATCCTCTATTTCAGCTCCACTCATCTTGGTCTGCTAACATTACTGCTGCTGCAATCTGAACTCACGTGCGACAGCAGGTGGAACGTAGCTCACGTGCAAACAGCTCAACTAATAAGAGAAAGCGGACGTCATATCGTAATCAAATCGTCATAACGCCACGATGCATATTGTGACATTTTTGCATCGCAATAAATCGTACAACGATAAATCGTTACACCCCTAGAATTTAGAAATAGATTTTAAACAAATCTTTGCGCCTTACAAACAAAATAAATTATGTAGGCTAATGGATGTCTGTGCGTACAACACGTTTCCTTATCCATGAAAGAGAGAAAGTGAAAGTAAAGAGGACGAATTGAGTAGGCTCGTTCTTTATCCTCGTGCTGCAGATGATCTGTTTAATTGTTTGCTCACTAGTGAAGTCCATCTAAGGAAATAGCAAATGCGCCATGGCGTGACGCAACTAACTCTAAAAGGGAATGTGAGATGCGACTCTGATTGGTTTAATGCACGTAATGTTAAAAACACTCCCAGAACTCATTAAGAAGATAAGCACAACCCTGTTAGATCATGCACCGGGGTGCAGAGCATATTTTTCCATTCTTAAAATAGCAAAAGAGGATTCGGACACGCCTTTAATGCTTTTGCGCCCTGTGCTTCAGACTTTGCACCCAAATCGTTAAAATAGAGCCCACTGTGTGCATAATTAGACATTTTTTGCTGTCTGCAATTGTTCTTTTGCGCATACGGGTCAGTTTAGGACCATGATCTGTTCATGCTGCAGATCTGATATTGGCTACATCTCTAACAACAATGTGAACAGCCATGCGAAAAAATCGGATCAAGAAAAAAAAATTGATTCGAGCACTATGCCTTGCAGTGTGAACGCAGCTATAGTGACACCAGTTTCTGAACTTGTCTGAATTTATTATCTCCGAGCACTGTAAATCCCTGCACATGTACACTGATTTACTGTCTTCAAAACTTCTACAGTGAAAGATGGACTGAAACCAATTTATTGTACTAGAACTTCATCTACATAAAGCTGCTTTGACAATCTACATTGTAAAAGAGCTATAGAAATGAAGATGAATTATATTCCACGTCACACACTTACTGTTATACAAGCATATGCTTAATAAATAAAAAAATAATTGAATAAGAAAGAATCGTGGTTTTCCTGGAAAAAAACTGTGATATGACAGTTTTGTCCCAGCCCTAACCTGAATGTGTAGACCTCCTCCAGGCCGTCCTCGTCCTCCAGGCTGCTCATGATGTGTTTGACCATCTCCAGGCCTTGTGTTTGTTGGCGACTCAAGCCTTTTCCTGGACGGGACGGAGGCGCTGAGGGTCCTGCTGCATCACCTCCACCTCCGGCTTCATCCTCAACATCCACAGGGAACGGCAAACTGAACCAAACAAAACAAATCAATACAGAAATACCAATAATATAGAGAACTAACATGTGCACGTTCAAATCACAATGTATTTATTGTGTTTTAATTTATTATCTACTAGTGACATATTATATCTTATAAGCCCCATGTACAGTTGAAGTCAGAATTATTAGCCCCCCTGAATTTTACCCCCGTTTATTTTTTCGCCAATTTCTGTTTAAAGGAGAGCGGATTTCTTCAACACATTTATAAACATAATAGTTTTAATAATTCATTTCTTATCTTTGCCATGATGACAGTAAATAATATTAGACTAGATATTCTTCAAGACACTTCTATACAGCTTAAAGTGATATTTAAAGGCTTAACTATGTATTTAATTAGGTTAACATGGCAGGTTAGAGTAACTAGGCAAGTTATTGTAAAATTATGGTTTGTTCTGTAGACTATTGGAAAAAAATATAGCTTAAAGGGGCTAATAATATTGACCTTAAAATTATGTATTAAAAATTAAAAACTACTTTTATTCTTGCTGAAATAAAACAAATAAGACTTTCTCCAGAAGAAAAAATATTATCAGACATACTGTGAAAATTTTCTTGCCCTGTTAAACATCATTTAGTAAATATTTAAAAAAGAAAAAAAAAATTCAAAGGCTAATAATTCTGACTTCAACTGTATATTACTTAGCAAAAAGTATTTTTTTTTAATTTTATCATAAAAATGTTTTTTAAAAAATGTATTTGTTTTTAAACTAAATATTCATAAATAAAATAAGAACCTCCCAACTAGAAAATTACATAAAATAAATGACACCAAAATCATTTATTTTCTACAATTTTTTTTATCCATTTAGCAATGTATTATTAACAAAGTTTTGTAAAGAACTACCATCTTCATATTTAAATAAAATTGTTTTTCAGTATTTGTCTATTTAGAGCAGGGGTCTCAAACTCGCGGCCCGCGGGCCATTTGCGGCCCTCAGTGCAATATTTTGTGGCCCGCGCCGACCGCTGTACTCTGACAGAATCAGCGGAGCGGGGAGAGAGAGCGCTCCCCGCTCCGCTGATTCTATCCGTACACAGCGCGCTTGTCACTCAATGCGCGTTGTCGCGCGCGTTCTGATCAGCTGTGTTGTCGCGCGCCTACTGAAGGGCGGGACCGAGGGTGTGTCGCGTCGCAGGGCCACTTTTGATCATTTTGGAAGGGCACTTTCTATGCAAGACTAAAAAGGGCATGTGCTCTGCACAGGTTGAGCCCTATGTGTGCACGTGCCTGCCCTGTTGATATTATAGGTAGATACAGACTGGTACAGACTGATGTGACTGGAGTGGGATGGGGGTGTTTTATTTATACATATATACGCCTTTTTTTTAGGTGAGGGAATGAAAGTTTTGAGTGAGTTCCCCCACTTTTTTCCCTAGGACTTCAATAAGTCAAAGTACAGGTCTAGATTTAATGATGATCATCTTCAAGCCATACTGAGGGTCTCAACTGCTTCCGCTCTAAAGCCAAATGTGGTTCAGATTTGTGAGAAGAAGCGCTGTCAAGTCTCTGGCAGCAAGAAGTAGGCAAAAGATGCCATGTTCAGAAGAACTGTTCATAATCTTCACTCAATGTTCTATTAATGTTCAGGACACTTCATGTTCAGAGGAAATAATTAAAACTGTTAATAATGACATTTGAGGACTTTTTTTTTGTGAAATCCCTTATGCGGCCCAGCCTCACCCAGACTTTGCCTCCTGCGGCCCCCAGGTAAATTGAGTTTGAGACCCCTGATTTAGAGCTTTATCTTATTAATATTTCATCTTATTACCCCCTGTATATTATTTATTAAAAGTAATTTGATATTGATTTTTTTTTTTTATAAAAATGTAACATTTTTTATGATTTATCAGTTTTTAATAAACTCAACCCCATGTGTTTCACTCAAGTCCCCGTATCGGAAAATAGAACATTTTATTTAAAATTAATTTACAGCAAAATTATTTATTATTTATACTGATTTTAATCTATTATGCAATGTATGAACAATAAACTTTTGTAGAGAACTACCAATTGCATATTAAAAATAAAATGCTTTTATTTATTATGTTTTTTACCTTAATATTACCTTATTATCCATGTATATTTTCTATTAAATAAAATACATATTGTTTTATTTTAAAATGTAACAACTTTTATGATAAACTTTTTTTGTTCATAATAAAATCAAAACCCCATTCATTTTGCTCACAAACATTTGTAACTCTTAACTAGAAACAGAAATCAAAAATTTAAATGAACTTAATAATAATAAAATAAAAAGCCAAAAATATTTTCTTTTCTTTGTCATTTTATTTTATGATCTTTTTTACAATGTATGCATATACAAGAGAGATAGAGTTTTAATTTTGTTGCCATTTTAGCTTCTTTGGCTATGTCATGATAATAAAAAAACAGATTAAGTTTACCACATTTTATAAATACCACTTTTCTATAACTATAAAAATATTCTAACAATTAAAAGTCATCAACAGCAATAAATAATATACAAGGTTAAATACATAAATAATAATGATAATATATATTATAAAAATCTAAAACAGTTTTTAAAGGTTTACTTTTGATTAAAAACATCTACAATTTTAGAAGGATTGACATTTAAAAATATTTCATTTAAAGTCTCTTCAGATAAAAAAATTGTTGTCTGATAACATTAAAAATGGGGCATTCCACAAGAATATATTTAACAGTTTGGTTTCTGTAGCAATATAGACATTTTGGGGATTCTTCACCTTTGAGTAAATGTTCATGCGTGAGTCTCATGTGTCCAATGCGGCATTTTCTATAAACAATCTCATCATGTCTGGAGTTAAAAAATAAATTAGATTTTCTTCCTTTTTCTGGATGAATTTCAAAAAGTTTATTTTCTGGGCATTGATCTCATTCTGTTTGCCATTATAGCCTTTTATTAGTTGCTTTAGATCCGAAGGTGGGCTTTTGCACTCCTTTTAGCTTTCCTGTAAGGGCTGTTTTTTCGGCTTTGTCGGCTTGTTCATGTCCAAATAGTCCAGTATTTGCCCTGGGTTCCAGCAGAAGACTATATTAAAAACTTTCTCTGTAGTTCGTTCACTTTGATAAAAATGTCAATAATAATGTGATGCATGGATATACAATAAATGGTAAATAACAAATATCCATATAAAATAAAATAAGATACTAACAAACCTTCTCTTTGTACCATCTGTCAAGCTAAATCTGTTCTTCTTAATGTTTTTTTTTACTATATTGTTATTCATGCACTTATTTATTGTCTATTAGTGCTATTATTGTTGTTAAAGTTTATCTAATTACTTGATTATACTTAATTATGTCCTGTCACCGAAACAAATTCCATGTGTGTGTATAGAAATTTGGCAATAAAGCTATTTCTGATTATGACGAATTTTAAATATCAAATCTGGGCCACTTTGCATCTTATTTTGAGGGAGAACGTCCCTGTTATAAACATATACTGTAGCATCTGACAATTGATGACATAAAAGTGCACAGCTTTTTTTCCCCAAGAATAATCTTTTGGCCTGTCAGTATAAGTAATCTTTCTTATTCTTATTTCTTACAAAAACTGCAGGGTGATTCCAGCTTTCTTCAGGTTCTGAATGATAATATCCAGCTGATCTTCTGAAGTCTGGATGTTCAGATCCGTCAGCAAGGCGATGTTCAGACGATCATACTTCTTCCCCCTTAAAACAGATGAAAAGAGTGACAGAAGCATAAAAAACTCCTTTAGAGGGCATAAATGCATTTAAAGGAACAGGAAAATGGTGCTAAACTATCTCACATGGTTTCATTCTGCAGAAGGTCCATGCAAACCACCAGAGCATCGAGCCCTGATGAAAATGTCAAGGAACTTTAACACATAAAATACTAATAATATCATTTATTGTATTAGTGACTTTCATGTTCAAAACTTATAGGCCTTATGACCTTTAATATTTTAATAATTTAACAGGGTTATTGCTATAATAAACTGAAACTAAAATAATCATTGCTTGAAATAAAATAAAAGGTAATGAAAAGGTTTAATAATAATAATAATAATAATAATAATACATTTTATTAATAATGTGCTTTACTCAGTCCCGAAGCGCTAACAGGCATACAAGGCAAACAATGCAGAACAGTAAAAACAGTCAAAAAAATAATAAATAAAAGACCGCAATAAAATATGAATGATTCAATACAACTGAATGATAAAATAACAAAAATAATCAATCAAAGTTAAAAGCAATGGTAAAAAGATGAGTCTTAAGTTTCTTAAAACAATCCAGAGAAACAGCATTCCTGATCCTGCTGGGTAGGCCATTGCATTGCTTTGGCGCCCTGTACGAAAAAGCACGACCACCCATAGTCTTCAGAAGACTATGTTTAATATATCAAGATGAGAAAGGAGCAAATATTTCTCATTTTGATTTAAGTTGATGTATTTTTTTTTTGACGATGTAGAAACACAGAACTAAAAATGCAATTTGAAAATATTAAATAAAATTTAATTTTTATGACTTAATTAACAGCTTTTTATCAAATCACTTAGATAACAACGACATAATAATAATAATAATTATTGTAAATTATTACAATCATTATGCTTGAAAAAAATCTTCTCTCCATTAAACAGCACATGGAAAAAATATTTGAAAAAGAATTAAAATGTCACAGAAGTGCTAATAAATGTTGTCTTCTGCTGTATATACTGTAGTGTAACAGGAAGGATACAGTCTGCCTGCTGACCGCCAGGTTGCAGTTCTCTCTCAATCTCCTCCAGCAGTTCAAAATCAGGGATCATGAGGTGTCGGTGAACCGTGATGTTCTCATACTGACCGTCATTGGCCAGAGGATTCTTGGTGCCATCAGTACCAAACAGCACCAAACCAATCTCATCCTTATTCTCAGCAAACACCTGAAACACAGAAACAGCTTGAATTCACATCCGAACCAAAGTGAGTTTTATTCGCCAAGTATGCGCAAATAGACAAGGAGCTTTTGTAAGCTCAGTTGTACAATATAAGGAGTCACATTATTGTGGCTTTGAGGCTCTATGGGATTCGAATTACTTGCCATAGTTATTTAAAATTACACTTTATTACAATATATACTGAATATAAATGTATTCCATTAAATATATTACATAATATTAAATTACATAAAATAATTAAAAGGTCAAATTTTGGACCTTTTGGCCGTGGGGCTATATATATATATATATATATATACATACATACATACATACATATGTATATATATGTGTGTGTGTGCGTGTGTGTGAGTGTGTGTATGTATGTATGTATGTATGTATATATATATACACATACATACATATATATATATATACATACATATACATACATACATACATACACATATATATATATATACATACATATACATACATACATACATACATATATATACATACATACATATACATACATACATACATACATACATACGTATGTATATATATATATATATATATATATATATATATATATATATATATATATATATATTTATACATACATACATACATACATATATATACATACATACATACGTATGTATATATATATATATATATATATATATATATATATATATACATACATACATATGTGTGTGTGTATATGTGTGTATATATATATATATATATGTGTGGTTGTATGTATATGCATGTTTGTTTATGTGTGTATGTATATATATATATATATATATATATATATATATATATATATATATATATATAAGCTTTTTCTTAAATATATGCATGCATGTATATGCATAATAATTATACATAGTATACAGATATATTATGTCAAAACTAACTTTTATTTTAGATGCAATTAATTTTTGTACAAACCTGCCGCTGGACAAACTTCTGGATGACTTTCTTGGCCTGTTCAAATGGCGGCTCCTGTCCAGGTCCAGAGTTGCTCATGGAGAAACCCACATCCATGCAGAGCACCAGCGCTGACTGCAAAAACACAATAAAAGACTGAAAACACATGTTTCAAGCAGCAAAAATAACAATTTGGGGACACAGCTCCATGTGGTGGAAAGAGTTTGAAAAATCGTACTCAAGTGAAAGTGCCATTACTTGCCAAAACATGTAGTGCAAGTAAAAAGTATCTGTTGTAAAGACTACTCAAAGTATGCGTAAAAGTAGTTGATCTTAAAAGTACTCAAGAATAGTGAGTAGAGAGTTTTATAATTTATTCCACCTTTTCCACCTTAAAGCATGCTGATTAAAAATGTAGCTTGATGTTGACGTGTACAGTAATTTAGCTGTTTTGATTGTTAATTCTTTTTAAAGTAATTCCATTTTATGTTAGATAGACTTTGTGTGTAGTGAGGATATTGTAGCCAAATGTTGATGAAACCAGTTTTGAACCAGTTTGATAAGACAGCTGAATGTACAAGAAACAACCTTGAGTTTCCACAACAGATTGCCTCTTGCTTCTATTGTGTCCATGGTTAAGCTTTTTACAGGTCGGAGATCAACTCTTAATAGTTTTAGGGTCGGCCTGACCCCCAAGAACCATGCTGCCATCCATATCTGGAGTTAGATACAATTCTTCCTTGACGCACACATTTAGAATTGTCTATTTTTGCTGTGACTATTGACAACTGTTAACCTGGATCCCACCTTTTCTGGACTTGTGTAAAGAGTGTAATTGCTGCATTGTTGTACTGCAAGTCAGATCGGCCTGCGACCTTTGCTTGAGTGTGAAGCCCTTCTGCCATAGAAATGCAAACTATCTTCAGTAAATTTTTAGTTGTATCTTCAACTCTGAGTCTTCTCTTCATTTGACACACCAGACATTTCCTAAACTGCTTATCTTAAACCCCAACAGGTTACTCAACATGTCATTACAAACATGTTTATCTGTGTTTTTATCTCAAAATACACACATTTTCATTGAAGACGGTTTTATAATCACATTCATATTCAGACTTTCTCCTTAACAATATTTCAGAAAAGTATTCTTTGCCAATTCTAAATAGTGATTCATATTATCAGCCAATGACTATCCAACGTACAACATTGTTCACAGTCGATGAAATAGTGCTATTGTTGTTTTCAAGTCAAACTTACACGTGATTTCAGACCGAATATTCAAAGTACCATGGTAAACAATAAAGGGAGGTAGAGGTAAAGTTGTTTTTATATTCGCACATTCAACTTTGCCCTTAATAATATAATGTCTTAAAAGTTTTATTGGCCAAACTCTAAATAGCGAAATCATATTAGCAGCCAATGACTATCAAAGTACAACATTGTTCACAGTCAAATAAACAGTGTTAATGTTGTTTTCAAGTTATACTTGCATGCTAATTACGTTAGAATATTCAAAGTAACATGGTAAACAATATAGAGACTTCTAAAAAACGAATGTGCGAATATAAAACCAACTTTACCTCTATTAAAGGGAGCATGTCACAAGTTATCACAGATCGTATGCGCTAACGTTAACATAAAACCAACTTTACCTTTTCCAAACAAGTAAACGTTTACAGTTTCTGCTCACTTTGTAAATATCCGCTCTCTAACTCATTGACACCAATTGTATTATACATAAATCCTGTCTGTTTTGTATATTTTATCATTAAAACATCTAAAATTATGTAAATAGTATCTGACAACTGAATCTGTTTATGTACAACGCATAAATGACACTTTTCCACACATTTTCATAATAAGCGAGTCAAACTTTGTTTTGTCTTTGTGAGAATGCCATACAAATCACCCGTTCGCTCGGTCTATTCGACGAACTCTATGTTGTATAAAGAAAACACAACTTTATATAACTAAAGACAAGTTTTAAAATGTCAAAGTTTGCCAATGAATGACTGAATTACCTTCGCTGCTCGCGCCATCGCTGCTGGCTTCCGTCTGTTATTGTTCCGGGTAAGTAAATGAACGGAAAATACAAGGTTCCGCCACAGACATTCGAGGGAAAATGTAGCATCAGCTTATTCCAAAACACCTGATAAATTTTCTAATGTCTAAGCCTAGACACTTTTGGCAAAAATATAGTTTAAGCACTTCACAATTTTGAAATGTGGCTTTTAGGGCCAGCTAAAAGAAAACATCTAGCCTTAAGTTTACAGCTGCGGCCTGAAGTTAACAAGAATTATTAATGTTATTTATCAAATTACGCAATAATTACGCTGAACGTGATACAACTACTACTGTAATTCTTCATAGTAAATACCATAGTGACTTTGAATCATACTATAAGTACTTGAATAAATCTGTTGTGATCATTCTTGCTATGGTAATACAACTTTTTAGCGTAAACAAATGACGCTGTAAGCTTTATTCCACTATATTTCTAACTATAGGTATAGCCTACAACACATCACAGTTTACTGTAGTAAACTAAAGTATATTAAAATATTTATTAGTCAGTACAGTAATACAGCATTCTGAAGCATCCGTTAACAAAGTTCATCTCGGTCCTGAAGGGCCGGTGCCCTGCAGAGTTTAGCTCCAACTCTAATCAAACACACTTGCTTATAGATTTCCAGTGATCTTGAAGACACTGATTAGCATGTTCAGATGTGTTTGATTAGTGTTGGAGCTAAACTATGCAGGACACCGACCCTCCAGGACCGAGTTTGCCCATGTTCTAGTGTTACCTAAATATTAAGATCTCTGCAAAATTCTGCAAGGACTAGTTGGTAAAAAATCTAACCTGTTTACATGCATTGTCTTGCCTTAATTCTAATCTGAATAAATTTACATGTACATTTACATGTACGAATGTAAAAGGTGTCACAATGTGCCTGTAAAAGTGATGTGCAGATGGATTATGCAACTGTGCATTAATAAACTGCAAATGATTTACAAACCTTCCTGTAATCTCTATATACCTATTAATATGAGCAGCAGATTTCAGCGGCGTCTCCTTATACAAGATCCAACATGTATGTGGGTCAGACATGCTCCTGGAAATCCTCATATGTCCAGTCATAACATGAATATGACAGTTTCTGCAGGGCAAATCACACGGTTGGATAAACATACATGTATTCAGAAGAGACGTGATTGTTGTGCATGAATTTATGAAGACAAAAACTGAGCAAATATTTTGTACTCAGAGAAACTGTCATGAATCGCTGTTTTAGAAATGTATATATTTGCGTACTTGAATTCCATTTAAGATGCCACTTACTGATCTTAAAAAAGGTTTTCTTTATGAAACATTTACTACACTTGAAAAATTCTACACTCACCGGCCACTTTATTAGGTACACCTTACTAGTACCAGGTTGGACCCCCTTTTGCCTTCATATCTGCCTTAATCCTTCATGGCACAGATTCAACAAGGTACTGGAAATATTCCTCAGAGATTTTGCTCCATATTGATATGATAGCATCACACAGTTGCTGCAGATTTGTTGGCCGCACATCCATGATGAAAATCTCCCGTTCCACCACATCCCAAAGGTGCTCTATTGGATTGAGCTCTGGTGACTGTGGAGGCCATTTGAGTACAGTGAACTCATTGTCATGTTCAGGAAACCAGTCTGAGATGATTCACGCTTTATGACATGGTGTGTTATCCTGCTGGAAGTAGCCATCAGAAGATGGAGACACTGTGGTCATAAAGAGATGGACATGGTCAGCAACAATACTCAGGTAGGCTGTGGCGTTGACACAATGCTCAATTGGTACTAATGAACCCAAAGTGGCCAAGAAGATATCCCCCACAGCATTACACCACCACCAGCAGCCTGACCGTTGATACAAGGCATGATGGATCCATGTTTTCATGTTGTTGACGCCAAATTCTGACCCGACCATCCGAATGTGGCTGCAGAAATGGAGACTCATCAGAGCAGGCAATGTTTCTCCAATCTTCTATTGTCCAGTTTTGGTGAGTCTGTGTGAATTGTAGCCTCAGTTTCCTGTTCTTAGCTGACAGGAGCGGCACCCGGTGTGATCTTCTGCTGCTGTAGCCCATCCGCCTCAAGGTTGGACGTGTCGTGGGTTCAAAGATGCTCTTCTGCAGACCTCGGTTGTAACGAGTGCTTATTTGAGTTACTGTTGCCTTTCTATCAGCTGGAACCAGTCTGGCCATTCTTCTCTGTCCTCTGGCCTCAACAAGGCATTTGCGCCCACAGAACTGCCGCTCACTGGATATTTCCTCTTTTTCAGACCATTCTCTGTAAAGCCTAGAGATGGTTGTGCGTGAAAATCCCAGTAGCTCAGCAGTTTCTGAAATACTCAGACCAGCCCGTCTGGCTCCAACAACCATGCCATGCTCATAGTCACTTAAATCCCTTTTCTTCTCCATTCTGATGGTCGCTTTGAACTGCAGCAGATCATCTTGACCATGTCTACATGCCTAAATGCATTGAGTTGCTGCCATGTGATCGGCTGATTAGAAAAATTGCGTTAATGAGCAGTTGGACAGGTGTACCTAATAAAGTGGACGGTGAGTGTATATTTCTTTTTAAATTGTATATGAAAAATGGTACTTTCGTCCCTGCTCTCCCCTTTAATACATACAGTATTTTACACTTAAAAATATGGTTTAAAAACTCTACGGTTTTTACTATAAATGACTATAGTATTTTTTCATGCAGGAATACCCTTTAATTTTCATTCAATTGGAATTAAATGGTTTCAATATATTTTGCTTTGTGAACCACAACAGTAGCAAATCTGACATTGAAATACAAGAATAGGAGTTTTATTGTCTTTAAGCAAAACACACACACACACACACACACACTCAAAAATATAAAACAAGTAAACAAATGTCAGAAGTAACACTTTTATTCATTAAATAGTGAGTTATTTAAAATATTTATTTGAAGGTCCCTTTGCGCTGGTTATGAATATAATTTTTGGAATAACTGTTTGCACACACAAACACACTCACAGCATTCACCCTTTTCACTGGGTGAGCCTGGGTTTCTCTGGTGTTAGTAAATAAAACAGCTTGAATAAGATAATGTAGAGGACTCCTGACAATCACAGTCTATTTGCATATACGTATATAAATATATGGCTTGATTTTACAGGGGGTCAAGAAAATCTCTGCTCTTTTCATAACCCTTCTGATTTACTAGAAAAATAGTTTTAATTGAAATAAAACATGCAAAAGTAAATGGTGACACTTTAAAATAATGATTACTGCATCAGTACACTAAAAATGAACAATACTTCAAGAATTTATTTAAATGTAAATTCCGATATTATTTAAATAAAGTGGTTACATTTGAATGGATCTGACCTAATATTTTTAATAATACTGTAACAAATATTGTAATAATAACACATATTGAATGTTAAATATGATCTCATTGCAGAGCTTAACCAATAAATACAACAAATAATAAATATTTTAAATGTGCTTATCTTGCGAAAGCACAAATGTCTGAGGTACAGTATGAAAGTAGGAAAAACAAGACCAAATAATGAATAAAATAACACTTTACATAAGGTTTTATTTATCAACATTAATAAAATACATTAGTTAATATGAACTAACGATGGAAAAATACTTTTAAATCATTTTACTCTGTTAATGTTGACTTTAATTACTTACTAATAATTTTGTGAGTTAACATGAACTAATAATAAATACATGTTTTTTTATTAACTGATGTTAATGAATATTAATAAGTGCTAAAACGTTAAAATAATGAATGCAAAATGTATTGTTCATTGTAGGTTAATGCATTAAGAAGTAAATAATGGACATGTCACTGAATTATTAGAATATAATAAACAGTTGAGGTGGTGATGCAGCCTTTTTTACTTCTAATAATTCACCAGACCAGGGTAAATTATTCAGCTTAAACTGCAGTTCCCACAGCTGTAGCCACTGTTCAGATTTTTCCAACTCAAACTGCTCCTGCGTGCAGCACTAGTTTCTTCCAGATCTCCTCCAAAGCCTTCTGTAGTGTTTTGATATGATTTCTGACTGTTGTAGCTGTGCAATCACTCAAATCATTCGGCGGAGTGATATTGAGCTGTAATATGCTCACAATCTGTCGGAACTACTTTAGCTGTGCGCTTAAATATAATGGCACACCTTTGAATGCTCATCAGCCAATCAGAATGAAGCATTCAACAGCTCTATAGTATAGCAAATAATATTACACGGCCCTCTGAGTGACTTGATTCCATTCCAAAGTATGTAATTTTTTAACAACAACCGGCAACACAGACTTGTGGCTCAGAAAAAAGTTTTGTGTCTAATTTTTACATTTTGTGCAAAGTAGACTTGCGAAAAGCAGGATAAAGTACATCCAGGAGGTTGTTATTGCATAATAAAGCCTGACAGGCTTATCGCCAGCCCAACGTTGTTCTTTATATATACCCGGCGCAATAGGGCACAAGACGTGATTTAGATCTATTTGCACCACTTTGTGGACTCATGGGTGTTTCGGTCCAGAAAGGAGTTGTGTTAAAGCTCATTGTTGGTGTGTTGCTATTTTGAGAAACTGAAATAGACCAACAGCGCCACTGACCAACTACAAGCTGTTCTAAAGTCCAGCGCAGAGCGCGTTAGTTATGTGCCTATGTAGGTCCTAACGCTACACATTGCTTAATACACACAGGATGTACAGCAATACACAAATATCTTTACAGATAAAAACAATTAAAGAATTATAATGTTACTAAAATTATTATTTTTCCACAAATATAAAAAAACACTGCCGTCATGCCTTCTTCACCTCTGGGGGTTTCACGACTGGGGGCTTGCGTTTGTATAATGTTATTATTATTAGCTGTATTATTTATTATATGCATATTTATATTAGCTTTAATAAACAAGCTTAGATTTGTCCACCTGTGGGGTTTTGGAGACGTCTGCATCACCATATGGGGCAGAAGAACAAGACGTGTGTTTGGATATAACTCAGTTTTCTGACCACACTTCGTTATTATTGTTGATTTATTAGTTTGCTGGAGATTAGAACTGAATTTAGAAAAAGTTTTGAAACAAATTTTTGCGCTTAAAAAAACAAAATTCAACATGTAGGCTAATGGTTGTGTTCAGTGGAGCGAGTTTCCACTGTTTCCTTACTCCACCAAAGTAAAGGAGTAAAGAGTAAAAATAAAGTAAAGTGAAAGTAAAGAGGCTGAATGGAGGAGGCTCGTTCTTCATCCTTTTGCTGCAGATGCTCCATTTAACACTTACAAAGTCCGCCATGTAAATTGCAAACGCACCACAGCGCAAATACATAGACTTTGCTCCTATATTGTTAAAGTAGAGCCCTAATTCTCTCTCTAAATTACACATTATAAACTACAAGTATGGAATTCAGTGACAACATGTCACCAAACCGTCAAAAAAGCAAAGCTGACAGAAACTAAACCAGCTGAATAAAGCACAGAATAACCTACATATTGTTCATTCACAAGACAACGCCAAACAGTGAAAATATAAATAAAAGCGGCATGACAGGCAAGCAGACACATATGAACGTGAATGTAAATATATAAATATGAATGTATTCACTGACAGACAAGATCATTCTCAGTTCCTGGGTGAGTCTGTGTTATTCAGCGGATGTTATCTGGGAATAACATACCTTAGAACAGGGGTTCTAAATCTCAGCCCTGGAGGTCCAGTGTCCTGCAGTTTTTAGCTCCAACCCCAATCAGACACACCTGGGCTAACTAATCATTCTTTTACTAGGCTTTCTAGAAACATCCCTGCAGATGTGTTGAAGCAAGTCCTCCAAGACAGAGTTTGAGAATCACTGCCTTAGAATTTCGCGACTGACCAATCAGAATTAAGTATTCCAGACAGCAATGTGATAATCTGTGATAACAACCACCTGGATGTGCTTTATCCCTTCCATAAAGCTTCTCAGTCTCATACAACAGCTGGTGATAAACCCGTTGGACTTTATTTTGTGAGAACAACAAGCTAGATGTACATTATCCTTATTTAAAGACTGATAAAAACTGTACTAAATGTAGTGTTCATAGTAGTACGAGCTAATCCAAGTTAGTTAGTTAATTATTACTGGATAAATAACAAATGTATTGTAAATTATTGTTTTATATGTCAATTAGGGTTGGGCGATGTCAACCAATTTGGCATCGTATGGCATCTAATGTGAAACATCGCAATGGACAATGGCATCGTCATTATGTAAAAAGAGGGGGTGAGGGTTCGGTTTGTTTGACAGAGTGTGCGTGACGTCTCTGAAGAGTGAGAAGGGATCCGGGGGTGAGAAGGGTGCACGACTTATTTGAGGACCGGGAGGGAGGCGCGCGATTGCCGGAGATTATCACTCGTTTGTGGGCATTATGAGTACCGCAAATGCATAGAGACTCCCGGAACTTCCGGGAGACTTGGGATGTCTGAATATCACGTTTAACAACTATAGTGAGACACGATCCAGCGGTACATCCTTGATAAACTGTCCGATGTGCACTGCTCTCTGGAGCTCAGAGAAGCACATTACAGTGTGTGGCTTGTGTTTGTACAGTTTGGCGATGCCAGCTCAGCATCGTGTTGTCTATTGGCCATCGGCGATGGCATCGTCTATCGGCCCAACCCTAATATCAATAGAAATGTTAACTAATGGATATTATTGTAAAGTGTCACCAGTAAAATAAAGTAAAAGTCTGGCCTAATACTAAACCTAATACTGCAAGTGGCACTAATTAAGGGAACAGTTCACCCAAAATCATAATTTAATCATCATTCACACAGGAGAAGATATAAAAGTGTTGAAACCACTGACTTCCACAGTATTTGTTTTTCCTACTATGGAACATTTTTCAGAATATCTTGTTTGTGTTGAACAGAAGAGAGAAACTCTTTTGAAAAGTTTTTTGCAACCAAGAAGGATTTGCAACCACTCGAGGGAGAGTAAATAGTGAGTAAATATTCACCTTTGTACGGTGGCTGAAAGAGATTAACGAGCTGCTATTTAAGAAAGCACAAGCAATTACAAAAAACGCCAGCAAATTAGAAAAAGATCCTCATCAATAAATCAAGAAAATGCACTGCATTTTTTCACAACGCAAACAAATAAAGCAAACGCGCAACATTTTCCTCACAACGCATGCAAATAGCACAGAACACAACAGAAATGTTTCAAGGAGACCCAAAAACAGGACGGACCTAGCTATTTAGGTTAATGTTATTTAGGCTAGTAATATATTAAAGATAAGGGATTGGTGTAATTAGGATGTTAAAATAAACAATAAAACTCACCATTCATAGAGCACCAACAACTTCACTGGGAAATACTTACAACACAATAAGCAATCCCAGCCCAGCCTGTCATGGTTTTGGGTCTCCTTGAAACATTTCCCTTGCATGGTTTCCTCTACATTCATTCTTCCGTGGCGGGACGCCACACCAAAATTCATCCCGCCACGGCTACATTACAGCTTCTTATTCAAAATATTCAGTTTTTAAATTTAGTTTTTTTGAATAGCGGGTTAAAATTGCACCGAAAACGTATGAAAAAGTAAGTGAATAATAACAGCGCAAACTTTTCTGTGACCATAGTAGTGCTGTGCGTTCTGTTTAACCCTTCAAGGTAGGTGATGTGCTGACTGACTGACTGACAGGTGCGTGATGCGTGAGACCAGCAAACACGGCGTAGCTTTCAGTTGTGATGAACACAGTTTACATAATTTTACTTTATTTTTAGATAAAGGTCTGTGGCTCTGCATATAATGACTTTATCTTGCTAGAGTTTACCAGTACATAACGCACTAAATCACACTTCAGCCACGTTTATTTGAGGGCGCACAAGAAAATCTGCATTTGAGCAGCGTATATTTGAGGGCGTGCAAGAAAATCTGCATTTGAGAAGCGTATATTTGAGGGCGCACAAGAAAATCTGAATTTGAGCAGCGTATATTTGAGGGCGCGCAAGAAAATCTGCATTTGAGAAGCGTATATTTGAGGGCGCACGAGAAAATCTGCATTTGAGCAGCGTATATTTGAGGGCGTGCAAGAAAATCTGCATTTGAGAAGCGTATATTTGAGGGTGCGCAAGTAAATCTGCATCTGAGAAGCGTATATTTGAGAGCGCAAGAAAATCTGCATTTGAGTAGCGTATATTTGTGGGCGCGCAAGAAAATCTGCATTTGAGTAGCGTATATTTGCGGGCGCGCAAGAAAATCTGCATTTGAGTAGCATATATTTGAGGGCGCGTAAGAAAATCTGCATTTGTGTAGCGTATATTTGCGGGCGCGCAAGAAAATCTGCATTTGAGCAGCGTATATTTGAGGGCGCGCAAGAAAATCTGCATTTGAATAGTGTTTATTTGAGGACGTAAAAGAAAATCTGCATTTGAGTAGCGTATATTTGAGAGCGCAAGAAAATCTGCATTTGAGTAGCGTATATTTGAGGGCGCACAAGAAAATCTGCAACTGAGAAGCGTATATTTCAGGGCGCGCAAGAAAATCTGCATTTGAGTAGCGTATATTTGAGGGCGCGCAAGAAAATCTGCATTTGAGAAGCGTATATTTGAGGGCGCGCAAGAAAATCTGCATTTGAGAAGCGTATATTTGAGGGCGCGCAAGAAAATCTGCATTTGAGTAGCGTATATTTGAGGGCGCGCAAGAAAATCTGCATTTGAGTAGCGCATATTTGAGGGCGCGCAAGAAAATCTGCATTTGTGTAGCGTATATTTGAGGACGCGAAAGAAAATCTGCATTTGAGAAGCGTATATTTGAGGGCGCGCAAGAAAATCTGCATTTGAGTAGCGTATATTTGAGGGCGCGCAAAAAAATCTGCATTTGAGTAGCGCATATTTGAGGGCGCGCAAGAAAATCTGCATTTGAAAAGCGTATATTTGAGGGCGCGCAAGAAAATCTGCATTTGAGTAGCGCATATTTGAGGGCGCGCAAGAAAATCTGCATTTGTGTAGCGTATATTTGAGGGCGCGGAAGAAAATCTGCATTTGAGTAGCGTATATTTGAGGGCGCGCAAGAAAATCTGCATTTGAGTAGCGAATATTTGAGGGCGCGCAAGAAAATCTGCATTTGAGTAGCGTATATTTGAGGGCGCGCAAGAAAATCTGCATTTGAGAAGCGTATATTTGAGGGCGCGCAAGAAAATCTGCATTTGAGTAGCGTATATTTGAGGGCGCGCAAGAAAATCTGCATTTGAGTAGCGCATATTTGAGGGCGCGCAAGAAAATCTGCATTTGTGTAGCGTATATTTGAGGACGTGAAAGAAAATCTGCATTTGAGAAGCGTATATTTGAGGGCGCGCAAGAAAATCTGCATTTGAGTAGCGTATATTTGAGGGCGCGCAAAAAAATCTGCATTTGAGTAGCGCATATTTGAGGGCGCGCAAGAAAATCTGCATTTGAAAAGCGTATATTTGAGGGCGCGCAAGAAAATCTGCATTTGAGTAGCGCATATTTGAGGGCGCGCAAGAAAATCTGCATTTGTGTAGCGTATATTTGAGGGCGCGCAAGAAAATCTGCATTTGAGTAGCGTATATTTGAGGGCGCGCAAGAAAATCTGCATTTGAGTAGCGAATATTTGAGGGCGCGCAAGAAAATCTGCATTTGAGTAGCGTATATTTGAGGGCGCGCAAGAAAATCTGCATTTGAGTAGCGCATATTTGAGGGCGCGCAAGAAAATCTGCATTTGAGTAGCGAATATTTGAGGGCGCGCAAGAAAATCTGCATTTGAGTAGCGCATATTTGAGGGCGCGCAAGAAAATCTGCATTTGTGTAGCGTATATTTGAGGGCGCGCAAGAAAATCTGCATTTGAGTAGCGTTTATTTGAGGGCGCGCAAGAAAATCTGCATTTGAGTAGCGTATATTTGAGGGCGCGCAAGAAAATCTGCATTTGAGAAGCATATATTTGAGGACGTGAAAGAAAATCTGCATTTGAGTAGCATATATTTGAGGGCGCGCAAGAAAATCTGCATTTGAGTAGCGTATATTTGCGGGCGCGCAAAAAGTTTTGCGTGCGAACAGAGGAAATCGGCGCTCAAGCAGAGATTGACATGCTCGTAGGCTATTACATGAATGCGATCTCGGCTTAATACTGCGCCCATGACATTTGTCAATGAAATAATGACATGACATGTAGTGCTAAATCTGTGTAAAATGGCCAACAGAGTCTGCCGCCACAGCTGGAAAAAATTCTAGAGGAAACACTGCCTTGTGTTACTTGCTATTTGCATGTGTTGTGAGAAAATGCAGCGTGTATTCTTAATTTGTTTGAGTAAACTGCAGCGTGTAAAGCTCTCTCGGCCACCATACTTCAGGGTGAACTATCCCTTTAAACATCACAAGGTTTGTATTCACACTGAAGATGTTTGCAGCGACTTTCCCTGCAAACTCCCGGAAATAGTGTCCGACTCCAGCAGCTCGACGACACTATACGGCGAACAGTCCTCCAACCCGAGCTTCCCACAAATCCATCCACAAAAACCCTTCTCCAAATCCCTGACCGACATCCACCATTCACTGAAGGCCCAGGAAACCTGAACCACAGCTGAATATAAGCCTAGCGACGCCGACAGCGCCACGATCAGCACCGGATAGAAGATGATCAGGAAAGGACACACTGTGATTTTATGGCAGAACGTCCGCTCTTCATTGTACACCAGGAATATGTTATACCAGGTGAGAGTACCGTAGTAAAATGAGGTAATGAAGGACAGGACGAAGACGACCGGAGCGCAGGAAAGGCTCCACAGGACGATGTGCGGCCCCTGAGAAAGGCCGAATCCACAGGAGCGACTGGAACCCTCACCAGCATCACATTCAGCATCCAGACGCTCTTTGGATCTTGCCATCTCGCGCAGCTCTTTCTCTGTGAGCGTGACGTGGATGTCCACCATCTGACCTTTCTTTTTCCCACGTGTGATGGTTCCTGTGAGCGTCACATAGCGGCTGTCTGGAGGCACAGACCAACCTGAGGACAAGACATTTCATACAACAGTACATACATTTTTCTTCACACTTCACAGTTCTTTATCACGATATATAGGCCCAATCCTTGTTAATTTTAAAGGGTACCTATGATGCAAAATCATCACATGAACCATTGATATGAAGATATGAAGAGCTCACAACAACATATGATGGACGTGTGTGTGTGTGTTTTGTAGTGCGGACCCATTTTTTAGGGGGTACATTTGAAGCCTTTCCCCTTCACACTCTTTTTCAAGGGCCAAGGGAAATGTCTAGGGGGAAAAATCGAATTGGGATTGGGTCTAAATATCGGCATATGTCTAATCTACAATAAACACTTAGGAAACACTTCACCTTCAGTAGTGGTGTTACTCAGAAACGTGGCTCCCTCCTCAGAGCTTCTCTCTGCTCCATCAGCGTCTCCTTCACCTGCGGATCTCTCTGGATCACAGCGGTACACGATGATGGATTCAGGACGCTGTTCCCGCTTCCTCCTCTTCCTCCGAGTGCTGGTACCTGCGTTTTCTTCATCCACCGCTCCTTCAGAGACCTCAGATCTGACCGAGTCCAGCTCCTGCTCCATCATTCAGACACAGATCCACACTCTCACAGGATTTAGGAGCTATAATCGTAGGAGAGATTATACGAGGCTATTTACTCCATCCAGACATGATAAACCTGTGAGAAACAGAGAGGAATGTGATGCACAGATGATATTTTGCATGCATTTATTTATTTAGGACATGAGGAGGTTATATAAGAGCATCTAAATGGCAAGTTGAGAGAAATTTATGTATTTATTTATGTTTTTTTTTTTTTGCTTTAAATATATTTACAGTGTAAATAGCAGGTTTATATCGTGCCAACATGCACATTTAGAGGTTTACAGCATGTATTAAACTGTTTTATTTATTGCTTTTAATGAATAATACCTACAGCATGTCTCAATATTGTTAATACTTTCCATTTATTAAATGTAATGCGAAAAAAGATTTGGACTTAAGCACTAAAATGACTAAAACTGAAATAAATATAAATTAAAGCTAGCACAGAGTATGACAACTGAACTAATAAAAATAAAAAACACCTGAATATATGTTAAAAAGTTAATTAAATATAATTATTTTAAATAAAAAATAACTAATACATGACAAAAAACATTAAAAAAAACCACTAAACCCTAAACTAAACTTAAAAACTGAAAACATTGAAAAAATAAATAATGAATAATATTGTGTTACAGTTGCATGTTACACTATTTTTAATATTTGAAATGCAATACAGAAAATATAAATGTGGCTTTGTCAGCTAACAAAAGGAGACTTAAGTACTAAAATAAATATAAAAATTAACAAGAAAAACTAATAAAAATGACAAAGATTCATATTTAAAAAATTTGTAAATATTTATTCATTCATTTTCTTTTCGGCTTAGTCCCTTTATTACTCTGGGATTCCCACAGCGAAATGAACCGTCAACTTATCCAGCATATGTTTTACACAGCGGATGCCCTTCTAGCTGCAACCCATCATTACTGGGAAACACCCATACATACACACTCATTCACACACATACACTACGGCCAATTTAACGTATCCAATTCACCTATACCACATGTGTTTGGACTGTAGGGGAAACAGGAGCACCCGGAGGAAACCTGAAAGTATAAATCCAAAATTAATAAAAATTTGAAAAACCTGTACTTAAATATAAAACCTGAAAATATATTTTTAAAAAGCTAAATATATATAATTATTTAAAATAAAAAATAATGAATAATACTATATTTGTACAATAATAGTAGTTTAATAAATATAAATTAAAGCTAATAAGTATAAAGCAAAACTAATAAAAATGACAGACAGACGTGCTTAAAAATATATGAATATTAAGATAATAAAACATTATTAAGAATAATTTCAAATATAAAAGTGAAAAAATAATTGACAAAAAATACCTTAAAGCTGAAAAGTATAAAACCTATAGAATAATAACAACATTGGCATATATTCATATTATTTAATAATATTTATTAATATTTTTAATAATGCAGAAAATATATAAATGTTGCTTAGGCAGATAACAAAAATAGATTTGGACTTAAATACTGAAATGACTAAAACCGAAATAAAAATAAATTCATAAAGAAATCTCAAATTTAAATAAAATTAATTAAAGCTAAACTGAAAATTATATATATATATATATATATATATATATATATATATATATATATATATATATATATATATATATATATATATATATATATATATAAAACCTGAAAAAGCACAATAAAACGACGCAAACTAAAATAAAAAGGGAAACCAATAATTACAAAAACTGAATGAATATAAAATAAAGCTAAAACATCTTAGATATAAACCAAATGCATTAAAGCTAAATAGAAAATGAAAACTTATTTTAAACTGAAACAATAAATAAATAAAATGACTCAAACAAATATCAAAAGGAGAACTAATAACAACAAAAACGGATTAAATATAAAATAAATCTAAAATATCTTCGATATAAACCAAATCCATTAAAGCTAACCCGAAAATGAAAACCCATATAAAAAATAAAAGAAGCACAAGAAATTAAAAAAAGCAAAACTAAGAACTGATTAACATAGCCAAACATCTCAGATATGAACCAAATCTATTAAAGTTAAACAGAAAATGAAAATTCTCTATAAAAAGATTAATAAAATGACTATTAAAAGGAAAACTAACAACTAAAACTGATGATAAAAATGATAATAATAATAATAATTTAAATACAAATAAAACTAGCTTTTGTGTAGCCAACAACACCCTTTGTCTGCTCATCCGGCTCTAGTACTAAAACATCAAATTAAAGCTTAAACATTAATAAAATTCATTAAAGCTAAACTAAAAATAAATATGTATATGAAAAACTGACAAAAACTAAATAAAATGACAAACTAAAAATCTAAAGGAAAAATAATAACAACAAAAACTGAATAATATAAATTAAAGCTTAAACAACCCCGATACAAACCAAATCGACAAACAGAAAATTAAAATGTATATAAAAACTGAAAAAGTGCAATAAAATGACTCAAACTAAAATCAAAAGGAAAGGTAATAACAAAAAACTGATTAAATATAAATAAATGCTAAAATATCATCATCAAATATCATGCATTAATTAATTAAAGCAAAAAGAGAAAATTAAAGGCTATTAAAAACTAAAAAGGACAATAAAATGGCTCAAAATAAAAAGAAAAACTTATAACAAAAAAAGATTAAATATAGCCTAAGTAAATGCTAAAACATCTCAGATATGAATAAAATCTATTGAATCTAAATAGAAAAATTAATACATATAAAACAAACTGAAAACTCAAAAGAAAAACACAATAAAATGACCCCACAAAAAATCAAAAGGAAAAATAATAATGACGAAAAATGATTAAATATAAATTAAAGCTAAAACATCTCCGATATAAACCAAATCCATTAAAGCTAAATAGAAAATGAAATGAAAATTAAATTAAATTACTTTAAAATGAAAATGAAAACTAATTTCAACAAAAACTGATTCGAAATACTAATAAAAACTTTAAATAGCAAATAAAACTAAACAAAACTAGCTCTTGTGCAGCCATCCTAGCTCTTGTGCACAACATCCTTCCGTCTGCTCATTCTGCTCTTGCAATAAAACATCTCAAAAGTAGTCTAAATTAAAGCTAAAACATCTTAGATACAAATAAAATTCAGTAAAGCTAACCAGAAAATTATTATGTACATAAAAAAATTGACAAAAAGCTAAATAAAATGAATCAAAATAAAATCTAAAGGAAAACAACAACAAAAAAACTGATTAAATATAAATGAAAGCTAAAACAACTCAGATACAAACCAAATCTATTAAAACTAAACAGAAATTAACTGTATATACAATAAAAACTGGAAAAAGGCTTAATAAAATGACTTAAACTAAAATCAAAAGTAAAACTTACAACAAAAACTATGTTAAAATGCACATAATAATTTTAAATAGCAAATAAAACTAAATAAAACTAGCTTTAATGTAGCAAACACCACCCTTCCGTCTGCTCAATCAGCTCTATTGTCAAAGAAACAAAGAGACACAGCAGACACATAAACAGTACAACCAATGAGAAGACTGTGCTTTAATAAAACACCACGTGTAACCCAAAACCCTTCATTTTAAAGCCATTTGAGAACACAGTTAGCATGAAATAAATCAGTGTACTGTAAGCGCCAGGCGGAGGCTGTTTTCCACTCAGCTGATCCGCTCTGGCTTTAATCACAGATCTCGCCGCGTTAAACGTCTTATTCACAAACACCAGAAGCTTGTGCTTAATTCCTGGCAAATACAGTCTTGCTTACCAGATGCACAAACATGGAAAGAAAAGCTGTGAAACTCCTGCGATGAAAATGTTCCGCTGGTTTGATGTCAACAGCAGCCGCCATGCAGATGCGCCTGGGCCACAATGAACACAAGCCCCGCCCACTAAATCTGGAAGGCCAGACCCGTCCAATAAGATGTCGGTATAATCGAAGTCCCTCCTCCTTTCATTTAAATCCACTACTACAGTATAATAAAGTGAATCTATTTGACAGCCGTACAATCAAAGATTGTAAGTCTTTACATAATAATAGTGAAATAATACCTCTGATAACACTTTAGTTTAAGTAACAATTGACACTACTGGCTTAATACATGTTTGCTAATACGTGTTAATACTTATAAAGTACGATTCTTCGTCCCTAAACCCAACTATTCCTTATCTCTAAATCCAACTACTGGCTAACTAGATATTAATAAGCAGCTAATTGGTAGTTATTGAGCTAATAGCGTGAATTGTAGGCTATATTAAAATAAGTGTGACCTTACTTTTGTATATCATCATCATCAATATTTTATTAGTTTTTGGATGTTTTGGATTATAGTTAATAAAATAATATGCACATAAAATGTTATGTTTGAATAACATTGAACTTTGAATAAACTGTGCTTTTATTCGAGATATTCACATATATAATTTGGCTGACTACAGCCAACGAAATACTATTATACAATGAGATGCAATTTAAAAATAATAATAATAAATAATATGTTAGATATTAAATAAAACATGACGTAAGCTAAAACGTCGTCATCATGCAGAATCTCGGGCATTAACGGCTGCTTTAACGGACACGCTTGAGCTCCGTGTTAAAATCGGCTAAAAACGCACGATATTCGTATTTAAGTTTACATTTGTGGTGGATAACGTCTTAAAACCGGAAAATATACATATTTAGGACGTTCGTGTGTTATTTTCATGCCCCTTGTGCGTTTTAACAAGTTTTCAAAATGGAGGAGCAGACCGTAAATCAACTCGACAACATGTTGCTTCAGTTTGGTGATTAAATTGTTTAATTTTATTCATTCATCACATACTTCTACGTTTAACTTGATATTTAATGTATTCTGTTGTATATAAACAGGTATAGAGACTCGAGAGCTTGCTCAGAGGAAAGATGACCTTAAACAACAAATACAAAGTAAGTTTGTAAGCATATCTCGACAACATTGTCGACGATAATTATCGACAATAAAGTGTCCCCAAGGAATTTTTAACATGTAAGTTATAACAAACCCATTAGTTTGCCATTATCATTTTTTTCTGTTGTGTTTTAGTTTGTGAGTCCAACATTCAGGAGATGAAGGATTATATTAGCAAAACTCAAAAATCCATCAGCAAACTTGATGAGGACATCCAGCAAAAGCAAACCACAGTGAAGTTTATCAAAGAAAATACTAAAAAGTATGGCAAAAGTATATATTTTTTATTCTCAAATGTCAAATTGAGCCTAATGTGAATTAGGAATGCTCATTGGTGACATATTGCTATATGAATAGGGCTACAATTACTAAAAACAGTGAAAAGTTTAAAAATTTATGGTTGGAGTGATTTTATAGGGAATTGTATTTTTTTTTTTTTGTTATAAACACATCAGAAACATGGATAGATACAATAGAGCAAAGCTACAAAATGAAATAAACAGTGATTTATGGCTGGAGAGTATAACAGGGTTCATATGGTCATGGATAACCTGGAAAAAGTCATGGAATTTTGACATGGCATTTTCCAGGCCTGGAAAAGTTTTGAAAAAACAAAAAGGCACACAAAGTTTTGAATAGGTAATCGAAATTAGTTGAACTAATATCTGTAAACTTGAATATAGGTTAGTTGTCTTCACTTATTTTCTGCCTTTGGCCAAAAACATGGTCTCACATCATGAATTCTGTTCATTCATTTTCCTTTGGCTCAGTCTCAATTTCAGAAGTGCCACAGTGGGAATGAATCAACATGTGTAAGCGTTATCTTAATAAATTGACATACAATAGATATATAAAATAATTTCTAACTAAATCGATTTTGTGTTTTATAATATGCTGTAATAAATTTGAACGTGCATTGGTTTTCTTATTATTTACAATGTATATATAGATATTACATGAAACATTATATCATTAAAGTTTACTTGAAAGGTCTGGAAAAATCATGACATTTTAGTTGTAAAAATGTGTATGAACCCTGGTATAATCAGCTAACAGTACAATCAAATTTAAAATAACACTGTATAGTCCTTATCCTAGACATAAAGATAATAGTTAGGTGTTAAAGTTACAAAGATGATAATTTTTTTGTGCCTGAATGGCTTGAAATGCATAGGCATAGGCCTTAAAAATTCTATTGTGGGAAAACTTTGTAATCACTCCATATCAGATGTGTTCAGAACTGCTTGGTCAACTATAGACCATTTCAATGTGGTCATGTCATCAACCCATGAACATTTCCTGCTTGTTATCAAACTGTTTCATAACTGTAACAAGAGGCAATTCAATCATAACTTAATGATAAAACAGCTATCCTAAAATTATTTATCAATATGTGGATCTTTTTGGATTCTCCAAAGCTATAGAAATTACAAATGTAAAACAGGAAATGTATTCGGGACCATTGTTTACATCTCTCAAAATGGTCTTTAATACAGACTCAACATTGTACATCTCTCAATTGTGACTATTGAAATGCAGATTCTGAAATTATATATATATATATATATATATATATATATATATATATATATATATATATATAGTGCAGCCCTAATGTAAATACAAATATTATGATATCAGTCTACAGCGAACACAACATCTGCTGCTTCAGTATGAAAAGACACTTGAAGCGGAGCTGGAGAAGAGACAGGACAACTACAACCATGACATGTAGGTCCAGCTTTTAAGTCTGCATGAAGAAGCTGTAGTTCTTGGATAAACTTAAAGGAATAGTTCACCCAAAAATGAATTCAGTTTAATTCAGTTTAGTTTCTTGTTGAACACAAAGGATAATTTGAAAAATGCCGATTCATTAACAGGAAAATATTATATATATATTTTTTTTACAATGAAAGATGATGAGTTCCAGCCACCAGCATTATTCAAAATATCTTTGTGTTCAACAGAAAGAGACTCAGAAAGATTTAATAGTTAAAAGATTTTTGCTGCTTGTTCGATCTACTTATTTAAAGAGAGCTGAGTCAACACAAATCTTGAGTTTTTTGGGACAACTTAATTGTTAATGTTCAATCTACCTAAATTTGCGAAAACAATTAACTATATTGTTTTGTGTTGGGACAACATGAAGAAATTGTATGGAACCCAGCATTTGTTACAGTGTAACAGATGATGAGGAATAAATGATGAGCCAATAAAAATTTTTGTGTGACTTATTCCTTTAAAATGCTTGTTTTTGTTTAAGGAAAATGTTTCAGGAGAGGATGGAGAGCTATAGGAATGTGTTCCTGCAGCATAAGGATCGATACTGTCAGAACCCACTGGCTCAAAATCTGCTGAAGGTTCAAGCAGAGAACGAGGAAATCGAGAGCAGAATCAGAGCAATAGAAGGACAAATAATGGAGAAAGAGACAGAACTGACAGCAGCGTTGGGTAATTCATCCAAACTTTCCAAATTCTTTTAAAAGGGATAGGTCACCTAAAAATAAAACATACTCACTATTTACTCACACACAAGTGGTTTCAAAGATTTATGAGTTTCTTTCTTCTGTTGAACAAAATATATTTTGAATGCTGAAAGCCTGTAACCATTGACTTTCATAGTAGGAAAAATAAATACTATGAAAGTCCGAGGGTACAGGTTTCTTCAAAATATTTTTTTTTAGTTCAACAGAAGAAAGAAACTCACAAAGGTTGGAAACAAGTAAAGGTTTTGACAGAATTTACATTTTTTGGGTGAACTGTCCCTTTAATATGTGCTCTTAAAGGGATAGTTCCTCTAAAATGTTCTGTCAATCTGTCATTATTTACATACCCTTTACTTGTTTCAAAGCTTTATGACTTTTTTAAACCTGTTTGAGTTTCTTTCACCCGCTGAACACAAAAGCAGATATTATGAAGATAGCAGGAAACCGGTTTTTCATACTTTGGCTGTCAATGGCTGTTAGCTTTCTTCAAAAGTTTATTTTATTTAACATTAAAAAAAAACTCATAAAGGTTTGGGACTACTTGAGGGAGAGTAAATTGTGCTTAAATTAAAACATTTTTAAGGGGTTTAAAATTGTATTAATATTTTTAATTTAATAAATATAATAAATTTAATATATTCAGTCATTCAATTTCTTTTTGGCTTAGTCCCTTTATTAATCTGCGGTCATCACAGCGGAATGAACCGCCAACTTTTCCAGCATATGTTTTACGCAGCGAATGCCGTATTCACCATCGGGAGGCGCTATAATCACTCTCGTAGGAGAATTTTGCTTTCACCATCCAAAAAAAAATAAAGTTATTCAACGTGTGCGTCCGATAGCTCTGCTCCTTCCGGTACGTGAGCAAACCTGCGGTCGTTGAGTGCGTGAAGTGTCCATCATTACACACTTCATTTTACCGGCTGAATGAGTGCATCATCCGGGTAATTAAAGTGCACTTATTATTTTTAGAGTTTTCAGTGTGAACACACTACTTAAACTATTTATACTACAAAATGGCTCAGAATATTGCATAAGTATCCGATTTGGGACGCAGCTTATTATTCAACCACTGATGAATGTACACAAATAATGTTCGAGTGAACTATTCCTTTGGCACAAATCATCTTCTTCTTTTGTGATAGGTAAGGATGAGCTGGTTCTTGAAGAGTCTGACAGGTACATTAACTTGTTTTTTTTTTAATTCAGTTGTTAAGTTTCATTCTTGTAATAAACACAATTTCTGAAGTAGCTATGAAAACAGGAAGTGCCAAGAAAATGATGGCCTACAAAATGAAAGTGATGAAATGGACCCTCAGCAAGACGCAGTAATGGAGGTACCTCTGCTGGTGTACTGTAGACTGAGGGTGTATTCACACTAGGCACGGTTGCCTTGAACCATGCTCGGGCACGATTGTCCCTTGTCCCCACTCCCCGCAATCACATTGCAACTTTACCTTCTGAGCCTGAGCATGCTTACGTGATCAATGATGTGACTGTTCAGTTTAACAGAAAAGAAGCGATCTCGCTCCGTACAATGGAGATTTCTTTAGTTATATTGTTTTTTATTATTTTTAGTCATTTGGGATGCAGTGACACACAGTCAAATATTTTGCTGAACAGATCCACAACTTTTAACCCTCATAAGTCATAATAAAAGTCCTCGTGCTGCAGGTATTAGGAGGTTTGTTAAAGGTGCAGCTGAAGTGCAGCGTGGGGTTTGAGTCTTTAATAAACTATGACAGTTCATGTTCATTGAAAAGTAAAAATGATTAATAAATCCATATAAAACAGTCCCTTAAAGTCACACTGCATCTTCAGTTTTGCTCTATTGAGCGCTTTGGACTCACACTAAAAGTATACCGCGTCAAAGCCCAACTGAACCACGCTCTGGCACACCTTCCAACCTGGCCAGGGCCGGCCAACTGAACCGTGCTTGGGCCCGATTTGAAGCACTCACACTTGTGAAACAAACCAGGAAATGGGCGTCAAACGTGCCTGAGCACGGTTTAGATAGCCTAGTGTGAGTACACCCTAAAATTGTTTGCTTATCTTGAGAAATGAGAAAAGTGATTGTAAAATCTTTAACTTCTAGAGACCTGAGGAATGTGCAGATGAACACATGGAGGATGAAGATCAGTCTGTGGAAATTAAGGACAAAACAACAGAAAGTGAATCTCAAATGGACACAATTAGCCATGGCTTGTGGACCAAGAGAGAAACTGATGAAGGTAAACAGCAGAATATATGAATATACTGGGATTATTGCAAAATAAACCTAAATAAAATGCTGACCAGACAAGACAGATGAGTCACAATCAAGCGTTTTTTTCTTTATAGATGACATGCATGAAGGCGATCAGGCATCAGAGGAAGTGAATGAACTGGTACAGTAAAGTACATTACAATTTAGTGGTTTTGAAAGAAGTCTCTTTTGTGTACAAACGTTTTGTTTGGCTGCACAATATATTGTTTCAATTGAAAAGTGCGCACCGCAATGTAGAATCAAGATTATAGTTAACCAGGAGCCACAGTTTATTGCGTTTGTGTTTTTAAGGCATGAGATTGTGTTTAAAGCATTCATGCGCAAGAAATTATAATGTTTTTAACTTTAAGAAAGATGAATTGTATTTAAGTGTCCAAACTCAGTCCTGAAGGGCCGGTGTGCTGCAGATTTTAGCTTCAACTTGCTTCAATGCACCTGCAAGGATGTTTCTAGAAAGCCTAGTGAGAGCTTGATTAACTTGCCCTGGTGTGTCTGATTGGGGTTGGAGCTAAACTTTGCAGGACACCGACCCTCCCGGACTGAGTTTGGAAATGCCTGGTTTAAGCATATACATATGCACACAATGAAAACTACACTGTTATTTCACATTTGATTACTAAATTTGTGTACCTGAATCATGCTAGACTCCCAGAAAAAAACAAACAAAAAAAAACATCTGTTGTTTTTTCATATAAATCTTTGATCTACTGCTTTTATCAGTATGCGCTCTACAAAATTATTGTAATCAATGTAAAATTATGGAAATTCTTTCCAATAAGAGCTATTCATTTTCCTTCGGCTTAGTCTCTGATTTATCAGCAGTTGCCACAGTGGAAAAAAAAGTCAACTATTCCAGCACATGTTTTACGCAACAGATGTCCTTCCAGCCGCAACCCAGTACCAGAAAACACCTATACACTCTTACATTCGCACACACACACTCATCTACTATGGCCGATTTGGTTTATTCAATTCACCTATAGCGCATGTGTTTGGAATATGGGAGAAACTGGAGCACCCGGAGAAAAACCACACCAACACGGGGAGAACATGCAAACTCCACACAGAAATGCCAACTGACCCAGCCAGGAATTGGACCAGCATTCTTCTTGCTATGAGGTGACAGTGCTAACCACTGAGCCACCGTGCCGCCCGCTGTTCATTTCATCCAGTGAAATTATATCGTAATATGTATCTCATGAATATAAAATATAATGTCAGTTTTTTTATATCGTGCAGCTCTAGTTTGGTGCACACATCCTTATATATTTGGTGTATAGACCCTGGATCACAAACATGGGGTATATTTTTAGCAAAAGCCAACAAAACATTGTATGAGTCAAACTGATGGATTTTGTTTGTATAAAATCATTAGAATATTAAGTAAAGATCATGTTCCCTGATAGATATATCAAAACTTAATTTCTGATTATTTATTCATTCATTTAGTTTCCTTCAGCTTAAACCCTGATTTTAAGAGGTCGCCACAGTGGAATGAACCGCTAACCTGGCATGTTTTACGCAGCAGATGCTCTTCCAGCCGCAACACAGTACTGGGAAACACCCATACACACTGATTCACACACACACACACACACACACACACAATCACACTCTACGGCCAATTTAGTTTATTCAATTCCCCTATAGTGCATGTGTTTGGACTGTGGGGGAAACCAGAGCACTCGGACGAAACCCATGCAAACTTCACACATAACTGCAACTGCCAACTGAGACTCGAACCAGCGACCTTCTTGCTGTGAGGCCACATCGCTAACCACAGAGTTACCGTGCCGCAAATTCTGATTGGTAATATGTATTGCTAAGAGCTTAATTTAAACAACTTTATAGGTGATTTACTTATTATTTCAATTTTTTTAACTCTCAGATAGCAGACTTTCAAGTAATTGAAGCACAAATATTGTTCTATCCCAACAAACAATGCAACAGTGTATCCCAATAAACAATCCCATCAACGGACAGCTTAATTATTTAGATTTTAGATAATGTACAAATCTCTTTTTCAAAATGTTTCGAGGTCCAGGGTATGTGTTGGTGTGTGTGTGTATACATATATATTTTATTACAAATTGAATTAACTATTCCTATAGAGTAAGAGACTTTTTTCAAAAGCAGTTAGAAAATCCTATTGTTTGTACCACTTCTATCTGTTTGCATGATTGCAGGAGGGGAATGTGAATGTTTCATGTACTGCTGAGATCATGGTGGAAGCGTCAGAGGAAAAGGAGGAGGATCATTTGGACATAAGCACAGCAGACGTTTATGAGGACTTAGAGAGTGATGGTGTCGTCTGTCCTCCTCCTTCACCTGCTAGAATACAAGCCACACCAACTACACCAACCTTCTCTTTAAAGTATGATCTCACCATTCACGGTTTACTATATACTGCAGACGGTTACTTTCATCAATGAATCAGTAGGAATATGCATTAAGAAAGAGAGTAAATGAACTAAAGTGAGATTGATGTCTGTGTGATCTATTTACAGCAACAGTCCCAATGTATCACCTGGACGTCAGGAGATCTCACACAGCAAGTCTCCAGCGTTCGTCTTCTCCATGAACTCTGGTCCAGGCACTCCTGCGTTCTCGAAGCTGGGCTGTGATTTCGATGTGGGATCAGCTGGAGAAGAGGTGAATCACGGATTCTACAAATCTGACACATGCAGTGGCGTAAAGCAACAAAATACACATACTGAAATGACTGCGAGTACTTACTCTCAAGAATCACACTAGTTTAAAAGTAGTGTGCACTTTTTTTGTTTAAAAGTAGTGTACTTTTACGTAAAGGGGACCTATTATGCAAAAGTCTATTTTATAAGGTGTTTAAAGAGAGTTGTGTGGAATCAGTGTGAATACAGCCAGACACTAATGATAAAAATGCATTAATTGCATTTGTTATAATCACACTTGATAAAAACCCCGCCCATTATTGACCATGTCTCCATCATTAGCATAAACAGCCCTGAAAGAGAAGCAGCAGATTAATTTGACATCTTTCAAAATGGATCATAATAGGTCCTCTTTAAGTAAACTTTTAGTGCTGTATTGGCACTTTTACTGTTATCAATCAAAGGCCTTTATTTGTCAGATACACATCCGTATAGTGAAATTGGGTCTGAATATAGTGAATTAGAGCCCTTTAATTCAACCTGCAATCATTACTTTTTCTTGCACCACATTAATAAGTAATATAATGGTAAAAGTAATGGTACTTTTACTCGAGTATGATTTTTCACTACCATTTGATTTGTGTATGTATGTTGTAGGCATCTCCATTTAACTTCACAAGCTCCTACTTCAACGACAAGGTACTGTATTTCTGCAGAAACAAGATGCTTGTGTTTAAAGGCTGAGTGTTTGATGTTTTCAAAAGCTGACTTTGTGTTTCTGGTAGCAGAAGTCACCAGGATCTGCACCCAAGTTCACAGGTGAGATATGGTTCATGAGTGATATTTACCATCCACACCAGTTTAAAAGATATACAATCTATATATTGTTTTGCACACCAAAAGCAAAGGAGAAAAATAAGACATTGAATTTTAAAGAATGAAAATGAAGCTTATTGAATATACATTTAGCACTAGTTTGGACTTTACGATTTAGCACTAGTGATAACTTTACGATAAGATTTAATTTGCTAATGACTAAATGAACTAACAATAAAAATACTTCTATTCATTTAGTTAATATTATTTTCAACATTTACTAATACATTAAATAAAGCAACTCATAAAACATCTAAAATAACCCGAGTACAGTATGAAGTTGCCTTTTGGTTATTTAAAAGCATTATTACTGTAACTTATAGAGGCTTTTAGAGAACTAATGTAGAACAAATAAATGAAAGTTAATTATGATGACTCTCACAATTCTGACTTTTTCTTAAAAATGCAACAAAAAAGTAAAAATTGTGAAACACCTGAGTAAACTAGTAGAGTGGAAGAAATAAGTATTGAACACGTCACCATTTTACTCAGAAAACATTTCTAAAGGTGCCGTTGACTTGAAATTTTCAGCTGGATGTTGGTAACAACCTAAAAAAAAATCCATATATGCAAAGAAAACAAATTAATTAGTTTACAAATGAAGTTACGTGTAATTAAATTAATTGACGCAGGCAAAAAGCATTGAACACATGAAGAAAGGCAGTGAAAGCCCAGACAGCAGATTAAATTTCTCAGTAGTTCTTCAGCATCCCTCTGCCTTCATCAGTGTAAATGAAAATCAGCTGCTTCAGTCCAACATCTACATTAGCAGGAGGATGAAGATGAAACCAGGGTGAACATTGCAGTAAGACAGTGATCCAAAACACAGCCAAGGAAACTCTCAAATGCTTTCAGAGAAAGAAAATCAAGCTGTAGAATGGCCCAGCCAATCACCTGACTCCAATTCAATAGAAAATACAAAATAAAGCTCAGATTTGACAGACGACACCCACAGAAACATCAAGAATTTTATACTGTTGAAGTCTGTGAGAAACTCACACCTGAGCAATGCATGTGACTTTAGTTTCCATATGAGAGGTTTCCTTATGCTGCCATCACCAAAAAAGCCTTTTATATAAAGTATTAAATACATTTCAGTAGTTTAGCGCTTTCTTCTTCTGTCATTTCATTCTTATTACACACAACTAATTTTTCAAATTCTTTTTTTTTTTTTTATGTTTGTATTGTTCAGGTTTTTACCACAATCTGGTTCAATTCCATGTCAACAGCTCCAATAGAAATACTATTCCCGTGGAAAAAACATGATGTGATCATTACTTATTTTTCCTGCTGTATCTTAATAACTTTAAATATGTAACTTTAAAAATTTGTTAACAAATCTCTCTATTAAACAGCACTTGGGAAACATTTGAGAAAGAGCTCAAATTTAAGAGGAGGGCTAATCATTTTGTCTTAATTGCAATAAAAGTCAATAGGCCATATTGTGTTACCAGACATTGTTTTTCTCTAAGGTTTCCTGTTTGATGAAGGCAGTTGTCAAGACGAGTTTTCCTTCTCGTTTGGGGCAGAAAGTCCTCGGCCGTGTGTGAACGCACCAGACACAGCAGGTCCGTCTGATTCCTCTCCATTCTTTTTCAGATTTGGAAAATTATAACTATATTAATCTCTTCATTATAATTCAGAAATTAGTTCAAATGTCTGTTAGAGTCTGCTGTATGATACATGAAGTGAGGAAGTATGTCCTGTTACTTGTAGGATTTCACATTAGTTCAGACGGGTTCCACTCAACATTCAGTATAACTAAAAAAAATAACATGTATACTTCAACTCTGAATATACGATTGCAGCAAAAATACATGCATTATAATTAACAGAATGTTGAATCCCCTGTATGCTCTTCTCATAAAATGTATTTGGTTCTACTTTACAAATATAACAATGTTGACTTTCCTTTTCTGGTCATTTCCCACCATTTACAACAGAGCAAACATATATGATCTTTAAATATATTTTATTATATATTGTAGTATATTTATATAGATTTTTTATTAATTGACAGGACATTCAGGTGCATGATTACATTCATTATACATGTAGATTTTAATGGCTTACGTTTTTAGACACAAACACTGAGTTCTCAAGATGTCAACAAAACAACAGACTCATATGATGCGTCCCAAATCGCATACTTATGCACTATTCTACGCCATTTTGTAGTATCAATAGTGTAAGTAGTGCATTTACACAGAAAACTCACACTAAAAATAAGTAAGTGCACTTTAAATACCCGGATGATGCAGTTATTCAACCGGTAAAATAAAGTGTGTTTTGTTGGACACTTCATGCACTCAACGACCGCTGCTTTGCTCATGTAGTGGAAGGAGCGGAGCTTTTGGGCACTGATGTTGGATTATTTATTTTGGATTGTGAAAGCAGTATTCTCCTACGAGTGATTATAGTGCCTCCCTAAGGTGAATGCAGTTGTACTCATGCAGGTTTTATTTGGTAGTTTGGTCATTTATTTCACAAATTTGACAACCGTCAAAAGTCATCAGGGAAATGGTTTGAATTTCCGCTTAGTAAAAAAAAAAAAAAGTTAGTGCTCGGTTTGGGATGACACTACATGCATATAGTGTGCTATTGAGTGCATAAGTGTATAGTGTGCCATTTGGGACGCAGCTATAGTTGTTGACAGTTAAAAGGCTCATATGCAACACTAATAAACATGCGAGTCATGTGGTCAGCTGGATAAACATGCTAAGACTAGTTTAAACAACTGCTGTCATCTATCTTCCTTTTTGGATTAAAGCTACACAAGTATGTATTTTAAACCGACTTAAAAAAGTGACTATATGATTAGTCTGAGCAGTTTATGCAACTGGCCACAGGTTATTTTTCATCTGAAAATCAGGAGCAAAACTGTTTACAAAACCATGAAGCTATGACTTTAAATTTTGCATCATGACATTTTTTCGTGACTGTTATATATCTTTTACTACAAATTCTCTTTTCTGCCATGACAAATATACTGTAAAGGGCTGTTCACATAGAGCATAGTAATGATAAAGATAACGACATTGTTTTAATAATCAATCGTAATGTAAAACAACAGCAGAGTTAATTAAATCATTGGAATCAATTTCAGACTATTTATTTCCTGCTAAAAAGCTAAAACTCTGTCAGCCAATCAGAATCCACTGATATATAAAGAGTTAGCGCTATTTAAAGCTATAGAGGACATCGTGGAGAAGCTCTGCTTGATGTTAAACCCTCTTTTCAAAGATAATTTTAAGATAATGACTATTTTAAAGGGGTGGTCCACTATAATATATTACACTTTAGTTGATGTGTAATGTAGCTGTGTAAACATTAACAACATCTCTGAATGTAAGATGCTCTGAGTTTAATGCAAAAGGGAGACATTGGCTTATAGAGAGGTAGCTTAACAAAGCCTACAGCGAACAAATTTGGGGACTACAAAAAACACATCTGGGTTAGTGAGATCACCATAAAGGGGCGTGGCCACAGGCGCTGTCATGTTATAGCAGAGAAAGCTAAAATGGCGTCCAAAAGCTGCTATTTCCACAGAACTTCTTCTGTTTCTGTATTTGGGCTTCCAAAGGACACGAAACAAAGAAAGAAAGTGCTTACAGTACAATATTAATTATGTTCCAGAGAATTATAATAAATATATATAGCTCTAGCATTTGACAAAGGAGATCTCTCCAGTTCAGTGCTGGATTCGGCTAAAAACTCTTCAAAGAAGGAGCAGCTCCAACCATAAAAGCTGAAGTTGTGGATTGTGAGCCACAACCTGTAAGTGTTTTTATTTGTAAAGATCGATCTGTTACATTGCACAGTGTCTAGCGTTAACGGTATGTTGTAGCAAGGACGTAAACAAGGAATTAAACAACAGGAAGTGCTGTGTGGCACCGCTAACAATTTAGCTACAACTTTACATTTATCCGTGAAACCCATGTAAACAGCCACTTCAGCAGCGCTGCAGTGTCTCTCTATGCGACCGCTTTTTTTTTATATCTTTAAAGATATAACATTTTATATTACTTATGCTTATAACACAAATATGTGAAAGACACTTGTCAGATTTTATTTTAGAAAGCAGGCGTGAGGTTTAGCTGTGTCCTTTTCCTTTTGTGTCTAATTCAGACTCACACTGACACGGCTACTCTGACTGACAGTATTTACACAGCAGTGTGCTAGAGGCCTAGCGACCAATCAGAGCCTTTTGAGGGCGGGCTTTGGAGGAACTATGACCGTGGTTTTCATGTTAGCTGAGTAGCTGTATGTAATCAAAAAGATTGATGAAAAAATAACATGATTTTCTACAAGTGAAGCATGAGCACACATTGCTTTGCATCTTATAAACACAACCAAGCCTTTAAAATACACTCTGGACCACCCCTTTGAAAACAATTGTTTATACCATGGGAAGGAATGATAAAAAAAATAGTACATAATAGATAAAATAGTTACATAAAAACAATGCAAGCCAGGCTCGCAAATTGAAGTATGAAAATAAAAGTACCGTAGCTAACTAGTATAGTTTTAGTATCTTTGTGTTTCCTTCTTTGAAAATGCTGAGGAAACATTTTTAGTGTTTTTAATTCACTACACTAATTGTGATTGCCAAGTTCACTGTTTGATTAGATAGATTACACGAGCCAGATTCACTGGTCATGTGCCAGAAACACAGCACACTAAGGACATCTGCTGGTTACAAAGGGATAATGCAAAAAAGAAGAGCATAAACTAAAAAACTAAAAAAAGTAAAAAAGTAAACAGATTGATATCATTTGCTGGTGTGGATACACACATATATCACTATAGTTATAGTCCCTTTTGTGGATTATAAAAATGTCACAATGCAAAATATATATATATACATATAACAATTACACAATAAGCTTTATTTACGTTAATGCATCGGTTTTCTTTAGACTAGACTCTCACATTGATATTCACTATAGCTCAATAGTGATATTTTCCAGAGTGTTAAATACTGGAGATGTAAAACATGCGGCACTAGAATCATCTATTGCTTCACACTTATCACAGATTGCATAGGCACAACATTGAGCATAACTCAAGCTCACAATCACAAGTACAAACATTAATCAGTCAAAATCTCCACTTTAACCTGCTTGTGATGCACTTCATCACATCAAACCATTCCAGCTGCTGGAATAAATATTTGCTATGATATAAAGATGTTGAGCTCTCTAGTAATAGCAGCAGTTTATATGATTATCATAAAGAAAGACAGTGTCTGCACTGGAACGGACTGGTGTTGCATTGCACTATGAAAAATAGAGGAGTTTGCATGATTGCTTTGGCACAGCAAAATAACGCTGGTGATAGTTTACAATAAAGTTTCATTTGTTAACATTAGTTATTACACAGCATGACATCCTGAGGTATGTTATTTTCCGGATAACAACCTCTCAAACTAATAACAGAGGGTTGACCGGGTACTACAAATCATCTTGACCAAATATATTTATATATTTATATTTATTAATATGTTAATGTGTCATACTGCTGTTTTGTGAATGTTTAATGCCATCTTGCAACTTAATATTAAGTAGTTTTAGTAAATTAGTGTAATCAGCATTTTGTTTCTGCAAGCTTTGTTTAATTAAAGCAGCTATAACATGATTACTCATTTTAAATCAAGTAGCCATGTAATAATCAGCATAATGTAGATCCAGCCGGTTGTTATCGCATAATAAAGGCCTTCAGTCAAATACAAATGCTGCTGATAAACCTGTCAGGCTTTATTCTGTGAGAACACCATCCTGGATGTACATTATCCATAAAATAAAAACCAACAACACTTCTCAAGTACTCACTAATCTTAACACACACTGTATGTTTCTATCGATGAGCTTTTATGGACAGTTTAATTTTAATATTCCATTAGAAATGCTGGAATTAAACACTAAAATGTGCATCAACACAAATGCACTGAATTAAGGCGGATAATTAATAAGAATAACTATGATGGAAACAAATATATATAATAAAATCCTTAATGCACAAACAGCATTTGGCACAGCTCAGATGCTACTTTAGTTGTTCTGCCAAAGTCTGTCAGTACATTGATTTGGTTAAATTACTCTGTCAGTTCAGAAACATTAAGCATCTGAACACAATTAATGCATTTACTCACGTTTATAGATGAGATCTTATTTTAAAGTGTGATCATAATGCTGCCATTGCTACAGCTGCTTATTAAAAACAGGGAGATTGTACTTAGAAAACCAGAACCATCATGTGCTGGCTTTATCAAAAACATAACAAATTAAACTGACAGTCTTCTAATCAATACTCAATTATAAATGTTAACCAAGTAATATAAGGATATGAGCATTGTTCATAGCTATCTAGATAATAACAGGAGTAATGTAAACCAGTGTAAACATGATGCAAATGCAGAGGATGTGATCAGTTATAGGCACAGAGCTGGAGTTCACCCTCCTTTACTCATGAAAGGATGAGGTGTTTACCCGTTTAACGCTGGAGTGGCAGTGGTGTGTGTTAGTTTCAGGATGGCAGTAGTAGTGTGTGTTTTAGAAGCCAGTGTCGATGCTGAGCGAGCGCCGGGTCACATGTTCGATCTCTCCCGTCACATACTCATTGAAGGATGTCTGGTACTTTGCCAACATCTTCAGCATCAGACGCAGATTTAGCCACCACTGTGTCTTGGGCATTCGGTGTCTGCAAGACCAGAGAGACAGCTTATTATTAGTAGAACTTTACTTTTTTACTTTTTTAACACACACAGCTGGAAATCTTAAAGATTCTCCAAACAGAACAAAACTGGTGTTTCTCTAAAGGTTTATTTATTTTCAGTTAACTGAAGTGAAAATGTAGAAAGAAAAGTTTAGTTTATTAGTTTTTTGCTGGTTGTCAAGACAGAATATAGTATAGAATATAAAGTCCTGCTGCAGTGGTGACAGAATGAATATTGTGTCTGACTCCATCATGAGCTTGGAGGACTGCATCCATACATCTCTGACATGACTCAAATCACTGATTAATAAAGTCATCTGGAATGGCAAACAAAGCGTTCCTGGAGGACTCCCAGAGTTCATCAGGATTTTTTGGATTCATCTTCAATGCTGATATGCAATTGTGTTCATCTCTGGTGACTGGGCTGGCCAATCCTGGAGCACCTTGAGCTTCTTTGCTTTCAGGAGCTTTGATGTGGAGGCTGAAGTATGAGCAGGAGCGCTATCCTGCTGGAGAATTTGCCCTCTTCTGTGGTTTGTAATATAATGGGCAGCACAAATGTCTTGATAGCTCAGGCTGTTGATGTTGCCATCCACTCTGCAGATCTCTCGCACGCCCCCATACTGAATGCAACCCTTCACCAAACTTGACTGATTTCTTTGAGAATCTTGAGTCCATGCTGGTTCCAGTAGGTTTTCTGCAGTGTTTGTGATGATTGGGATGAAGTTCAACTATAGACTGTAAAATATATGGACGTAGTATCCGTGACGTCACCCATAGGTTTCTGAAGAGCGCAAAAGAAGCCACAAGTAGGCGTGGCCAACCGTCACCGTTTTGTTTGCGCGTCATCACACTCACGGCGGGATACCAAACATGGGCAAAGAGGCGTAGAGTGGGCGAAGCTTAAGACACTGCTAAAATTTTGCCTGGACCTGGTTCAGACACACTTTACTTTGGGAGAACGCTTAATACTTTATCACCTGCGACTCGTTTATGTTCTGACCACATGTGCTTGGCTGTACACTATATCAATAAAGTGTTTAGTCTTTTAAAAACACTGCTGTAATAAATCGAGCCACTAAGCATTGTTCTTATGACGTTTTCCTACAGGAGGAAAACGCAAATTACTTCCAAACACTTCAGATATAGTCTGTGTTAGTAAATGCAGGACTATTGATGAAATCCAGCATAACACTGTATGACAAGGCTTCAGATGAAAGTTCTAGAGCCTACAGCTAATCAATCTGTCAGATTCTAGAGTTCATTACTGCTCTAAAGAACATTATACATGATAAATGATCTTAAATAAAACAAATACATTAATAGAGATGATATACGAGTATATAACTTTACTCACATGGTAAACAGAGGCCACGTAAATGGTTTGTGAGCACAATTAAGTGCACTCAGCATCCCATGCCATATGATAATTGTAGGAAACAAGTCCAAAAGGCAACTGACTGTGTAAAGCCACATAAAACAACACAGAAATGCGATAAATATGCCGAGTTCAGTGGCTAATCTGCAGGATTCAGCTGAGGCGACGTGACGACGACCAACGAGACCTAGGTGTCACTCAAGTGGCCACACCCTTAATTATGCAAACTTAACATAACTTAATATAAAAGAAACTGATGAGTTATAAAAATATTCACCCCCTCACAGTTGTCATGAAGGGTAATATTAGCTGTATTAACCAAAATCTTTTTTGTACCAGGCTGTAAACACCTTTTTTCCTGTTGTAAAGTTGGCCATTCTAACAGTGGGCTCAATTGAAATTTGCTCTATTATGGAGCCAGGAGCGGCCAGGACTAGCGGGATTTCGGATGAATTGCAGTTTTAGTTACTTCCGTATTGGCTTCCCGAGGGAGAGCGGGAGGTTGCCGCTTGAGTTCAACAGATGATTCATGGAAAAAAATACACCTTCTGCCACTTTTCTAGAAGTCCAAGGTATTATTTGTTGCTCTTACAACAGGGATCGATGACAAGACTTTTTTCAGGCAGTATATATATATATATATATATATATATATATATATATACCCATACAAAAACAAATAATAAAAAGTTTAAATAATAACTTATATATGTTACTAAAATAACACTACGTTTATTCATGTGTACAGAAATTTTAACCATAAAACTTAAACAATTAAATAAAAAAAATTGAAATAACATAAAATCAATTTGAATTATTAGGATGTGAAGCAGTATGCCTATGAAAAACAAATGAATAACTACATTATATGTTGTATTTATTGTGTTTTGTTTGTTGTAGCATGATGGGACTAGAGGCTACTGAATAGCAATTTATTACATAACTTCACATGCATGAAATATACTTGTGTGAACAATAATCATGTTGTGTGTGTGTGTGTGTGTGTGTGTGTGTAACTGTAAGGGTCACTCACTCAAAGTCGGTCTGTTCCTTCAGCTCAGTGACGGGACTGAAGGTCATAGCCTTCTTATACAGGCCCACCACACAGGCTGTGTCAGGAGTGTTCGCAAACACACGACCTGATTGACACACACACAAATTAATTCCGCCATGTGACTAAAGGAAAACAACATCTCCATCTGAATGATTTATATTAGTCAAAACATGAAAACTAGGGGAAATTATCAGCCATAAAAGTCTGCTCAAATATCGCAACAACACGACATGTCAATGTCCAACTGTGCTGTCATGGTACTACTGGTAAAACGACGCCTCTCGACTCGTTCACTGTCAATGAAATGTAGTCATTTTATTGGCTTGTGTTTTAAAAAATCTGTATAAAATATCAAGATAAATGTACAAGAAGTCTTACAAAATTACTTTTTATATTAATTTATTAATTAATTAAACACAATAATAAATAATTATTACAATTTCAATTTTGTTTTTTGGCAAAGTGCACCCATAATTAAAAAGCGTATATAAACGTGGTAACACTTTAGTTTAAGTAACAACTCACAATATTTACTACAGGCTTTTTACCTGCCTATTATTATGATATTAAGTGTTTATTACGTATAAAGTATGATATTATACTTTATACAACAGTTCTGTCTGGTTCTTGAATCTGACTGGCTGATAGCCGTGATATATTTAAGTAATATCAGCACCCTTAAGCAGGTCGCACACCAGAAGCGCCGCTCGGCGCCGCGACACGGCGCGTACATGACAGTTTAAAGTATCGCACACCAGACGCGCACATTCGAATGATATTTAACATGAAACTAATCAGATGGCGCTCTGTGGCGCGGCTGAAAAATGAACTGCGTCCTGAGCCGTCGCCGAGCGCCGCCGACAGCCGCCGACTTGCGGCGCCGGTGTGTGTATCCTGATAGAAACCAATGTTTAGAATTCTAAAATACATGGCGCTGCGTGGCGCTGCGCGGCGCGCCGCGGCACTTCTGGTGTGCGACCTGCTTTACAGCCTCTTTACCATTTGTGTATTACTCCGCCCACATACAGCCAACAAAAAGCAGACACTACAGATCTAAAGTTTAAAAGATGCTTACTCAGCTGTTTAACTGTCAGCTTATGATTTGAATTCAATGTAGAAGAAAGTAGTTCCTCATACAAAAGGATTTGAGACTCTTCATGATTGATTTTGTTTTTTATATACACAATTATGCCGTCAAACTGTTGTATAAACGCAATATCACACAAGTAGCAGTCCGTTATGGCTGTATATGCGGCCTCGTGGCAATGCACACTTCCCACCAGTGCCGATATATGCTCCTACATCCCTAATCTTACCCAATACCTAAACTACCGTACTAACTATTAATAAGCCTCTAATTAGTAGTTTATGGGGTTAAAAAATTTGAGTAATGGTTTGTTATTAGTGTGAATTGAGCATTAAATAAAGTGTGACTGTTAATTTAGTAGGTATTGCTTTCTGTAAGCTGTTCAAGATGGTTATGTTGAGTTTTAAGCCTGTAAACCTCTCACCTTGTCTGAAGCTGTCGTTCATCTTCTCTGTCAGCCACTGTACAGCTCGAACACCCAGTTTAGTCCCATAGTTTCTGTCAAAGGGAGTAGGAACTCCACCCTAATAACAAATAAACAACACAGAGCTGCTGATCTGACTCTAATAATGACACTATTGGATTTATACACCTGCTTTATTGCTGAATTAGATTGTGTCTCATGTTTAATGAAGTTTGCATCATTGATTACTTTTTTTTCTGTTCATTTTACTTTTATTGAATGGTTTTGGCCTGTCATTGGTAAATAAATAAGACCCTATAACTCCAGTAGGTGGCGGAAGCCTCCTCAAGTTTGAACGATTGAGTCATTGAATCATTCACTCAAGCAACTAGTTCAAAACTGCTGATTCGTTTAGAAACAAAGCAAATGATTCTTTAATCATTGACTCAGGTGAGTTGTTAAAAAAAGGTTCATTCAGGAAGGAACCAGTGCTCTGAGATGCACAAATGTTCTGCATTGGCTCTCTAAAAAACAAACAAAACAAAAAATGACGTGTCTAAATGTATTTCTGTAGATTTAGTTTGCTGAAATAATAGTAGTTCTATCAGTAATTCAATAAAAACATTTACTGACATTCAGGAATACATCACTCTTGCTTGACTGATCTACTTTATATCATGTTCATTTATTCATTATCTTTTGGCTTAGTCCCTTATTTAGCAAGGGTCGCCACAGTGGAATGAACCGCCAACTATTCCGGCATTTTTTTTTACGCAGCGGACACCCTTCCCAGTACTGTTAAATACCCATGCACACTCACATTCACACACTCATATACTATGGCCTGTTTAGTTCATCAGTTTCCCCTATAACGCAAGTGTTTGGACTGTGGGGGAAACAGGAGCACCCGGAGGAAACCCAACGGGGAGAACATGCAAACTCCACACAGAAACGCCAACTGGGCTCAAATCAGCGACCTTCTTGCTGTGAGGTGACAGTGCTAACCACTGAGCAACTGTGCTGCCCTGTATATCATGTTATGCTGTGTTTACACCAGACGCGGAACGCGTGGATAAATCGCGCTATTCGCGCGTAAATAGCCGCGTGAACATTTGAGGTTACTCGCTTCATTCGCGTGTCAAATTCACTTCAGAACAGACGCGGATTCGCGTGATGAGCAGGGCTTCTGTCTGCCCGGTGACTCTAGCTTCATAGCTAAATGGCTATTTTGGATTTTATGAAGAAAATAACAGTGTTTATGTGCTTTATGAAGACTGAAAAACAGTGTCAATATGTTTAGGGTCGTGTCTGAGTCCACTACATCCTTTCAGAGGTGCATCCAGCTCTGTGAGCTCATAAACTCCTCCAGAAACTGAACCTGGATGACGGAGGCTTTTAGCGGTGCTTCAGACTGAGCCCAGCCGAGTTTGATGAACTGTTGTCGGTGTCGGCTGGAGGATTTCCCCTGGGACAACATCAACAGGTTCTACGTCACAATCACGCCCCAATAAGAGCAAGCTTCTGATTTGTTAACGCAGCGCGAATATACGCTGAAGTTCAGATTTTTGAGCTCAAGTGATTCGCGCGTTTGCATTGACTTAACATGTAAATCACTCGCGCTTGACGTGCGTTACGCGTCTGGTGTGAACGAAGCATTATAAATATAAAAAAACAACAGATGGATGTTTTATTTTATAGCTAGAATTATAGGCTCATTCTGACTATACTTATAGGCTCACAGTCATATCTCTCAAGTCGTGATTTATTTTTTTTTGGAAAGAGAACAACATGATCAACAGTCATCTGTAACTATTCATATTTCACTTATGAAGTTTCATTTCATAAGCCTTGTCTGTGTGTGTGTGTACCTGCTGCAGATGTCCCAGGATATTAACTCTGCAGTCAAACACACCTTTCCCCTCGGCGGAGTAAAGCTTATGGATGAAATCAGTGGTGTAGTGCTCATGACACTTCTCGTTCCTGAAAACACACTTACAGTCACTCTTAAGCATAAGAGAGTAAAGTATCACAATCAGTGAGCAGGTGTAAACAAGCACATAATAAGCAGAATAAAGTAGATCAGGTGTTTGTTTTCTCAGAAGAAACTGTCTGAGGCCTGATTGAGTTGACTGTTTAGTTTTATCATGAAAAACAGAATGACCTCAGCACCAGCCCTCTCTGAATGTCCTTCTTCATTTTCTCTGTCAAATGCACCACATTGGTCTAAAAACAAAACAAAATGTTATTCATATGCAAGAAAAAAAAACAAGTAAAATAACACAGTAATAATCACGTGTTCAGTCTAACCGTGAGGTCATGGATGTTAAAAGGATCTTCAAATATGTACGCAGCATCCGCACCGACAGCAATGCTAGTGGTGGTTGCCAGATAACCACAATATCCACCCATAGTCTCCACTACGAACACTCTCCTCTTGGTTCCCGAGGCTGACTGCTTGATCTTATCACAGCTCTGGAGAAAAACAACACACACACTTCAGGCCTACAACTGCACAAACATTATCCACGGCTCTAAATCTAGATTTATAGCTGGTGGAGTGAAGAAGATAAGATTTGGCAGGTGTGTGTGTGTGTGTGCACTGATGCGTAAAGCCATTTTAAAACCTATTACATTAAAAAGCAGAAAAAGACACTTTACTTCAATCAAATGATTTTTTTGTGGTTCACACAGAGGCCGTCCATACTTCTCAACATCAATAGGCAGCCGGTGGATAAATAAAGTCTTTGTTTTTGTTTACTCCATGTAGTTCTGAGAGGTGAGATGTACATTTTGATTTTCTCAGATGCATCAAGGTAAGTGCGTAAAGGTCACTCTCTCACACACACAAACAGACACACACACACGTTTTCACACTGCATGACTATCTGGGCTAGCGTTTCGTCGCTGCTTTGTTTACACTGCATGATGGATCGCCGACAGGGGCTTTCACATTGCAAGACTTTACTATAGGAAGAATTGCCGACAACTTTGTCCAAACTACGCCTCACAGCCAAAAACACGTAGTATATCTTTTGTTATTAACTACATAACAAGAAAGAAGCCTTTAAAGGAGTAGAAAATGTACATATTTGCTCACCTGGGATTGAAGGGAATTAGCCATTTCTCCTCAACTTTCTTTTTTAACTTTCTGTATGAACCGTCAAACAGACACGGGTGCTCCTGTCAAACCTCCACTAGTTTTTCCTTCATTTCTTGGGTCTAAAAATAAACCTAAAATGAGCGCTTTAAACTTCTAACTCAACCTCCCGCTGGCCTGCAGGTACACACGCACACACAAATGAATGCTGCTCTCTCATTGGCTGTTGGTGATCGCCGATGTTATTTTCAGTCACAACTCATTTCACAAGGCATGGTTTGAATCACTGACATCTGCAGATGTTCAGCATGCCAAATATCTCACGGGCATCGGGGATTCTCTCATATCGCGTCTTTGATAGCTCATGCTCTGTGATTGTCACTCGCATGCACGAGCAACTATTTGCCTGTGATTTCAGGCATTTGTCGGTGATTTCTCAAAACTTGTCGGGGAGTCAAAATCGAGGCTAAAATCATGCAGTCTGAACTCGGCATAAAGGGTCAATGCTGCCAACTAATGATCAACAGTAAAAATGACACATTTTACCTCTTCCTAACAAGGAAAACCAGCAACAATCAAAAATGCATGATTATATGCTGTCATGACTTTGCAATAGAAATCTGGTTATAATGCAAGTCAATGGAGCAAAAACAGCCACCAACAGCAAACTAGGGTGCTTTCACACCTATACTGTTGTTCCGGAACCTGGCGTGCTGTCCCAGATAGCGCAGTTTATTTGGCATATGTTAATCCAGCAATTGCGCTCGGATCCGCACCAAAACTATCAGTCTGAGATGGCCTGAATGAGGGGGTCTTGGCTCGATTGAAACAAACTCTGAAGCGGATAGATTATAGTGAGAACCAAGCTATATCACAGTGTATTATGGTTATGTTATAGGCATATATGGCTACATGAAGAGAGAATTATGAGTAGGGCGGGATGTCATTTCTACCAGTAAATGTGCGTTTCATGTCAAATACTCGAGTGAAAGCTTGTTAACTATTAATGAGAGCTGTTTATCCGTTAGGAAAATCGACTTAATTGCAGTCTTGGTTTATTCAATTCAGCTTTATTTGTATTAGCGCTTTTACAATGTATATTGTGTCAAAGCAGCTTCACATAAATGGTCATAGTAACTGGATCAGGGTAGTTCAGTTTTAGTGTTTAAGTTCAGTTTAGTGTAGCTCAGTTCAGTGTGGTTTAAAGTCATTACTGAGAGTCCAAACACTGAAGAGCAAATCCATTGTTGTGTAGCTCTACAGATATCTCTATCTGTTATTTCTCTCTATAATGTAAAGCCTGTAATGCACAATTCTAGCCAACGGCTGTGTATAAAAAAAAAGTATTACCTCTGATTTATATCTGCTGACGATGTCTGTGGGCGTCACCATTCAAAATAAAGCGCAGATTTTCGCTTATGATGTCTTGTTGCTCATCGTCATAAATTAAAATAAGGACGCATGACAGCTGAGCGGGACTCTGAAAATTAAAGTGTGAAACTCTACCCAATGTGAGGAGAGTTTACTCGCACGTGACTTGTTTTAGCTATTTTGGTTCGTTTAGAAACTTTGCCGTGTGAAAGCGAACCGCTCCAAGAACAAAGAGCAACAATGTAACAATTTTAATCCCTGTTTCAGAACAAAACATTTAATCTACAGGTGTGAAAGCCAAAGCCAATGTTGTTACTAATCGTTCACATGTCCAAAACTGATAAATGGTAAAAAAAAAAGTCCACAGGTACTTTTTATCTTGAAAATAAATTATTTTAATTGTTTTTTGTGTGACATTTTTTTTTAATTTGGCAATTGCTGAGTTAAAGTCCTGTAATTTTCTAAACAATTTAGAAGTTTTGATTAGTACTGAGGTTGATTAACAGATTTATGCAAAACAATTTGAACTTGCGGGACGATAACGTATAACCCGTGCCTACAGACACATTTGCCAAAGAAGCAAAATGGAAGAAGAATATTGCTGTTTGATTCAGACGTGTTTATGCTTAACCAGCGCTGATGTTGAACTGGATCTGCGTAATAAACGCAACAAATAGGCTTTACTTTTTATTTTACAGCTTATAAAGCATGTATGCACATTAATGCAATATCATATTTAAACAACAAAACTGTTTACAAAAAGTCAACATATGCGCACGTTGTAGTTGTCTTTTCATCACGCAGCGCGCACTTGAGCCGTGAGGGAGAGAGAGGAAACCATATAGCAAGACATAATCTTTAAAATAATGATTTCTATTAAAAATGTAAAAGGTTTTGTGATTATAATAATAAGCGAGCCATTAAATAAAGGCATATTTGCCGTGGTGCGAGCGATTTGAGGAAGTCTGCGATATTTATTTGACGGAAGAAAAAACATGATTGGAAAAAAACAGCCTATGCCGGTTATTAAAAAGAATCAGTCAGTGTTTTCGTTTTGTAATATACGTTAATTATTTAAGTGGAAAATAATTTAGGGCAGTCCTATTTATTTATTCATTTTATTTAGATTATTCTGCTCTTCTGTGCTAAACACTGCAGGTGCGTGAAGATGCTCTGTTGTTCTGTTCCGCTATTAATATGCTAACATATAAAAATAAATCAGTATTTTAGTATTTTAAAATGCAATATTTAATGTGTCAGACACAAAATAGACACGTCAATTTGTTTAATATAAAATGAATAGTAATAGTAATCTATAGTTAACCATTAATAAGCGATTAATGAGCGGCGGTTGTCGGTTAGCAAAATTAACGAAATGAGCATCCCTAGTAGCTATTTAATTTACTTTTTCTATGTAAGAGAACTTGATTGAAAAAGAATTTTCAACATGCCTGAACCATCTCCACAATGGAGTTTAGTTCTGTTTGGTTTTTCAACAGTATTTTGTTACAAAAAAAACAAAAGTGATATAGCTTTGGCTATTTATTTATTTTATATATGGCCATTTATATTGTTAATAATTTGCATAGTTAATATTGTTCTTTGATGTTTAGATTATAAAGATTTTTCAAATGTTATTTAATAAAAAATAGTTTTAAAAATCTTTTTTTTCCCACCCCACACGGAAAAAAAATCGTGATACGAACCGAATCGTGGGTTTGGTGTATCGTTACAGCCCTAATAAATGGTAAAAAAAAGTCCACAGGTACTTTTTATCTTGAAAATCATTTATCTTATAAATTATTTTAATTGTTTTTTCACCAAATCAGTGACATTATTTTTGAATTTGGCAATTGCAGAGTTAAAATCCTGTAATTTTCTAAACAATATAGAAGTTTTGATCAGGATTGAGGTTGATTAACAGATTTATGCAAAACAATTTGAAAAAAAAAAATGCATCTGATGCATTTTTGCAGCAGTTTAATTTAGTGGATGTTTTCATCCTGGACATAACGAAAGAGTAGTAAGTTTGCCCAGAGTGTATCGTTGAGTTTAAAAAAAAATAAATAAATCAAAGCTTTGAAACAAGATTTGATACCAAAAATCATTCTGCTAGCTTAAACACAGAGGAAGTTGTGGCCAAATTAAGACCCAAAATCACCCCAGAGTGGATGAAAACATCCCCAACATTAAATAAGGGTTAATGTAACAAATAGTCAATCTAATAGTAACAGCAAATGGGTGTATATATGGATGTTTAGGTGTCCTGTACTTACAGACATGGCTGCATTAACAGCAGTATCGCTGCCCAGACTGAACTCAGTTCCTGGCACATTGTTGCTGATGGTGGCAGGGATGATGCACATGGGAATACACAGTTCATCATAGCGACCTCTTGCTTCCACCAGCTCCAGAACACCTTCATACGCCTGCACATGACAAAAAACACACTCAAGTATCATAAAGAGCAGCACAGACATGCTCTAATATAGTGTTTCTCGACCATGTTCATGGAGGACCACCAGCACTGCATGTTTTGGATGTCTTCTTTGCCTGTCACACCTATTATATATATTATATATTATATATATAGTCCCTATTATTGAGCTGATGATCAGAATGTGTTCAGTTACGTAGACAAGGAAAATGTGCAGAGCTGGTGGTTCTCCAGGAACATGGCTGCTCTAATACACAGTGGCGGTTCTAAGGATGTCTGCCCTCATATCAAATATTTATCCCAAAATTTAGAATTGCAAAATAATGGCACAATAAAAACTGCATTTTTATGTACGGTACCTACTGCATACTCAAGGGCCGATCACACAGAATGCGTTTTTCCTCTCCAACAGATTACTTTTCTATTGTATTTCAATGTAATCAAGTGCTTGACGAACTAGTTTGACCGTTTAATGCACGTCTCAGATCGTTTGAAGTGTTGCGCACGTGAGCTCCACAATTTTTATAGGGCATGTCAAGTTAAGAGATGTTCACACGCAGCACAGCTCATTACTGTCAGCTCAAAGGCAGTGGACCAATCAGAAGAACTTGGAGGCAGGGCAAATCTAGTGAGCTTCTGTTTATATTAGAAAGTAGGCATGGCAACTTTTTATTTACAGTTATATCATGGCATAGGAGGTGCTCATTGTTGCTGTGTCCAGATATATGATGAGTTATATGATGCATCTTCAAGTGCTTATCATAAGATGTTGTTCTCCTATTGCTAATGGGTCTGTTATTGTCGTTATTATATCACGTTCATAATAATGCATAATGTGGACCTCGTGATACACTGCGTTTCTTAAAAGAGTGCTGCATTTTGTGTTTTCGATACATTTGGTGTGAATGAGCCCTAACACACTCAACCAGACTGATCAACAAGTGGTTACTGATGTGTTTTATCGTACACTAAATAAGTAGGGGTTTGGAAAATGAATCACTAAAACAATTCATATGGGAGAATAAATGCATATTATGCCCTTATGACCTTATGTAATGCATAATAGCTCTTAAAAATTTTTTCCTGGAAAATAACTCAAATCAGTTCAAATCACAGCGCTCTTCCAATCAGATTAGCTTATGAGACATAAATCATTTAGGGTGCTTTCACACTAGATGATGAGAATGATCCGGACTAAAACAGACCCAATCGCAAAAAGTACTGTGCCTTTTGGACTAATCCAGCTGCCATAGGCTGATGCGCTGTGCATTATGGGATATGGAGGAAACATATTTGTTGACAGCGCTTTACCAACAGAGAGAGAGAGAGAGAGGGGAAAACATTACCTGATGGATCATTGGTAATAATTCCGCAAGATGACTATGTCGCAGTTTAGCTAAATTAATTCACGCCTCCTCCTGAAGTGACGAGCGATGCATTAAACACTGTTTTCTAGCCACGGCCACGCTTCATTCTTGAAATGTATAGTTTGTCTAAAGCAGGGATACAATCAGTCAGCGCAGTCGTCCCTCCAGAGCAAAAACGACATTTTGTGTCTGCCGGTTTTGTTTACTTGCGGGAGTTCACTGGCATTTTCCCGCATGTGAATTCTGACCAATCAATAAGCAGTTTAGGAACTATATTCAACAACATCTGGCCAATGAGAGATGTGGATTTTGTCAGATGACTGCATTGTTTCAACTGGTTCGGACCAAAGCCAGCAGTGTGGTGTGAAAACGACCCAAAGACGGCAGAAAATGCTACAATGTATCATTTATCACTCTTGGTCCGGACCAAATGAAGCGAACTACAGATTTGAAAGCAATCTTAAAATGCAACAGGACTTCCTAGTGTGGCGTGGGACGAGATTTAACAGGTCGAGTTTTCTGTGATACTCCAGCAATATGTACAAATAAATAAATAGCATTCCATGCATTGCATCGAAAGTATGATATTTGCGTACCTCGAAACCACCGATGACCAGCAGCGAGTGGATGCTGAACTTGTTGAGGTTTTCCACCAGTTTGTCCATGCAGGTGCTGGGGAGGGTTCTGGAAAACACTGAGAGTGTTAAAAGGTGGCTTTCGAAAATAACAGCTGCATTGATTTCTGAAGGCGACTAACCGTTTAGTTCCCAGCAAAGAGCCACCCAGACCTGTCCAACCGGCCACCTGATTCCAGGACACTTCATTCACCTGCAGCATCACAGAAAACACATCAGACCTTCTGCATCTTCATGGACATTTAAGCTTTTCTGTTTTAGTGTTAATGCCCATAGAATATAGTTTGGCAAAAAGGTGTATTTGTATTGAAATGTTAACATTGTCTCCAGCATTTAATAGTAATTTCTGAATGACTCCGAGACACTGAAGTAGTTGACAAAAGCTTTACACATAAGAATGATTAATATAGTAAGAGGACGCGAGGACACAAGTCGGGTACTTCTTCAAATGGAACAGCAGTGTACTTTATAAGGTCATTAACCTCACCATGGACTCATCAGTTTCACTGTACATTAACAATAAAATGATTTAATTAATATTATGTTAATATTATAAATCTATATTTTAGATTTAAGAAAATGTACACATATATTCATAAAAATGTGAATTAAAATGAGTTATTATACACAGACACGTGTCTGATTATCAGATTTATTAAACTACAATGGTAATTATACACACAATAAGAAATTAAGATTACGTCAAACAATTTGGTAAACAAAGACAAAGAGCGTACAACACGGTAACATAATTAAAGACAATTACAAAAGGTAACTGTCACACGTAAATAATGTTCTGGTGAATCCAAATGTGAGTGATACAAATAATTTATTAACAAAGTCAAAACAAAAGCAAGGAATAAGTGCGGTGCTAGAACTTGGAGAAACAGGGCAGGAATCAGGCAGGAAACAGGGTCCATTAAAAACTCCTCAGGTCCTGAGCACAGACAAGAAGCACCATAAGCACACGTAACGAACTGACAACGAACACTGAACACGTAGCACATATATAGGCACGATAATGAGTATCAGCTGGCGAACAATCAATCCAGCTGAGTACCTGTCATGACATGAGACCAAAACAAATACACGTGGGCCACAAAAACAAAACAAACACACATGATCAAACAGACACTCCGGAAGAGCGCACAAACCTGCAACTGTGACAGTAACAAAATAACACTGCCAAAATAATACAGCTGAGAACAAATAATAGATTTATAAGACCAAAAACTGTCCGTTAGATATTCACAAGATGTATTAAATATCATGTTTTAACTACAATGAAGAGATGAGATCCAGCGGTACGTCCGGGATGGCCTGGCCGAAGTAAAGCTGCTCTGGCGGGGGAGGTGATGACGGAGCTCCCGCTGGCAGGCTGGGAGACGGAGTCCGCATAAGCCGAGCCACATCGTTAAAGAAGCGCTATTATTGTGAACAAACTGCCGATTCGAATTAAAAACAACTACATTCTCGCCTGAAAAACTGTCAAAACTTTATTTTGTGACACAGTAAAGGAGTATTTTTAAAATCGTGCGGGTTTCCTCCTCCGCCATTAGCGCTTGCTGGTTAGGCTGCAATGCATTCTGGGATACCTGAGCTTTGCAAGTTCGCACAAGTCACCCTCCATGCATCCTTGGCCAAATGGGCAGAGCAAGTACACATCCTGGAATTTCATGTGTACTTGGAAAGATGTGAACTTTAGAATTGGAACAGTACTTTGGCGACGGTTGATGACGTTTCACGAGGACACAAGAACGCAAGTACAGAAAAGAACGCATATTGAGAAACAGCTCAGGTCAGTCTAAGGCAGGGGTCGGCAACCCGCGGCTCTAGAGCCGCATGCGGCTCTTTAGCGCTGCCCTAGTGGCTCCCTGGAACTTTTTCAAAAAATGTTTGAAAATGGAAAACGATGAGGGAGGTAAATATATATATATTTTTTAATATGGTTTCTATAGGAGGACAAACAATCTTAACGTTTTCCAATGCTGTAAAAGTGTGTAGAATATTTAATTTCAACATTTCTGTCAACGAAGATTTGCGTCATAGCTTGCGACACACGTTTCTATCAGCAGGGCGGTATGCCAGGCAGGTAGCTGTTGTAAACAAACCGGCGGCTGTGTGTTGCGCCATGGAGCGTAAGCTGTCTTTGCCAAAGATGTACAGCGGGGCATGCTTTCTCATTTTCCCTCCCTGAGAGAATTCAAAGAAGCCCATCCCGATCACTCACTCAACGGTGATTATTTACAAGGTGCGATCGTTGATATGCAAACTGCATTTGAGAGCAGATTTTGCGAGTTGCGAAAGGAAAAAACGAGACTGTCTTTCCTTGACACACACCCCTGGAGATTGACCCTTCCTTGTTGAGCACATTCCCAGGAATGACTCGAGCTGATCTTGAAATGGAAATGGCAGGCTGCGTTTTATTGCACTGTTTGTTGCCCAGATAAGGGGCACGTTGTGCACGTTCATTTTGATGTTGTTTTTTTTGAATCCTCAAAATAAAAAAAAAACATTAAAAAATCTGATTTCTTTATTGCATTTCTTTAATTTCATCAAAGCAAAACATAATGCAATAATATTGTAATGAAGTTAAACTTGAACATTAAACATAATGCAATAATATTGTAATGAAGTTAAACTTGATCATTAAACACATTTCATTAATATTGTAATGAAGTTAAACTTGATAATTAAACATAATTCATTAATATTGTAATGAAGTTAAACTTGATCATTAAACATAATGCATTAATATTGTAATGAAGTTAAACTTGATCATTAAACAATTCATTAATATTGTAATGAAGTTAAACTTGAACATTAAACAATTCATTAATATTGTAATGAAGTTAAACTTGAACATTAAACATAATTCATTAATATACTGTAATTAAGTTAAACTTGAGACGGCATCGTACAACAGAGTAGTCATGTGGCGCGTCATTCTCTACAGGATGCACTGCAGGGAAATGAACATTTAATCATATGAAGGCTCAGTATGTATTTGTAGCCAACGAAGTCATTTTTATAGTAGGCTAATATAGCTAATATAAATACATACAGCATGTGTTGCCATCATTTTAAGGCTTATATAAGGCTTTTAAGTTTTTTGCGGCTCCAGACATATTTATTTTTGTTTTTTTTTGGTCCAATATGGCTCTTTCAACATTTTGGGTTGCCGACCCCTGGTCTAAGGTATTAGGGGGTGGCTACACACCAAACCACGCCCCTCCACCTGTCAGTTTTGACAACAAACAGAAATGGTGAGGTGGAGTCTGTTAGGTTGTAATAACTCTCCCCAAACCCTTTTCCCCAACCTTCTAAATGACACGCCTACTTTACTACATCCAATCAGCTCACAGTAAAAAAACAAGGCAAACCACGCCCACTGTTTTCTTATTTAATATTCCGTAGGAACTGCGTCACAATATGAGAAAAAATAAAATAAAATCAGTCGCAGCTTCCGGTCATTAAGCATTAAAACAACACGGAAAAAAATAAACAACACTGACTTCACACCAGTCATTGTGCTATAAAAAGAGCACTGAAGGATGTAAATGTTTTGTTGTTTACCGCTCCTTTGGCCAGCCCCTCAAAGCCATCGTTGACGATGTAAACGCGGTGTCCACTGGCCAGAGCCACTCTCACAGCAGAGCGAACCGCTGCATTCATGCCTGCCGCTGGAGCACCAACATTCAGGATGGCAATGGAGTGTTCACTCTGAGGAGAAAAACACCTCCATCAGAACAGCAGATACCATCATCATCATCATCGTCACGCTTCTGCTCTTTTCCAACCAAAGTTTGTGTGTTTGGGTGGTTATAAAACAGATATCAAGAAATGCTGGTGCTAAGACGGTGACAAGAGTGGATATTTGATGAATTTCACCATCATTTTGGTGTATATTAAATATCGACAGTTGAATTTTTTGACGATTGAAATGAAGTGAATTTTCTTTTTCAAATCTTTCCCAAATGATGTTTTCAGGGATCATACGGTCATAGAAAACTTGGAAAAGTCATGGAATTTTGACATGGCATTTTCCAGGCCGGGTAAAGTTTTGGAAAAACAGAAAAACCCACAAAGTTTTGGAAAAGTCATGGAAATTATGTTAAAGGTGCAGAAGGTGATTGTCTTCAGAAGCATTTTTTGTTGTGCTGGTTGAAAGTCTCTTCATAGTCTAATAGTAATGATTACAGTAAATTATTTAAATGTGTTTATATGTATTTTTATATTCTGGGTAAGGCATAAAAGTCGGGCCGACATCTCTTATAATCCCGATAAGTAGCCCAATCTGTCGCTCAGCTAATGCAGATTTGAACAACTGCGCAGCCGTTTGTACGCAGCTCCGCCAACCGCCGTGCGTTCACGAGAGAGAGAGAGAGCACACGCTCGCGATCTGTAAAAACATGCTGAATCAAAACTTTTTAAAAACCTGAATCAATATTGAAGTTACCTTTGTACACTGGAGAAAGGATGACACCATGTCTGAAGGATTTCTCTGAGACAGGTAATGTTCTGTTTTAAAACTGTTCTGTCTTCACGCAAAGCTGATGTAACGTTAGATGTTGTTGTTATAAATGGGTTATATCTTCACAGAAGTGTTGTTCAGACACTAAAATCTTCCAATGAAAGATTGATTAGACTATTTTCAGTTTCATAAGGGATCTTTTAAAGCATCGAAAATGTAGATTTTAATTAGTTTAACAACAAAACACAAGTATATACTGCTATTCCGCCTTGTCTCTCCCTATATTGTTTATCATGCAACTCTAATATTCACTCTGAAATCGCATGTCAGTTTGGCTTGCACGCCACCGCACAAGCACTAGTCGCTTTTAACACATGAGAGAGGGTTATTTTGCCGTGCTCGTGTTTCAGGAGGCGTGGCTCTAGACGGCAGGGGAGGGACTGTGATTCAGAGATTTACGCTAAGCTGTTAGCATTGTGGAAGATCCCCTACTGCACATTTAACAAATATCTGTATACTTGAATTAGGGCTGCACGATATTGGAACAATCCGACATTAACATATTTTGTGTTTCTGTGATGTATATTGCAATGTGAACACAATTAAGCGGCGCAGTAGGTAGTGCTGTCGCCTCACAGCAAGAAGGTTGCTGGTTCGAGCCACGCTCAGTTGGCGTTTCTGTGTGGAGTTTGCATGTTCTCCCTGCGTTCACATTGCACATCCTGCGATGTGACTATTGCGGACGCACACATTGATATCGATGCTGAAACTGTATATTGTACAGCCCTAACTTGAATATAGGTTAGTTGTCTTTACTTTTTTTCTGTCTGTCCTTGGCCAAAAACTTGCTCTGACATTGTTAGTGCTGTGTACGCATTATCAAAATCAATTTTACTTAGATCTAAAAACAAATTTAGACAAATTTAATTGTTGTGTGGTCTATGATATACTATAATACATTTAAACGTCATTGTTTTTCTTATTATTTACCATATATATGTAGACATTACATGACACATTACAGTATAATAATGAACTAGAAAGTTCTGGAAAAGTCATGCAATTTTAGTAGTAAAATTGTGTATGAACCCTGTGTTTTAACAGAATCAGGAATTTTTCACAGTATTTCCTATAATATATTTTCTTCTGGAGAAAGTCTTATTTGTTTTATTTAAACTTAAATAAACTTGCTTGAGTGCTCCCATTTTATTAGAAAAACTCAAATGAATAATTTACTTTAATAAGACCCATTTTAAAAGACCATTCATTGATTTCAAATCTCTTTTGGTAATGTGTAGCTGTAGTACAGATGTTTTACCTGAACCGCAGCAGATTTCTGATATGCCAGCAGCTTATAAATGCTCCAGTTGTTCTCAAAGCTCCTGCAAGCGTCAGCGTTTGATTAATTATAGACCTGCTTTTTTAACATTGCTGTGGTTCATTTCCATGATGTTGATTCTCACCTGCCACGTAACTGAATGGCCTCTTCGAAGCGCTTCTCATTCATGGCTCTCTGAACCTCTTTAGTCTGTAGATAAGAGACAGCAATTATTCTCTTTATAATAACAGATAATATTGGAGACATGAGGTTATCAAAGACATCTGTCAGGTTTGTGTCCTCAAACTGTTCCTGTGTGTAGCACTAGTTTCTTCCACATCTCCTCCAAAGCCTTCTGTGTCACGGTCGGTGAGAGGAAAAAGGAGCGAGGAACCAATTGCAGAGTGAAGGAATATTTATTCTTAATAAAATAAAATAATAGGCAAAAATAAACAACCCAGAGGGGGAAAAACACTAATAAAACAAATAAACAATCAAGCCAAACTAGGATGGAAAGCTGGCGGGGATCAGGACTGGAACAAGATGACAGACAACAAGCCAAGGTTACATACGGTGATGAACTGGCACAGAACAGCAGATATGAGGGAATTATAAACTGTAGTAAATTAACACACAAACAGATGAACATAATTAACTAATAATGGGTTAACAAGGAGGGTGGGACTAGACAATAGACGGGAGAGCACATGACACAGAGAGACGACACAAGCCATGCGCTCACATTAGACAAGACTAGAACACGCAGCTAATGAGAGAACTCATTAACTACGCGTTCACAATACAACAGGACAAGAACATGCAGCCAATGAGAGAACTCATTGACCGCATGTTCATGACAACACAGAAGCACACAACAAAAGCACGTGACTACCATGTAAACACAGAGCCACGTGCTTTGACAGATGCAAGACACGAGCACATAATAGATACCTTACCGTGCGCTCACACATATGCAACGCGCATGATTCATCTCAGCGTCAACCAAAACCGAAAGCAAGTAGACGAAGACGCTGGGAATGAAGCAGCGCAATGCTGACAGAACAAACAAACACTAGTACAAGAGTGCGCGCAGCTGCATCAAGCGGGAGCGCGCATGCTCTGCGCATACCCATAATGGCACGGGCGCACACAGAGACACACACAATGACAGAAACAGAACAAGACAGGGTCAGTGTTCGGATTCTGCCACCAAAACAAGAATTCACAAGACCAGAGTGGCAGAACCCTGACATTCTGTTGTGTTTTGATGTGATTTTTGATTGTGGTAGCTGTAAAATAAATCATTCAGCGTAGTGATATGGAGCTGTAATGCACTCAAAACCTGCCGGAACTACTTTATCTGAAAATAGCAGAATGCTCATCAGCCAATCATAAACAAGCATTAGTATAAACCCAATAGGATAAAATGTATTTTAAAGACCAGAATTTGGTAAACTAAACTAAAATAAAAGTAGATAAAAGTAAAACTAAAAAAAGAAATAAATAATGACAATAAAAAGTAAAAAAAATTAATAATAATATAAGAAAACATCAAATATTAAATTAAATAAAGTAAAATAATTTAATAAAATTATAATGTTCAAGCAAAAATAATAAAATAGAACTGAAAATTTAAAAAAAAAAACTAAAGTAAATTAATAAAATAAAATAGAAGATTTAAGAGAAATAATAAAATAAAATTTATATTAATGATAATAACAAAATAGCAAAGTAAAAAAAGGAAAATAATAATATAATATATTAAATTAAAATCAAATCAAATAAAAACTAAACAAAATATTAAAATAAAATAATCAAATAAATTAAAATGTATATATAAATATAATATATAATATAAAATAAAAGTAAAATAAAACTATATAAATAAAGTCCCCACCATCTCCACCGCCTCCACGAGCGGCAGCCGCACAGCCTGGTTTCCCGACAGGCCGATCACACATGCAGGAGTGTCTGGAGTTGCTTCCAGCAGAGCCACAACGGCCTCCACACCCAGCTTACTGCTCTACAGCACACACAAACACACACAGTCAACATCAGCAGCACCACTGATCTGCAGTCAGCTGAGAGTTGCTCTGCTCACCAGCACTCTGTCGAAGGCAGACGGTGTGCCACCGCGCTGCACGTGACCCAGAACAGTGACCCGCGTGTCGTAACCCAGCCGCGACACAACCAGCTGCACACAAACACACAACATTTACATTTTTACCACAGCTGAACAAATCCTTTTAAAATTGGTAAGTGACATTCTGAGTCGATCTCGCTCTTTGTATGTTGTATTGCTGTATTTATACCACAGTAATTGTAGCGTGTTGAGTGTGAGATGGGACTCAGATATCAGGATTGTATATATTTTGGCCACTCTTTGTATAACTTGAGTTACTTTTTGATTGGCCATCTATTTGTTTTAAATGAGTCTCCTGTTTTCGGTCCTGCAGACTAATTCAGTAAACTAAAAGAAAGAAGAAATGCCAGCATGTGTTAAACATTTTTGCTTAACGCAAACACAACAGTACTCTGGTAGTGTTTTCTTTAGCTTTTCAGGGTTAATTATTGTAAAATCCCAATTGCAACAGGGAAATACTAGGAAATGTATGTAGTCTGATGGCATTTCATGCTGTTCAGCCTTATAATCTTAAAGTGTAAGCAAAATCAGCTGTTTTGTCATCACTTTATACATTACGCAAGAGAATCATTCAAACACTAGCTCTAAATTGACGTTGGTGAATTAGCAACGGCTTCTGCTGTTCTGACATCAGCTGCAGATGTGAAAGAACGGTGGAAGAAAGTAGTTCCTCCTTCAAAAGGGGTTTTTAGACTGTCCGTGTTTGATTTTCTTTTTTTATATATATATACACGATTGTGCTGTCAACCTGTTGTATAAATGTAATATCACACTCGCAGCAGTACTCGCAGCTGTAACTGTGCGTTCACACCAAATGCAGTACAGCATCAAAGGTTGCTCTGGCCGCCCTGGCAACAACGCTGTCTGCCTTCAGCTTCGGCAGCGAGTGCGTCAAAATTCGCTATATTGATCTCGTATTTAAAGGTGCCGTTGCAGCATATCAGTTACATTCCTGCATAAAACATGCTTTCTAGCGTGAAAATGTTGCATATTTTTTATCAAATTCATTTAACTATGGTTTGGTGTGGCTTTGCTCCACTTAATTATCCAGTGTATCATCCATATGTCTGAAATATTCTGAAGCAGCAACACTGTTTTCTATTATCGCATGAGATAATTTTAAAGAAAATAAATATATATACATATATAACATTAATGCACATCAGTAACTCGCCAATAACATTTCTAATGTATGTTCCTGTAAGAAAACATTGTAAATAATTGGAAATCCAGCGACCACAATAATTAAACCCTTGGAAACAACTGTGGTCGGAACCAAAGTTCACAGGACTGTGTTTTCTGGACCCCTCTAAAGCGGTGGACTTCTACATACTGATTGCCTGCAGCTAAACTATATTATAGCTCATTTCCATAAAGTTGACTTGATTTCAACTCTCATTGACACCCACACTGACACTCACCACTTACTCACTACTTTGACGCTCTGGTTGTTTTCGTACAGTAAGGCAACGCATACAAATGCCTCCCACCAGTGCCGATATACAGCCATATCGCACTGCTACTCGTGTGATATTGCTTATATATATAGACATATATTCCCTTGTGTGATATTGCTTATATATAGACATATACCCCCCCGCTTTAGGGGGCTAATAATATTGAGCTTAAAATGGGTTTAAGAAAATTAAAACTGCTTTTATTGTAGCCGAAATAAAACAAATATTATTCTTTCTCCGGAAGAAAAAATATTATAGGAAATACTGTCAAAAATTCCTCAAATATATGAATAAACAAAAATAAATAAACAAATAAATCACCGGTGGCTGAATGATTTTGACTTCAACTGTGTGTGTGTTATAATATTTTATCTTCTGGAGGAAAAAAACAAACATTTTACTATAAAATGAATACATTACTATAACTTAAACTAAAGTTTAAACACATACTGATCAGATCTTAGAAAAACCAAGATTAAAAAGTAAAATAGCTGTCAAAATGAAGGCAGGAGTGTGTGTGTGTGTGTTGAGGAGTGAATGAGTGTGTGTTGAGGACTAACGTCTTTGATATAGTTGGAGGTTATGGCTTCTCCACTTCTGCTTATGGCTCCTTCAGCAATGATGATGATGTTCAGTCTGCATCCTTTACTGCGGCTCTGAACAAACACACACACACACACACACACAGCGCTTTATGAGTGTCACAGGCCCGCTGCTCTCTTAAGCCCACATTTATATTTTGAAATGTTAAAAATGTACATTTATTTTTACATGTTTTTTTTGTTTCTCTTGATTCCTCCTCTGTTTAAAAAACTTTGATGTTTAACAGAATAAAGAAACCTTTGAAACCACTAGGGGGTGAGTGAACTATGTCTTTAGATCCAGTTTGGATCTAGTCTGACCTCTTCCAGGCGAGCACACATGAGCTCTTCCCATCCGTCCTCAGGAGGGGCTTCTGGGATAAACAGCCAATCAGCTCCAGAGGCCAGAGCTGAAACCAGTGCCAGATACCTGCACAACAACAACACCATTCCACTCTCAAATCACATATAGTCACGACTGCACATAACCTTTAATTTCAATGTTAATAATAATAATAATAGTAATTCAATTCATCTTTATTTCTATAGCTATTTTACAATGTAGATTGTGTCAAAGCAGCTTCACATAGAAGATTTGGTAAATTGAAATTGAAACTGTATCTGTAGTCCAGTTTTTTTTATTTTTAGTAATAATAACGATAAATTAATATCGAATAAACCACACTATAGCATGACAAAAATATTGAAAATCTCAAGTGACATCGTTGCCAAACATTCTGGGTGGTTGTTTAAAATGATTTCAATTATTAAGACCCTTCATTAATTTCCATTAATTGCATTCAACGCATAATACATTTACTTCGATGAAAAACACACAGATACATTATTTAATTTTTTAATTAGATACGTACTGTTAGACATGAAACATAAACACAAACGTAAATAATATTTATAAATGTTTTGTCAGAAGTATTGAAAAGACATGTAATCATTAGGGGTGTCAAAATGAATGAAAACACTTGTTGCAGCAACACTGAAATATCTCAGCTGCTAAGGGATTCTGGGTAGTTTGTAAGGCAGACGCAGATGATAACATTATAATATAAGTGTGTTTGTGATCTTGCGTGTGTGTTTCTCACCCGCAGTGACGGCCCATCACCTCCAGCACGAATGTGCGCTGATGGCTGAAACAGAAAATACAAAACGAAAACAAAATAAGCAGAAAATCTGGTGCAAACACACATGCTAAAAATAGTGTGTGGAAACATTCCCTTAGAGTGTGTGAAAAGGCAGGAAGAGAAGAGAGACAAGCTGAGACTAGAGTCACACACACACACACACACACACACACACACACACACACACACACACACTGCATTCCTCAACACATGAAGCACAGTCAAATCTGCTTTGGATAAGAGCGTCTGCTAAATGACTGCATGTTCATGTAAATATTATGAAAGCTGCAGAAAATCACAGCCTTGTGGTCCCACATAGAATCTGTGCATGCAAGAATCTGCAGATTTTTGAGGCCATTGCTTAATCTATTTTTTTAAAGTGTATATTAGGGATGCACCGAATATTCAACAACCGAAATTATAAGTAAGAATAAGTAAAAAGGCTGAATAAATTTTGCCGAACAATGACGTTTTTAATGACGTGATCAAATAGTAACCCGCGTAGAGTGAGAGGTAAAGTGTCTTTTAAACAAAGACGCTGAAACAGACCACGGAGTGAAAACAGCTAAAAGTGCGCTCTTAGAAGCTGTCAGCGCACGATTTAGTCAGGCGGACTCAGAACCCCTGTACTGCATCGCGACTGTGCTTGATCCACAATATAAAGATCATCACTTGGATATGGGGAAAAAGCTGCGCACACGAGAAATGATCCAGGCCGAGTTGGACTTAGGAAAGCCGCTAGGTGTTGAAGACGGTCAGGTGATGCACAGCGCAGGAGATGAAAACAGCGCCGAGAGTAAACGGGCTCGTACTACAGATGAGCCGCGCACCGACCGCCGACAGCGAGAGACTGTTTAGTGCTGCATCTCATGTCATCGATGAGAAGAGGAACCGACTTTCATGTGAGACAGCAGAGAAGCTACTTTTTATAAAGAAGAACCTGCCACTTTTCCTGGAGAAGTAGGCTAAGTAGGCTAATGTCTAGGACAGTTATTCATTTGTTGTCATCCACATTTTTTGCACTATTCAATGCACGTTTGTTGTTGTAGAGCAGGGTTTTTCAAAGTCTAAGACAGTTGGCCTCCCTTTTGACACAACTTATCCATTGGCGCCCCCCTCCTCCCAAACACGCACGCACGCACACACATACACACACACACACACACACACACACATACATACATACATATATATACATATACAGTATATATAAATATATACATATACAGTATATATAAAGACACAGACAGATGTCAGACTGTTAACTCACTTTTATCATCATTTGCATGAAAGTGCATTTATTTACAGAGTAATAACAAGTATTTTAATATAACGTTTTTAAACTAGGATGATGGTTCAATATAGAACAGATCCAAGAACTGTCCATCCCAATCAAAACAGTCGAAGTTTAGCGGGTCTCATGCTGTCATTAGCCAAAATATTTTGACAAACCACACATAAAGGTCGTGGTTCATCAGCTGGTCCTGTCCACGTAAATCCTAAACTCAAATACTGATCATCATATCGTCGTCTTTTGGGTTTAAACCCTGAACTTGAAGGCTTTTGTAGCGAGGGGGCGTGGCCGAGAGCCGTGGGAACGGAGTGAGGCCACCGCGTAAGTGGATACACCTGCGGTGCGCACCTGCCTCGGATTCCACGGAAGGAGCTCTGGATCATAAAAGGAGGAACGAGGACAGAGGAAGCCGAGAGAGGACCGGGCCGGACATATTTTACTTTTGCTTTCAGTTTGACGGCAGTCTCCGCGAGGAGCTGCCGTCCGTTTGTCCTGGTTTCTGCCGTCACTGTTATTAATAAATCATTTTAAAACTGCGTCGGTTCTCCGCCTCCTTCTTCCAGGCAGCCAAAGGGCCGTGAACTTCATTACAACTTTGAATCGGGGGGGTCTCAGAAACCGACCCATTGTATTAGCAGGCATATACCTGTATTGGCAGGCTTGCCAAACAGAAGCGAATTCACAGCTACGGCCTTCTGGGTAAAAAAGGTTTTCTTATATTTGACGTATTATTTTTTTTGCTTTGTTTAATTAAAACTTTTAAATATAATAAAAAATACATATAATAATTAAACTTAATAATTATATTTTTATTATATTATATTTTTTCCCGCGCCTCCCCTGACATGCTCTGGCGCCCCCCAGGGGAGGCGCGCCTCACACTTTGAAAACCCCTGTTGTAGACATACAGTTACATTCTTTCAGCAGTCAGTTATAGGCCTAACATAGGCTATTCAAGAAGGGGGGCTTCAAAGATGGTCAAATAAAAATATTTTTTATTTTACTAATTTATTTATTTTAAGTTATATTGTGCCTTGTTTGTATATTATCTGCTGGAATGTAAAAAAATGTTCAGTGTTAAATAAATATTTTTGAAATTGTATTTTTGTTATTTGATTTATTTCTCTGAAAAGCAACACAAAATAGTAAAAAGCAAATTTTTACTATTTAATTATTGTAATGGTGAAAAAATTGGCAAACTAAAAGGAAAAAAATGCAAAACACCGTGTTCGGTATTCGGCCAAGCAATTCATTATTATTCGGCTTCGGCCAAGAATTTCATTTCGGTGCATCCCTAGTGTATATGGTTTATGTACAATACAGTTTGTAAATGCATGCATGAACTAAATTTGAGAGTGTATGGGTGTTTCCCAGGACTGGGTTACAGCTGGAAGGGCAACCACTGTGTAAAACATATGCTGGATAAGCTGGCTGGTGGTAAGTAAGACTTTCACAAGGATTCTGTCTAAAAATAATTAATGAAATAATTTATATAATTTATAATAATTTATAATAATTCTGACTTATAATTTTGTCTTTAACCGTTTTCCCCCTTCATTATCTTCAACACAAATAAAGACCTTTCTAATCAGTGCTTCTGTCTACAGGGAATGCAGACCTGAACTTTGCAAACACTTGACATGACGTGTGGAGTGTAGTTTGAAGTGTTTGGATGAATGTTGAATGTTCTGCAGACCTGGTTGCAGTGGTGGTGATGGCATCGATGATCTCAGTGATGCGGTTGAGAGCAGAATCAGCACCGATCGTCATGTCTGTGCCACAGAAATCATTATCAATGGAGCCCACCAGACCCACGATGTTCAGGTGCCCGTGCTTCTGCGCAGTCTCTGCTGTGATACGACCTGCCAACAAACACACACACACACACACACATACATGTTTGTTCTTGTGAAAAGTGAGTACATTACATAGGTTTCCTTTCATTTTATACTGTCCAAACTGTATGTTGTATTGCCCTCACATCACCCCAGCCCACCCCTATACCCAACCATCACAGGAGACTGTGTGCAGCTTAATTCTCTGATTAAACTAATTTTGTGTGATTTATAAGCATTTTGAGAAGTGTGGACGTCACCGATGTCCTCATATATCACCTCCTTTTTGTAATACCTGTGTCACACCTACATCATTATACAGATTTGTGTCCTGATATGTCACTAAAACACGTACACACACGCACACACACACACACACACATGCACACGCACACACATCTTGTATAAATGAGCTGGGTGTTCATGACAGATGTACAGTTCAGCAGACGTCATAGTTCAAATGAAACAGCAGAATTGGCTGATATTTCTGCTATTCAGTTTTAAAGCAGTAAAGGTGATGCTGTTATTGTTTGTAAATTGAAATTTAATTAAATAAAAAAAAAAAAATACAATAAAATTTAACTATTGCTCTCAAATGATTAATCATGAGTAATCGCACCCAAAATAAGTTTGTACTTACAATACATGTGTGTACTTACTGTGCATAATATAAATATTATATACTTAAATAAATACATGTATGTATATATATATATATATATATATATATATATATATATATATATATATATATATATATACATACACACATTGTTATTTTATTATTATTAGCCCACCTGTTTATTTTTTCCCAATTTCTGTTTAACGGAGAGCAGATTTTTTCAACACATTTCTAATCATAATAGTTTTAATAACTCATCTCTAATAACTTATTTATTTTATCTTTACCATGATTACAGTAAATAATATTTGACTAGATATTTTTCAGGACACTTCTATACAGCTTAAAGGGACATTTAAAGGCTGAACTGGGTTAATTAGGTTAACTAGGCAGGTTAGGGTATTTAGGCAAGTTATTGTATAATGATGGTTTGTTCTGTAGACATTCGAAAAAAAAATACCTTAAAGGAGCTAATCATTTTGACCTTAAAATGTTTTTTTTTAATTAAAAACTTATTTTATTTTAGCCGAAATAAAACAAATAAGACTTTTTCTAGAAGAAAAAATATTATCCGACAAACTGTCAACATTTCCTTGCTCTGTTGAACATCATTTGGGAAATATTATAAAAAGAAAAAAAAAATTCAAAGGAGGCTAATAATTCTGAATTCAACTCACTGTATATGTAATTAGTAGTATCCTGTAACTAAACTACAGATTCACAATGTAAAGATTCACGCAGTGCTTGAGTCAGAGACTCACCCTGAATGGACTTTGATACGGCCTTCATAAACATTTATGAGACTCTAATCCTGAGGAGATTTTACCACTACATCAACATCCCAAGCTCGAGTCAGCATTTACCAATCCATTTGAACTCATTCATTTTGGAGGCGATCATGATCATTTTTGGACAAGAAAAAAAGAAGTGTGCTGCGCTTTTTATGTTGCTAGGCAACCACTAAATCAGCTGTGTAATGTGTGGGAGCACTGCTGTTAATTTTGTTATATTTATTGTAATCGTAATTTAAGATGATTTATCAGGGGTCATTTATTAAACATTTATTTTCATAATGAATACATCATTACATGAGGACAGAAATGACATTTCTGAGTGAAATTATACATTATAAATACAGTATGTGACACATTTGAAGGTGTCAATGTTGCTGTGCAGACTTGTGCGACTGCCTTGCTTCTCTCCTGACCTTGAAAATATAATTGGCTGAATCGTGGAAAAGCTGAATGAAAATCGAGTGTGAGGTCGAAACGAGATTGTGATCTTTTTTCGATTAATCGTGCAGCCCTATTCACGCAAGTTCGTTATTTCCAGTGGCGGTGCACAGCGTTTCTCCTGGCGCCACGTCGTAACGAAACAAACAAGGCTTTTATACTTGACGCCTTCGCACAGGCTTGACGCACTCCCGTTTTTTTAGACGCATGCGGTTAAATGAATGCCACATGCGCACCGCAAGTCGCGTGACAAGAACTGACCGATTAGCTTCAGCTTGTATGGAATATGCAAATTTTGGTAGACTATTTATCTCAGACAAACACAGAACACCCAATCACTGCAGTACTTTGTAATGTTTCTCTATAAATAAAACTTGTATAATAGTGACAGCAATGTTGATGGTCACCTAGCGGGTCCACGGTGATTAAAAAGTTAAGGACCACTGCGTTATTTTGCTACTTATTTGAAAAGGTAATCTGATTACAAAACTCTCAACCCGGGCTCATTGTGGAAACGTAGACTCACGGAGGTTTCTGGAGACTGCGGAATACATCCCGGCGGGTACGTACGGCTGCAGTTTTTGTTTTCGCGAATCCGCAAGAGGCTGCTGTTGTGCACTTTTTCGCGTCTCAGACGCCTCTCGCGAGTGAGGTTCGCGCCCGTGCTGTTCTCACGTGAACCTGCCGGAGGCTGCTGTCCGAATGGCCGGATGATTGACTGCGCGACCGGCCAATCAGCCGACCCGCCCTCCTCCTTTCCTGAACCCAACCAATCTTACAGATCAGCCCGCCCGCCCGCTCGCTTCCCTAAACCCGAGCGACAGTTTACAAAAGCCGTCCAAAAAAAGAAAAGCCCTGATTTTTTTTTTCTACCGCGTTTTCGGATTTCACCGTGTTCTCACCCTGTTATGAAACTCGTTCACTTAATTTTTGGGATTCTGTTTTTACCTGATTGCTGGAACTGCTCTTCCCCGGACTCGAAACCGGTAGCCGTGGTCGACTCCTCTCTGCATCTCGAGCCTGCCGACGTACACGATGAGCTGAGTGGACAAACGGGTTGCAGCGGGGAAGCCCTCCACAAGGAGGTAAGCGGTCGGCCGGCAAGCGCGAAAGGGAACGGCGTCACACCGCCCCACAGCGTTCGCTTGAAAAAAAGAAATGCGGCTGTACGTACCTCCCGGGACTTATTCTGCTGTCTCCAGAAACGTCCGCGGGACTACGCTTTCAGAATGAGCTTGGGTTGAAAACTCTGGTTCCCCTTTGGGGGAAACTCCAGCACTATAAGTGGATTTGATGTTCTAAATCCACGTTTGGGAGATTCGGTTCAGAAGCTACTTGTCTAAAGAGTATTGAACGGGCCAATTAAGAATGAATTGGCAGCGCAAGCATGCGCAGGTGTGCGGCATATGCAATCAACTGAGTATATAAGCACACCTGGCGCCAGCAGACGCTATCCTTTTTAGCTTCAGAGACTTTTCTGATCGAGCTTCATGAGGGTTCCTCCTGCTGTCTACAGCCACTTCGAGCGAACGAGTGTCTCCCGGTCCAGAGCGAGTCCACGCAGCGGCAGGTGGTCGAGCTGGGTTTCTCCCTTGCCTGGCGTCACTTTGGGTCCGGTCTGCCAGAGCGGTGCGTATTGTTGCAAAGCATCCTAAAAGAGCAACACAGTCGTGCAGCACGTCCTTTTCAGGATGGCGCTCCGACTGTGCGTTTCTGGTTGTGGGGGTTTCCTGGCTCTGGATGATGGACACGATCACTGCATTACATGTTTGGGGGTCCAGCATGTTAATGTGGTGCTCGGGGGCGGTTCATGTCGTCACTACGATGCCATGACCGTCGCGCAGTTGAGATCGCGGCTAACTTTCGTGAGAGAGCGAGCCACCCCAGTCGCCTCCTGTTCTGCAGCGGGCGCTCGGGCAGATCTGAGGGTTCCAGCGAGAGATAATCTGCCGCCTAAGGGCTCGCGGACCTCTCGCTTCTCCAAGCGCTCCATCCAAGTTTCGGGCGCTGGGAGTGATCCGTCTAATCAGATGGTAGCTCTCACGCTCGCTGACACCGGAGATCAGATGTCCTCCGCGGCATCGGAGGGTGGGCTTTCATTGTCCGACGATGATACGGACCCACTCGCCCCCTTCGGGCAGGTGAGCGCTGTCAAAACGGATACTGAAACAGACGTGTTAGCCGTGCTTTCCCGGGCTGCTTCGGCCGTGGGTTGGAGATGGTTTATCCCCCAGCTCCGCGGCCGGACCGACTAGAGGGGCGTTCCCTTCTTTCCGGCGACGCACAATAGGCTCACGCGGTCTTAAAGAGCACCTTTTTTCTTTTCTGTTGGTCGCGTTGGCATCCATCAAGAGGGTCGGGGATCTGGAGGCATTTTCGGTCAGTGACTTGTACCTGGAATTCGGGCCGGGATTTTCTCACGTTATTCTGAGACCCCACCCGGGTTATTAGCCCAAAGTTCCTACCACTCCCTTTAGAGATCAGGTAGTAACTCTGCAAGCGCTGCCCCCGGAGGAGGCAGACCCAGCCCTGTCTTTACTTTGTCCAGTTCGCGCTCTGCGCATTTATGTGGACCGGACTCAGAACTTTAGATCTTCTGAGCAGCTCTTTGTCTGTTATGGCGGACGGCAGCAGGGAAGTGCCGTGTCTAAACAACGTTTATCCCACTGGATTGTGGAGGCCATTTCATGTGCTTTTTCGAGCAGAGGTCAGCCGCGCCCCCCGGGAGTGCATGCGCACTCCACTAGGAGCGTTGCATCCTCTTGGGCGTGTGCGCGCGGCGCTTCTTTAACAGACATTTGTAGAGCTGCGGGCTGGGCGACACCCAACACATTCGCAAGGTTTTATAATCTGCGAGTGGAGCCGGTTTCCTCAAGGGTGTTAGGTACCTTTGGTGATTGAGGACACAACTCGGTAGGTGTTGTACACGCTTGCGGTGCCTTTTTTCCCTAACACGGAGAGATGTGCACCCTCCTGTCTGTCAGTAAGTTCCCCATTCGGTGAGCCCTGCAGATTCCTCCGAGGCCCCCAGCACTGACTCAGCGGAGGAGTCACTTGCTGGCCCATTACGTTGTAGGTCTGCTCGCTGGTCAGCCCGCGTTTTGGGTATAGGTGCCTGCTATGGCCGATCCCCGCTGGTGATCCCCATATGCTTTCCGCCACGGTTAAGTCCCCCCCCCCTGGGCGGACCCGTGCTTTCCCTATCTGCTAACCACCTTCTTATGCGCACTCCCCCTTTAGGGTTAGTCAATATGTAATTCCATTTGTTCCCCCTATTGGGTGCGGATGGTCTCCGCAGCGTCCTCCCTACTGGGATGGCACGCTTCCCAATGTACTGTCGTATATTCCTAGAATTATCTAGACGCTAGCGACTCCCAAAAAATATACCTATCCCGTAAAGCTTCTTTTGAAGTGGGACAAGTTAGGGCCAAGGGCACGTTGGAGGACCGCGCCTCTCATGATCTGGGTGCGTCACGCTTGCCTGACCGCTCTCTCATGGTGGGTGTTGGTAAGGTGCAGTCATTATGGCGCTTTCAATGGGCTCCCATACGTGGATTTAGAACATCAAATCCACTTATAGTGCTGGAGTTCCCCCCGAAGGGGAACGTTCAAGGTTACTAAAGTAACCCTTCGTTCCCCGAGGAGGAACATATACTCCGTCGCCATAATGACTGTCCCTTAGCTGTTAAAAGTCTCTTCAGCTTAAAAAGGATAGCGTCTGCTGGCGCCAGGTGTGCTTATATACTCAGTTGATTGCATATGCCGCACACCTGCGCAGGCTTGCGCTGCCAATTCATTCTTAATTGGCCCGTTCAATACTCTTTCAGACGAGTAACTTCTGAACCGAATCTCCCATACGTGGATTTAGAACATCAAATCCACTTGCTGGAGTTCCTCTCCTCGGGGAACGAAGGGTTACTTTAGTAACCTTGAACGTTACTTGTAATGCATTTGAACAATTCTATGCAAATGTCAACCTTGCCATGGAAAAAAATTACGTTTCGATTAAAATTGCTAAACCCTTTCTTAGTTGTTTGTGTAAGCTTGTGCTTTAAAGTACTGCAAAAATACTCAAAACTGTCTCTGTCAATGTCTTCAAACTATTATATGTGATTTAGCAAAGTCACACAAGTGGCAATTTCATATCTGTCACATCCATAACGGAGAGAGGTCACATCCATAACCAGGCTTTTTCCTCATAAATCCAAAAATGTGAAATAAAATAAAATCAATCGTTTTTGTTCTATAGAGAGCAACTCTTAACCTTTTATTGGACATTATTTCTTTTGGGTTGTGCAGTTTAATTCACAGACTTTCTTCAAAGTATGTTGTATACTGTAAACTTGCATACTTTGTTGGTCACATCCATAACACATGTTAATTTCACTTAAAAATCTAAAAAATGTTTACAGCTTGATATTTTTCTGATCTCATAACTCTGTGGTGAGAAGTTTTGGAAAATATAAGCAGATGTTTCAATATAATGTTAACATATAGGGCCCTATCATACACCCGGCGCAATGTGGTGCAAGGCGCAACGCAATTGCTACTTTCAGCTTGGCACAAGGGTCATTTTGAGGTGTTGCACCACACTGTTTAAATAGCAAATGCATTTGCGCTGATATGTGCACCCATAGGCGTTCTGGTCTAAAAAAGCAGGCGTGTTTTGGCGCGTTGCTATTTTGAGAAACTGTAAATAGTCTGTTCTTTAGACCAGAACAAAGTCGGTCTATTGTCTGGCACAAAGTGCGCCTGGCTTACACACTACACACAAGATGCAGAGCGATATGCAAATATCTTTACATATGAAAAATATACAACATCTTAAGGATATATATAGGATATAATAAGGATATATATAGGATATAAATATAAATGATTAAAATATTACAAAACATTATTTTCTAGCCTACATGAAGATTTCAAAACCACTGCCTTACTTTCTTTATCTCGGGAGGCTTTTTCAGTTCATTCAATTTGCTTTTGTATAATTTTATTATTATTAGCAGTATTATTTATTATATCCATATTTATATTTGTTTTATTAAAAACAAGCTTAGATTTGTTCACGTCAGGTTTTAGACCATATGGGGCACGGCATGTGTTTTAGGATATAACTCTTCGTTATATACACTTGGTTATTATTGTTCATTTATTCGTTTGCTGGAAATTAGAACTTAGATTTTAGAATTTAGAAATAGTTTTGAAACAAATCCTTGCGCTTAACAAACGAAATTATTTATTTTTAGGCTAATTGATGTCTGTGCGGTAAGGTTTCCCTATCCACGAGAGCAAAAGCGAAAGTGAACTTACTTTACGTCATGTCAATAGCAAATGTGCTTATGGCGCGACACAACTGGCTCTTAAAGGGAATGGGAGACGAGACTCTGATTGGTTTATTCTCAAAACACACCAATAACTCATTAAGAAAATAAACTCAACCCTTTTAGACCAAAGCGGATTTTCCTGTCCTTATATTGGAAAATATGGATAATGACATGCCCTGAATGTGTTTGCGCCCTGCGCTTTCCGTTTTGCGCATGGACCGTCAAAATAGAGCCTATACTGTTTGTGTGAATTTATACGAGTTATTACTGCAATGTCACATCCATAACGCTGGAATTGCTCTCTTCCAACACTGCATTATTTTCTCCAGATGCGTGCAGTACCTTTCTGGACGAGCTCTTCCAGGAGTCCGCTCCACTCGGCCCTGAAGATGTTTGCTCCGGTGAGGCTGCCGTCTCCTCCACACACACACAGGTTAGAGATGCCACGCTTCACCAGGTTAAATGCTGCCGCTAACCGGCCCTCACGCATGGTGAATGCTTTACAGCGGGCACTGCCAATCACTGTTCCTCCCTGCAGACCACAACACCGGTGAGACCAGCAGAACAAGCACACGCACACAGAGCAATGATAAAGCTACACTTACAGATGCTAAATCTGAACATCAGACGCTGGGCATCATACAGCACAGGCATTTACTGCAATGCTCAACACAGGCAAATGCGCAAACATATGCAGACTGTAGCATGCATAAATAAAAGCAGAAATGTAAAAATAATGAAATCAACTAAAGTTAAGTAAATTATATATAGCAAAAGATTCAAAGTAAATCGGCACACTGCCACTTTAGCTCTCCAAAAAAATTTTTTATGTCAAAAGCCCCTTTCACACATACAGTGCTTTCCGGAATTACCGGCAATTTTCCGGAAAGGTTGTATGTGTGAACAGGTCCTTTTTGAAAATACCGGTAAATTCGTTCTGGCTATTTTCCGGAAAGAGAAGTTGTAACATTACCGGCAATTTACCGGAATGCTGCGCTGTGTGAATGCAGAAGGAAGATTACCGTAATAAGCGCGTGCACGTCTAAAACGTGCTGACGTGAGACATCTGCTTTAGCCAATCACAACAGTCAGACGCGTTTACGTCCGCGCGGTTTATGAGAATAAAAGCCTTTGAATATTTTTCCAGACACATTTAGCTGCTAGAAGTTAGTCAGATCACGTTTATATGTTCTTCTAAATGCCAACTGTGTAAATAATCATCGATGAGATGCTTATGATAAGCCGTTGTTTGTTTACCTTCAAGCTTTGCGTGCGCCTTTGAAACAGCCTGTGAGTGCCAGCACACACACATATTATGAACATCTCGACATGCGAAAGTGATCCTGCGAAAGTTGTTCACAATATTGATCATCCACAGAGTTTGTAATTTAGTCAAATGTTTACAAACACAAGCGCAGCCGTTTAAGGCTCATTTGTGGTGAATGATGTCAGAATTTACCGGTATTTTGGAATGGATGTGTGAATGCTCTTTTCCGGAAAATTTCCATAACGTCCTCGCCTGTGTGAACAGCGCTTTTTTTTAATTTACCGGTAAAGTCGTTCCGGAAATTTTCCGGATATTTACCGGTATCACTGTGTGAAAGGGGCTAATATCACAATATTATTGTGATATTGACATTAAAAAATTTTTTTTGAGAGCTAAAGTGGCAGTGTGCCGATTTACTTTGAATCTTTTGCTACTAATGTTTGTTTTTTGATCGTGCACCTGCCTTCAAGATTTTCTAGATGTGCGCACATTTCTGTTTTTTGCAAGTAAATAATACATAACAAGGTTTATATAATTGGTAAGTATACCAACAAGGTAATTGTTTTGTGTGTGTTAAAACCAGCTAAATCCACATCTGCTTTTTTTGCAAAAACCTCTAAATCCACCTATTGAGACAAGACAGTGTAACTAGTTGAAAATCACAATTAGAAGATGCAATTAGAAATTATTTTACCAAACATAAAACACATTACACAGACCACCTAAAATATACAAGTCTGTCAAGTAAGTGGTGGTTCATTCCACTGTGATAAACCAGGGAAAATGAATGAATGAATTCTGTCAAGTGCATTAATCAATAACATTAAAACTGACAATAATTAAATCTGAACAATCTGTTGTCATTTCTGATATTTGTGATTTAGATCAGTGGTTCTCAAACTGTGGTACATGTACCACTAGTGGTACGGTGGCTTCCTTCTAGTGGTGCACAGAGGAATCGCTGAATAACTAAAGTAAAAAAAATGAACACACTTTTAACCCTTTGACGAGCACGATAACAACAATGTGATCACTAAATTGATTTTAATAGACTAAACCTTTTATTTTATTTTCAAATTTCTAATATTTGGTATGTATTCTATCATTTGAAGCAAATTTCCTTCACATTTTTGGGCATATCCTGTATTTTTATTTCCCAATGTTGACAGGTATAATCCCTTGCTTTTCTGACACAGCCTACTCTAACCTGCAGTAAGCAGCTCTACTTTCTAATTTAAATATGTAAATCCAATTCATAAATTTAAAATACAAGGTCATTTTTTGATTTTAAAGGTACTTGTATAAATAAGTCATGCATGCATCATATATATTATATATAGTATCATATATATTATATGATGACATATAGCCTATATTTATTAGGTCCAAGAAACATTTGTAGGTTTTAAAGAATAGGCTACTTTATGATAATACTTTAGATTTAACCACAGCAGTTTTCTTCTTACTTTTTAAGAACAGTGCCATCTTTGATTAACTTTTAAAAGCACATTTTAATTTAAACGTTGATGTTTAATTGATTTTTACCTGTGAGCACAGTACAGTGTTAATGTTCAAACTATTTTTAATGTTTAAAGTGGCTGACAATAATAACTATTTATAATAAGAAGAAATAATCTGTAATTACACCTACTACGCTTATGTATTTCAATACCAGTCATTATGGTGGTACTTTTGAGAGACAATGTTTTTCTGAAGTGGTACTTGGTGAAAAAAGTTTGAGAACCACTGATTTAGATTTAATGTAAGTAGAGCAATGTAAAGATTGTAAACTAAGCTTGTTAGATTCAAATAATGCAGTGTAAAACATTGTGAAACATCAATATTTGTGCATTGCCCATTAATATAAAACGCTTATCAGATGTATTATGAAGTAATATAAATAATGTATAGTTTTATAAATCATATTTATCTTTTATAAAATAGCTTAAATTAGTATATAAAACACAAGGTAGGCTATTGGGCAAAAAGGGGATGCCTCTGAGACAATTTTAGAAGCTGTCGTTCATTCATTCTCACCATACTCAAGGAATTGGTCTCTTGTTTATCCTCATAGCATCCACGTGGGATAAAAGAACGGCATCTTAACTCGGTTTTTCGTGAAATGGAGTTGCCATTTAGTGTGTAGTAAATCGGACTCATTCAAAGTAGCGTAGCTGTGCAAAAAAACGTTATGAATGCATGCTACACTTCCGACTGTACAGTATGTGTTTTCTTTTTCTTATGATGCGCAGAGTTTTGAGGTAAGAGACGTTTTCATTTGCGATTCACTGACAGTCAGACAGCCTCATCCAGTTCATCAAACTCCGTATTTTAAAATTGAAATTGGACTAAAACGGTCTCAAAAAACCGTCGTATCAGCGCGCCATTACACTGAAAACATACGATTCGATTCGCGTCTTCTGATTGGTTCTCGGGATATAGCAGCTATTGCTGTCAAAGGCAAGTGCAGATTAGCAGCTTTTGCCAACAAACTGTTATTTCTGAATGCGCTGACGCTACGATTTAGATGATTAGAAGCAAATCTATTTGTTGATGGTGTACTACGTGCCTAAAGCATTCACTCAATGTCATTAGCTCATTTTGGCGGAAGTGGCGTTTAGCGGCTTTTGCATCTGAACTCTTCATTTATTATAATGCTAAAAATGATATACACTGAAAGCTGCATGCCTTAAAACTATGAAAAAAAAATTAAAATCAAATTAAAAATTGCAATGCTTAATAGGTTTATAAATTTGTGTGCTTCAGAAAAAGATCATTTAACTTTAATGTTTTAGTCAGGTTTGCTTGCATACCTGCATCAACTAGTTGACTGACCTATAATGTGTGTTTGTGTGTTTTAAAATTGAGATTTTTTTTCTTGAACTATTAACTGGTTTTATCAATAAAAATGTATCAATAAGTCAATATCATTATTGTCAATTTATTAATAAATTTAAAATATTAGTCAATATGATTTATTATATACTTCCTTATTTTTGAAGCAAGCCAATCTCTTGGTGCTCAGTATATTAAGCACACTGTTAATGTTTTTAATTATTTGATTATTTCATTTTTGTTTACAAATTTGTGGAATAGGATGAGGAAAGAAAATGTATATTTCTGCATTTGAACATGTTTCAAAATGTTTTTTAAATGTATTGCAAAAAAGCATGTGCTTTCAAAAAGAAAATAGATTATTAAAAACATAACAAACTAAAATAACCTCATGACAAAATTACACAAAATACTGATATAATATAATCCTAGTTGATATGAAAATAAAAGTGAAAAATATAAACGCATGAATTTATAAAAAAAAAAAAATGATATTACTTTATTTTGATGGTCCATTTGAGTATTAGTAGACTGCTTAATATCTGCTGATACTGCTCCTTCAACAGACATTTAACTGACTATAAAAAACTTTGCAAGTACGTACGTCAACTTACACTAACCCTAACCCCAACCTTACAGTCCACTTATAATCTAATGAGAATTAGTTGGCATGTAGATGCAATGCAACTCAAATTCAACAAACAGACTATCAAAACAAAGTGTGACCATATATATATATATGTGTGTGTGTGAGTGTATATACACACATATATATATATATATATATATATATATATATATAAAAATATACATGACTCTGCTGTTTTTAGATTTGTGCACCAGGTGACCTAATCAGAAAGTGGCTTCAGTATCAACAAACCAGTCAAGAAATGAAAGTGCAGCCCAATGAGCCAAAAGCATTCATAAAAACTTTACAGACTTTTTATAAAATAAGACATTCAAATTAGTTTAAAAATAATAACTATCATAATATTATCTTAACATAATAGAAGCAGAAAATCCTCAATAAAAACACTTCAAAATATGAATATACACACATGGACATCACCGGTGCTTGCACATTTGTAGATTTTCATCAAACAGAGGCATTTATTTCAATGCATCAACACAGGCAAATTGTTTCAGAAATGCATTTGCATCCAAACAGCTGCATGCATGTGTTAGAGCTGCAGAGCTTGAGTCCTGCAGCAGTCGTACAAACACGACAAACACTCTCTTTATCTATCTAAATGTGATCAAAATGTCAATATTTGAACAAATAATTAAATTAATTAATATCATTAAATTATTAACATTAATAGACAGATTAAACGATTCATTAGAAAATAATAAATAACTATATAAATACTAAATAAACAAAAAATATGTAAATTAATAATTTAATGAATCGTTAATATTACATATTAATA